GGTACTCCAACTCTGCTCGTTGATATTTGTCCCACCTCGACTGCGAGTGACATGGCTCCCTTGACCACGAGTGTCACCGAGCCTCTAGGAACCATCTTTGTTACAGTGACCGACATCACGACCGTTCACCCTGTCAAAACCATTGAGATTCCAATCTCAACTAAGGTTGGGTCCGACAGCATCACGACGGTAGTCCATACAAGCGTTGTCATGTCGATTGTCACTGCTTCACCCAAAAACTCGACTGAGCCAGCAGCCTCAATTTCTACCGGAGGTACGCCTCAGCCTACCATGACGGGCATGTACCCGATCGCCAATATCACCCTGTCGGCCGGAAACTCCTCTGAAAGCAACGGAACCGTCAGTCTAACCCAAGTGACCGGCTACTCTCTGCCCACGACCGCAACAACAAACTCCAGCAATGATAATAGCCTGTGGGAGGTAGAGACAGCCAAAAGCTCAGGCTTCGATTTCACCCCAACCACAACCCTCCGGCCAAGCATCAACGGTTCTGGCGTCATCAACTCGACTGGATCTCCAAACCACACCAAATCCGACGATGGCGACAAGAGGAACGCTGGTACTGGCTTGCTCATCGGCATTGGTTCCGCTGTGGGATGCTTCCTCGTGTTGGGTTTCGCCATCTTCCTTGTTGCGCTCTGAGCAGCATCTTTTGCCAGGATTATCGGTGTCTGCGATCTTTTTGCGCCCCTTCAATGGGGTGTGAGATACTCGAAGCATCCGTAGCATGGTTTTTCTTTCACTTTTGAGCCGGCGAGCTCCGGAAATTTGTACGATAACATTACGATTTGACGATGGATCATGACGGATGACATGATGATATTACTGGACAAAAACTGGTTGGTAATGAACAATGAATTGCAAATCATCTCCTTCAGGATTACACATCACGTCCCCTTCTGAGTTCCCCTTCTGAGTGAAACAACATGAACCATGATATGTGGCTTATACTGTGCACGAGGGCAAGATCTTGTACGTGTTTGGTCAATCTACAATATGCTTGAGGATGTGACACGAACACACATAATTCACCACATCACTGGGGAAGGACATCATGCAAGACACAAGAAAAATAGTGGCAACCGATTCTCTCATTACGCGGCTACCACCGATCCTCCACAGCCAAATTTGTTTTCCTTTCAAGCGGTCTTGGTCAATCTTAAACCCGCTACGAACCTTCCCTTCCTTCCCAGGCAAGAGGGAAAGAGGAGAAAAGGTTCACCCAGAACGAGTCCATGAACAACCAGCGCGGATTACTTACGAAATAAAACCATTTCCAGATCAGGACAAGAAAACAGAGTTCCCTGGCACAAAAAGTGAAAGAACTAACTTGAAAAACAGCAGATATCAACGACAGTATCTCTCTCGGGCTTGATTCTCTCCTCCACCACCAACGACGAAAAAGTCCACTAGACATAGGAAACGCAGTTTCAAGTCAGTATTGTACTCTCTCCTGGTCCCCCATCCTCCCCACCGGGAAGGACGGGATCGCAGGTCGAGGGGAGGTTGTGTGTTAAGAGGCCGTGATACATTTGTGTGTGTTGTGCAGGGATATGGGGGTAAGCGACAAAAAGCACAGGAGTCGAGAGAGAGAGAGGAAACGAGAAACATTGTCAAAAACAAAAAATCAGAGGGGAGTTCATGATGCAACCAACGGGGGATTCCGTACGCCAAGGAAGAAACGGAGAGGAGTCAATCCAGTCCAATTTTTTTAACGGTGGTTTGGTTTGTAGGAGTTGCGAGTTGCAGCAATTGTAGCTTTGGTCAATTTGAGGTTTAGCTCGCGAGGCTTGATATAAGGAAATGACTCCGTGTGTGGTTTATTGCGGGTTTGGTGACAGTGTCAGTGGGCGTGTGCTACCTTTAGATGGTCTTGGGAGTGCGAGCGTTGCTAGATCAGTCGTCAGCTTCTTGTAAGAAAACCGCGTGATGGGAAGATATCAGAGAGCAAAAGTCAAAAAAAAGTCAAAGGAGAGTCAAGGGACTCACGTCACATCCACAATATCATCGATATGGTTGCACATGGCCACGAACAAGTCAAAAAACAGTTTCCCCCCAAGCTCCATTTCCATCTGCATGGTTCCACTACGCTTGAAGGTCTTTCGGCTGCGGATGATGAGCGCCAGGTAATGAGCGCGCAGCTTAGAATCACTGTCTGGTGTGTTCTCGTAGGCATATCGCGCGCTACGCAGGATGGTGCCGACCTCGATCCCGCTCTGCAGGCCTTGCTTGCGCAAGGAGAGCCGTTTAAGCTCTTCGAGGCCGTAGCGATCGGCTGCGCAGTACACAGCTGTGTCGCGGAGAATAACGTCACCCACACCAGTGTGATAGAATGTTGGCTCGACGGCGGCTACGCGGTCGCCTTTGTTTGGGTCGGGTGAGGAGACTGCACCCTCAAGCATCCATGTTTGGCGGCGCTTGTCATGGACCAAGCGCGGGTAATAGTCACCCTTGTATAGATACTCAAGAATGCAGGAGAAGATTTCGGGTTCTTCCGTCGGCAGCTCGATGCGTCGATTCGTGGACTCGAAGTACTGGCCCCGCAACACGGAAGCGAAGTACGGGGAGTGGGTGAGGACGTCTTCGTGCGCGGCAAACAGTCGCTGGTCTTTGCCAACGACTATGGTCACGATTGCGGAGGTGAGACTCGGGGAAGTGCTGTGGACATGGTTAGAAGTCGGCTCGCTCTGCACATTGCAGGGACCGTACCTCTCCATCATCGGACTGTCTATCCGCGCATCCATCTTCTCGACCATCTGCTTCTGCTTTGAAACATCGCGGAACGACCTCTTCGGCTGCTTTGTTATCTTGCCAGATCGGTCCTTTGAACTTGCAAAAGAGCGTTTTCCGAACATTTTGAACGAAGAGAGGGATCGAAGCGAGCGACGGAGTTGTTTACAAAGAGTGGACAGGTTAGTTTGACGCAGCTTGAACGTGGGGAGCTCCTGGAAGCCCTCAGATTTACACTTTCGCGGGGGAAAAATGTTGGTCCGAAAGGCTTTGCACAATTCTACACTGGGTGGTATAGAATCGCACACGGGTTGTCAGGCTCAGGCGTGTCGAGAGGCGTGCAGAGCAAATGGTGGGGGGAGGCCGGCCTTTTATATGATGCCCTGCCAAGTTCCACATACCCTGCAGCCTATCGAATGTGCTTGCGCCCGTGCGCTGGGCTGTGTGCTCATCCTCGCATATCTTGATTCTCTCTATTCGTCAATTTCGTGGTCGCACATCTCTTTACTGGACATCCGAGCTGAGGCTGCAGCTGCACGCTGGTGTTGTCGTATTGCGTTGATTCGGCAGAGTTGTGAGGCATCGAAGGGAAGTTGGTAAGGCGGCTCGGTTCTCTGGAAACTGCGGATGCATAGGTTAAACATGCCGTCATGGAAACCTGGCCTCTCGCCAAGGTAGACAACACACAGTAGTAGCTGACATCGTTGAAGGTTCCAGCAGATAGACCGTTCTGCTTACGTATATAATGGACTGTTGCGGACTGACAGAGAAAGTGACAGGAGCCCAACATTGATTAGCCCATGTCGATACTTTCTCTATTACATTTAGTATTGTTGCATACGGAGCTTACAATACTTAACGATACTCTTGAATTTTCCGTACTTCATAAAAATTAACAACGGGTAAAGAGGTTCTCAGAAATGGAGGTTCTGAATACGAAAAGATGGTGATAGGATAGACCGCTTCGAGAGTTTCGATCGAAAATTGTAACAAACGAATGTTCCGTCCACATCTACCGAAAAGACCGGTTGATGTTTTGCGGCTTTAATGAGCTGAAGCTCATCATATAAGCCTTGCATCAGTACCTCGTAAGTAGAACTGCTGTAAGAAGATTGGGGTCAGTAGACAGGCGTGGATTCCTCGATGCTAGATGATAAGATGTGAAAGGCATATGGCATGAAGGATGATGCAGGCGTGCTTCCAGCTATCATAGATGAGCTGGAAATCCAGTCCTTTAACAAGTATGAGGACTAGTGAATAGTTGTTCTTCCGAGGCAATTACTCTTGAAATGCCCTTGATACTCGTAGGAGGTAATGGAAGGTCGTCGTTGGCTGTCACGAGGACAAGACCTTCATCCCCAGATTATCCATTGTTGGGTCCGATGCCGAAAGAGGGAAAGAGCCACGAGATGGGACGTTTTGTGGGCGAGTTCGGGGGATTTGATTGGCTCGGAGCGTCAGCGGAATACCCAATATGACGCATTCACTGGCTATGTTCGGGAGGTTGACTATGGCTTATGTAGACAGATAGTCAGAAACATTTGTACATATTGTTCATTTGGAGGTTCTGGTCACAGAAATTTAGGAAACTCTGTCTCTGCTTGGTGATTATTTGTGCATTACAGTGCATCCGACAAGTAGGGCGCCAGGCTGCAGCTGCAGGCACCAGGCTCTGTCTCGTCAGAAGAGGAAAGTTTGACACCCGCGTCATCTTTCATCTTTTTCTTCCCCGCCAGCCCACCTGCACTTGCTGTGTTCATATTTACACCTCGACTACACCTCCACCTCACCTCCCCTCCACCATCGTTTCTCTTCTCCACCGCCTGCGACCAGCGCCTCCAAATCGAGACCTCGCATTCGTTCAGTCCGATTCCGGCGCTCATCCTAGCTCACGGGACTCTTGCCTTCTTGTCTGAAGCGTGAAACGCCCTCGGTTCCCCTCCGACTCATTCCAACATAACATCGAACTACACATTTCTCCACGGAACAACATTACAGCAGCCATGTCTACAGGCGCGAAGAAACGCATCATGAAGGTAAGGGATCGTATGCTACTCCCGACAGGCATGACAGTTGCTAAAGTGCACGACTAGGAGTACGCCGAGTGCGCTGCCGACACTCCTGCGGGCATGAAGATCATCTTCGACGAACAGAACATGACAAAGTGGGAGGTGCTCTTGGATGGCCCAGACCAATCCATCTATGCTGTAAGCTCTTGCACGCGCGCCCTGCCGCGAAATGCATGTCGCTAACGGCCTCGCAGGGTGGCCATTTCAAGCTCGAGATCACGTTCCCCAACGAATACCCATTTAAGCCGCCGGTTGTCAGTTTCAAGACCAAGATCTACCACCCCAATGTCAGCAATGATGATAAAGGATCCATGTGCTTGGGGTTGTTGCGTCCCGACGAGTGGAAGCCGCCGAACAAGGTCGTTTCGGTCCTTCGTTTGATCCAGACGCTCTTGATCGAGCCGGATATCGATGACTCTATCGAACCATCGATTGCGAACGAATACAAAGAGAATCGCAAAGAGTTCGACAAGAATGCCAAGGACTGGGTGAAGCGATACGCAAAATGAGCTTGATACAAACGACCTTAGCGTGTGGTCGACATGCCATTCTGTCGGCGAGAATCCAGGTCCCCTCGGGTGCACTCTGGGTTCGCGGGACTCGGATACCCTTCTGGAACATGGAGTACGAGGGCACACGGACGGGTTACGGAAGGCATGCAAGACATGGGAGCTTGGATTGAGGGTGGTTTTCCGATTTTCACGGGACTAGCTGGGGATTCAGGTCATGGAAATCGGGTCTTATGGGAGTTATCGGTGGCCAAGTGTCGTGTGAGGTAGATGGGTAGACTCAGTAGAAGAACATTTTGGGCCTGGAGGTTTTAACTCGCGATGATCATGTCGTCATGTCATCACTGGCCATTGGGGCCTTCTACTCGACACGGAGAAATTAAAATGAAGCATCAAGATTCAAGGATCATCATGTCTCCTGGAGACAGCAGACTAGAAATTCCACAGTGACGTACCTACAGAGAGGGTTGGTAACTTGGTATGCCGCCCAGTTTGGCAGTGTGCATTGAGCGCAAAGCAGCAGCACCGCCGGAGGGCAGAGGAGGAATCACCACAGTAAGCCTAATAAGGTCCAGTCAGCATCCCCCTAGGCGTACCGAAGAGGATAGACTGCAGCCGTGTGCAGCGTGGCAGCCTGGACGAGTAGGTAGGGCAACCACCGAGCTTTCGCGGAAGCGCGTGTCGGGCGGAGCGCTCATCTCAACGAGTCAGAGATCTCGAACGGTTATTCCACTTTTTGCTTGTGATGGGACCCAAGTCATATTCCTCGTACATAGTAGGACCAAGGTCGGTAAGGATTTTTTCTTCTTCTTGTCAAGGCATGGATGAAGCACTCTTTCTTGTCTTGGGTGTGGACACAGTCAGAAGCAACTACTGCTTTGTGTGCAGTGTCGAAAAAGCAAACTCTCTTTCCCCCTGAAACACATTTCTTGCAATGCGCCGAGCGGCGCCAGGGGGGGGGGGGATTTCGAACATGCGCGACCGAGGCATAGACGTTGATGAATCACATCATACGGAGTGCAAGATTATTATTACATGCAGAAGTGTGCGAATTACTGTTCTGATGAAAGAACCAGAGGGAAAGAAAAAGTATGTGGGAGGGGCTGACGGTGAACGGCCTTTAAAATTGACAATTGGGGACACATGGGTGGTTTGGTTGACGGAGGATGGTCCGTTTGGAGGATCGGGAAATGAAATGGCGGAGAGTCAGGCTTGTAGAATCCCGGAAGGAGGAAGTTGGGAACTTGCAAGATTTGCTCGAAAGAGGCGCGATGGCTTGCTGGGCTTGTGACGGTTTTCGTATAATAATTGAAATCGTGATCAAACTTCAGGCGGGCGGGGGCCCTGGAACGTTCGAAATGGGAAAACCATCTACAGAGGACAAGGAAGATTGGGAATAGTTAGTGTAGTCAGTTGGAAGAGGTCGTCCGTAATAGTACGAGTAGTTGGAGTGGAATAGTAAGTGAAGTGGAGTGGAGTGGACTCAGCATCCGTACCTAGTGGACAGGTAAATCTCCCGGATCAGCAGCACGCGGCGGACGCGTCTTGTTTGTTTACCCGACCATGTTTACGGACTATTTTCTACAACAACAAAACAACAAAACGACCTCCAGCTTTGAAAAGACTTTTCTCGATTGAATAATAAGTCATCAATTGAACGGTTTACTAGTGAAGTAGCTCGATCAAACTAGAGAGGAAACAGGATACCATCACTGCCTTAGGATGCTAAGGATGCTAAGGAGAGGAATTGATTTTTTGACAAGGCTGGCCAGATTGGAGAGGGGGGAGGGAGGGATTGGGCGGGTTACGGGTTGAGCACGGGGAAAAACAGCCAGCTGGGTCAGGCGGCGGAACAGAAAACCGGCTACTGGAAATTGCACATCTTCGGCTATGGACAAGTCTATGAGAGACTATGACTACTTGTGACTACTTGTATCATTAATTATGGCTTTGAAAGCGAGGAAAACGGGGATGCGGTTGGTTGTGGTCGAGCCATCTGCCCAGATCAGATCGTTGGTTCCGTTATTTCCACCGGTTCTTGAATCATCGGCCCCTTTCAGCCAAGTTTTGTTGGTGGTTCATTCTTACTGTATTGCTACCGAGACGGAATACAGTGTACGGAGTAGATACCTACAGGCTACAATAATACTTTGGAGGAGTGGTGGAAGTTGGATGGTGGATGGTGGAAGGTGGAAGGTGGAAGGTGGAAGGTGGAAGGTGGAAGCTGGTAGGCTTGAGGCCGGTGGGCGGGAAGGGAAGGGGAGCGTTGTTTAGCGGTAGCCCAGGCTGAGAGCGCTACACAGTACTTACTGTACACGGCAGACCGAGTCCAGAGTTTGGTACACTTGACACGCTTAACTCTTTAATCATAAATGGAAACGAGAATACAACAACAACGATGAAGTGGTAAATGAAGCCCTGCTAACGTGCATGTAGCGTGTTTACTATTTCGTAAAAAGATTGTTGTTTGTTTGTTTGTTATTCTGTTGGTTTGTTGGCTGGCTGTTAGTTGGGAGTTGGTGAAGATTCTGAAGACTGCCCGACTATGGGTGTCTCCTAACAGTACAGTTCTAACCATACCATACGTTAGTTAACTATTCCCATAACTAATTCTTTCCTCTCTTAGTGGTTGGTCGCTGGTTGGTACCCGCTCACGCCCGCTAAACTCCTTCTCCTACTCCGTGCCTGACCTGAACTCTGAAGTGACCCTTGACCCTGCAACCCAAGTGCAAGTGCAGTGCAATTGTCTGTGCCTGTGCCTGTGCCTGTGCCTGTGCCTGTGCCTAGCTAAACCACTCCCGTAACACTTTCTTCTTTTTCTCCTTCAGGCTTCACCTTCATCGCGTTCCATAATCCATAACCCATAATCCATAACCCATACCCGTCCATCCATCCATCCGTTCATTCTTCCACCGACGCGACACACATGCCCGTCGATGCACAAACCTGCTGATTCGGCTCTCTTACCTACCTATACCCTACCCTACCCAACCCTACTAGTAACTACCCAGCATAATATCATAATACCTTGGCTTCCCTCCCAATTCATCGTCGCCTACTGAGACAGGCGCTGCTCCTTCTTTCCCTCCTGCACACCCCCCGTCTTCAGGTCACGACTCACCTCAAGGCTCAAGGCTCACATTCATTTCACCTAATTCACTCCTTCTCGTTAATTACTACATACCTACTATCTCCTACACTCTCTTACCAACTTACCACCACTACTCACTTAATTCCGTCGGCTTCATCTTTCGTCCCCGACATCCTCTCCTTTAGAGCTTCGACATCACTTGCGCAGAACTCACGAGAGCAATAGTGTGGAGTTGCAACACTTCACTCGTTTCGCCAATTTTTAGCCGCCTACTTCCACCTTCTCCGACGTCGAATCCGACTCTACCACCTCCACCTATTTTCAACCACCCTACCCTTCACCACGGTGTCCGACCTATCTCCAGGCCACAACTAATGTTGAAACAAATAATACAACCAAAGCGCGTTGCCCCATACTATACCCCTTCTTCAGCTTGCGTATCAGTCCGCAACAACTGCAGCTTCACCACCTAGCACAGAATCCACACAAAGCAATGTCAACGGCCAGAATAAGCGCTCTCGATCTATCCCCTGTCCCCCTCGACTGAACGACAGGATTCCCTCTTCTCGCTCTTTTCTCTCTGTAGAGCTGTTCAGACTTGCAATCCAAAAACCTCGGCTACCGTCGCCGCCGCCGCGTTTGCCATGGCTGAACCAATATCGAGATCAGCTACGCCAGGGACCGTAGTCGACGCTGAGATCAACGCCGTCTACGAGCCTGGTGCCAAACGAAAGACCCAATACGTACCTTACCGTCCTACAGGTTCCGACTACACACCTCCCGCCTCTCCACAACCGTCCTCCACCTCCAACCCGAATGTTCCCACCGTCCCCAAGAAAGGCTTTCGTTCGAAACCACCCGCCAGCTTGCAGATGGACACGACGGTGACTCCTGCCTACGAGCGTCCCATGTACAGTCCATCGCCCACTTCGAGCCCTCCTCCTCTGGCGCCTCTTCCCTCCCCTCATTTCTCTTCACGCCAGCGAGCACCGTCCCTTCTCCGCATGACCGCAGTATCCTCCCCTCTCAACGAAGGCTTCCCACGCGCAGAACAGCCAATGGGTTCTCCAACGTTTGCCCCGTCGATGCTGCGTCAAGGCAGTGGCCCCATCCCCACCAGCGACCCTCGAACCATATTCAATCCCCTCGCAAGCAATCCGGTGACGGAGGATACAATTTCAAGCCCACAGTCAAGACCTAGAGGAATGACAAGCACATCACAGCAGGACTTCGTGCCCCATCCACCGCTCCGGTCGGCAACCTCGATACCCGATTACGGCCAGTACCGCGCCTCGGGAAGATCAGTACCATCGAGTGCGTACAGGCCAGACCGTGGTGGTGCCAATTGGTCTCACAACGATTATTATCCGCCCCCACGACACTTCCGTGGCGAAGAACCTAGAGCTAGCTTTAGGAGTGGCTGGACGAATGCCTCATCAAGTTTCGTCGACGCGAGCGGCACGGAGCGCAGCAGTATGGCTACGGGAAGGAGCTCCATTGCTAGCGATAATCGTATCAGTGTGGCCTCAGCCCTGATCGAGCAATCTGTTGAGCATGATGACACCCGGGAGAATTCGCGGTCCTCCCTTCTGCCTGACGACGACGACGCTGTCGGAGATTTGATTGATGCGTATTGTTATGATGATGATGACGATGATGATGACGCACTTGGGGATGGCTACTCGGGCTCGCCCGAGCTGGATTCGTCTGTCGTGGATACTTCAGATCTAGAAGCCCCGGATCTTTCTCGATCATACTCTCATGGCGGCTCGTCACACCTTGCCTCGGAACCCATTGCAACACCTGGCTCACCAGAGCGGATGGATCGGCCCCTTTCCTATGTCGAGGACCGCGGTACCGTGGGGGCTACGGACAGATATACTGCCGTGGGTCCTTACGACACCATGGGTGATGACAGACGCGCAAGTTCCTTCTATGGACGCAACAGCTACAGTCCTCAAATATCACCAATCGTCCATAAAGAGTCTGACGAGCTACTGCCAACCCTCAAGCCGTTGAGTCCACTCCAGCTCACCCACGACCCAAGCGAAGCAAATACTTCTGCCGACAGCCAAACACAGGCCTGGCTCTCGCGAGGTGACAGCATCCCCAATTCACCTAAACCCAACGATTCTGCGCTTCCTCTGCCCGAGAAGGACGGGATGCGAAGCATTCATAATGAATTGATGGATCTACCCCAGTTGCCAAAGAATATGTCGAGGATCTCCCGTCAGGACTGGGCGGACTTCGAGGCTTACTCGAAGAAGAACGGACATTCGCGGGATGACTCTGGTGAGCAATCATCAAAAAAGCGCCCCGACCTCGCCGTCCACATTCCGCCCCCAAAGTCCGTGGATCCACTTCCACAGGTGGACGAGGATGAGGCGTATCCCCGCCGTGCTTCAACCAGCGTTTTCGACCGCAAAAGCACACTGTTTGATTTCACCAAAGCCATCAACTCACCGCCCGCAGAGGTAAACAAGCAGTCAAACACCTTGGAATTTCCTGGCGGATCACGCCCTATGCAGAGATTCGACACTGGTCTCACCAGTCCTGCGACTCCCACCCTGTCTGCGCCGAGTTCGCCTCTGCCGAGAGTGAGTTCGAATCGCTCTGCGGCTTCCTTTGCACGGGATCGTTATGGCTTCAAGAAGGCCACAGAGAAGATCAGCGTGGAAACTTATGACGCCTGGTATTCTAAATATGAACAGTATGTCGCACGTCGCAGGGGTAAATGGATTGCCTTGATGGAAAAGCAGGGTCTATCGACCCTGAATCCAGAGGAATTTCCCGCCCGCTCGGAAAAAGTCCGACGTTATATTCGGAAGGGCGTTCCTCCGGAATGGCGAGGGGATATGTGGTGGTTCTACAGCGGCGGGCCCGCAAAGCTCGCTTCCATGCCTGGTCTCTATGCCTCACTCGTGGCGCGCTTGAAAGCGGGAGAGTTGAATAAAGACGACAAAGAGGCTATTGAGCGCGACCTCGACCGCACTTTCCCCGACAACATTCACTTCCGACCAGATCCTACTCCCGAGAACCCAGAAGGGAAGCTTAGGGGAGAGCCGGAAATCATGATCAATCTCCGCGAGGTTCTGCAATGCTTCGCGTTGAACAATCCTAACATTGGCTATTGCCAATCACTTAATTTCATTGCAGGTCTGCTTCTCATCTTCACGAAACAGGAGGTAGAGCGGACATTTGTTTTGCTTACAATCATCACGCAAACCCACCTGCCTGGTGCACACGCTCGCAGTCTCGCCAACACTGAAGTCAATGTTCTTATGATGCTTATCAAGGAATATCTCCCCAAGATCTGGAACTCCATCAACGACACAGATATCATCAACAACGGCGCAGGTTCACATGCGCATCCGGATTCTAAATTCCAACGTCAGCCCACCGTGGCGTTGTCCTGCACCTCGTGGTTCATGTCAATTTTCGTCGGTGTCCTGCCCATCGAAGTCGTTCTCCGCGTCTGGGACGCTTTTCTCTACGAGGGACCGCGTGCACTGTTCCGCTACGCGCTTGCTATCTTCAAGCTTGGCGAGCCAGACATCAGAAAGTTCCACGCGGGAGACGGCGAACTGTTCATGACCGTCCAGAACCTACCACGAACATGTTTGGACCCGAACATCTTGCACGACATCGCCTTCGTCAAAAAAGGCTTCGGATCGCTCTCTCAAAACGTCATCGACCAGAAGCGACAATTCTGGACGCAACAGTTGGCGCGAGAGAGGAGCGGCCGGAGGGCTCCTATGCCAGTGCCACAAACCCGCAAGGGTGGCTTCCTTGGTCTGCAACACACTGACAGTTTCGACTCTCAAAAGACCGGTGGCAATGGTTTGAGGAGAAAGGCCAGCAGGAAGTTCTTCAGAAAGGATAAATCATGATTTAGATTCTTTTTTTTTTTCTTCCACCATTTTTCAATCTTTCAGCAAAAAGGGGGCATAATGTCGAAAAGCATTTTTGGGATAACGAAGGGTAAAAAGGTGTTAATTCTAGCATTGCTCGGCATTTATTTTCCTTTGCTAACCTTCTCTTCATCCTCCATATTTTCAATCCCCTTACTTTTCCATACTTTCTCCATCATGTCTCTTTTTCTCTTCGATGTACATTAATTTCATATACCCCCTGATGTATTTTGAGTTTTGGAGGGCGCCGGGCGATGGGCGACGGTCATACACGTATATGTTGGGCTGACTACACATCTACATTATCAATGAACGAAACGATGACACGATATCTAGGATAAAAGTGCATCTTTGAACATCATCCTGTGCCTCTCACATCTTGTGCAAACAGCCATCACTTGTGACCCAACTACGAACGAATGGACACTAGAGGGAGGAAGGACTATTTGACCTACAAGTAGGAAAGCATCATCCAGCCACAACAATCCGTACAGACAAGTATCCCAACCAAGCTCGCCAAAGACATACACGGCCCAATCAAAACCACCTCGCTACGCTGTCGAGATTTCCCCCAGGAGGGAAAGAAGAAGACAGAAGACTTCACGACAAGCAACGCACCAAACATACTCATCCCGTACAACTCAAGTTGATTCCCGTTTCCAGTGAGCAATACTTGGACGGTAGAGCAAGGTACCCAGGTAGTGGCTGAGACTACATCGACGATCAACTCCTACGACTTGATCCCTACATAACCGTACGTATGGGTTCACTCTCTGGCTGTCCTTTCGTTCCGTTGTATGGTACATGACCCACCTTTTCGTACGAGCCGGTATGTCCAATTGTACGTACGTTCCGTTTCATTTACATACTGAGCATCATCTTCAGTGACCAGTTGAGCAGTCGGTAAGATAGTCATGGGAGACTACGTTCATATCAAGTTCTGACCCAACCAACACCATCATTCATTATCGAGAGATGATGAGGTCATATCAAGATGTAGACATAGATGTAATAATCGCAGAGCACTTCCACTTCTGGCATTCAAGTGATCTCGGACCTCGAATCGATCCCACGTAGAAATGCCATAATAAAGCCCCCCACACTACTTACAACCACTTAGGGATCCACCTACGAATATCTAAACCAGCCACCCACCCAGTGCTGGAAATGGAAAGGAGAGGAAAGATTCCGCGCGCCCATACACTGACACTTTTCTGTATGTACAGGCAGAAGCTTACCGCGCTGGGTTGCCGATTTGCTAGCGCTCATTCGCGGTAAAGAAGCTGACTTGGGGTAGAGTGTATGTACATAACACTAGCAGACGGGCAAGCTGACGTGGTAACCCTCTATACGTACATAAGTGCTAGTCATTTTGTACATAGAGACGTCGGAGCTAGACATCGGAGCTAGAGGACGAGAACTAATGTGCATATCTGCATGGTGCATGTGTATGGCACGGCATGCCACGACGGCATGGGCAGAGCATGTCTCTACCGCGAGTTTACCCCGTAACTATGAGGTGAGGTACCTCTAGCGCATCACGCCAGAAAAAAAATCATTCTAGAAAAAAAAAGCCACATCCCCAACAAATAAACAAACAATTAGCAGAAGAAGAAAAAAAAGCCTAATCCATGAATCCCGAGGTAGCCGATTGGGTGAATGGGGGAAACAGCATCGCACCATCGGAATCGGTTGTCCGGGGAAAAGGAAACGAAGGGAAGGGGGGGACAGGACAAAGGAAGAACAAAGGAAAAACAAGACGGCTACGGGTAGTCTTCCCGGGGGTGAAACAAAGTGTCGTAGTCACTCGTAGGTTAATGAACGGGAAGGCAAATACTACTACGAGTAACTAGATAGGCGGTAGGTCGGTGTGTATGCACGAGTATACGAGTATCTACTCATATGATATACTCACACATGCTCTCGAAGTACTCGTAGCGGCGCGAAAATGAGCTGCAGGGCTGAATAGGGCTGGAGGCTGCGCCTTGAGCCGGTCAACCTTTTAGCGGTGCGCTGACGGAGAAGAATTTTGGAGAGAACGGAACAGACGTTCTTTGGGTTCTGGGATCTAGATTCCGCGCCAGAAGGTATTGAGTCAGGTTCTACGACCCCGTACTGTCTCCAACTACTCCAATATTCCCAATTACGGTTGGATTGGTTGTGCGTGGCTATGATTAGCGGTCGTAGTGGTGGCAAAGGGAACGGTTCGGTACGGTACGGTAACGAGGTGCAGGATCCGATAGTGTTCATAGGGGATTGAGCGATGCTTTCTGGGACTTTCTTGTGATAGCTCCTACCCCACTGGTTATTGTAGAACTAACCTGAACCTCTAATTGTAGTCTGGAAAACAAGTCGACCAGACAATCAGTAGCCACATGCGGTAGTGAAATGTTTCTGAAACGAAGTTGGTGATCTCATTTCATACTTTACTAACTCGAACGATGAAATTAGAGGGCATGCGCACTATACAGAATGCATACCAATGTATGCATTTAGGTTTTTCCATCATTAAGATCGCTTGATCATAACCAAGTGCGAGAGAGTCCATCCATCTCCGCATCCAATTCGCCGATATCAAAAACAGAAATGTGATTGAGGAAACCCAAGTTCGTAGACGTGGAAAGCGAGCGCGTGCGCTGCTGATAAAAAAGAGACAAAGTGACAAAGTAAATAGCAATAAATAACGAAACAACTGACACAGATAGATGTAGAATGTTATACTGTAGGCGTTGATCATTCATTAGGAGCAAAGACATAGTGGCGGCAATCCGAATAAATGACGAAAGAATCGAGGAGAGCCTCGTGGGAGATGACCAAAGGCCCTGGGCAATGTGGCTACCCAGGATTTTCCAGGAAGATTTGCGGGGAAAGAGAGATACCACCCTAAAAAAGTGCGTGATGATTGTCGCGATAGTGCTTTTGGCTTCGTGTGCGAACCCTTATTCTCCAATTGGTGGAACCGGAACGAAGTGTGACTGGCGAAATTTTTGGTAGGCGCATGACGCGAAACCCAGGCGCAATGTTTTAAGTGGAAAGAAAGCGATGCTGAATACCGGTGTCGGGATGTCCGGGTTGTTCTGAAAGAATGCAGGTAGCAAGAGGAACGCTTCCTCGACTATAAGCGTACAAGTACATGATGAGCAAGATGCGACCCTAAATTGGGAAGGAATGTACCGTTCATTGCATCCTCTTCCTCTTGCGCACATCCTCCGGCTCGTCTTCATCCGCTCGCTCGGCCGTCTCGGCGGGATTGAGAAGAGAGTGCACGTTGGATGCCATGCTCGAGCGGCGCGTTGGTGGGCCAGGAGTGTCGATGCCTTTGAAGGGAAAACGTGCCCCCGGAAGTGACCAGCCGCTTTCGGCGCTCAGTGTAGAAGGAGCCGTGTCGTTCGCTGAAGAAGGGGGCGTACCCTGGCGAGACGACTGCTGGCGTGGAGGACGGGGCAGCTGGTAAGATTCCAAAGCATCACGGAGCTGCTGATCTCCACCTCCGATAGGTGTCCGGTGAGGAGAGGAAGGCCACTGGGAAGAGTTGTGACCAGATGCATATGGGGAATGAGACGGTGGAGGCTGCTGCGGTGGCCAGCCATGGGTGCGGATATCTGCCGACGTGTGCCGCCTGTAGAGGTTGTATGGTGGGGAAGAACTATTTGCGCTGTTTCCCAAATTCTGGGGCGGATGCTGGATGGATGGTGGAGGCGGTGGGGGTGGCTGGTGACTTCCTGGAGTTCTGGCTGAAGAAGGAGAGTAATTACCCGTCCCTATTGAGCCATATCGACGTGGAGAAATGGCTATATGGGCAGGGACTGGGGGCTTGAACGGAGCTTGGCGAGCGTTTCCTGCCAGCGAGCCGCGCCGTTGGTCGGCCATATGATCCTGTGGAATCTGCCGTGGAGAGAGCGGGGGCGCGTTGCTGTTGTCAATGTGCATGAAGTACGATTGACGTGCAGAGAGCGGAGGTTCTTGCGGTTCCTCGAGCGCACGTAGCATGTCCGTCTGCCGGGCAATATCTCGCTGCATCAAAACGACTGTCGAGCATGTAAGCAGGTCGTTCGAATAAAGTATAGGCACAATACGAACCATCCTTGTGGATCTGATTTTCCGGGTCTGGCACCATGGTCAAAAGGTAATTTGTGAGCTCGTGATTCCACTACCCCGTACATTAGCTGATGTAGATCCGGTCTCGACGAATCGACCCACCTGGTGACATCGCATCATGCCCTCCATGAGAAGCGAGTTCCTTTGATTGAGATAGGCGTAACTGTCTTCTGAGCGCTGCACCCTCGCGTGCATGTCGTAGAGGCTGTTTTCCAGGACGTGCAGTCGAGACTCGACGGGGTCAGGCATTGACTCGACGGGCGCTCCGGCTGGCGGGCCGGTAGGGATTTTGGGTGCGGAAAATGAGTCTCTGTGAATGAGCGCGTGCCGCGACGCTCGGCGCTTGATTTCCCGTAGGCCCACCAGGTCCCCTCTTTTGAAATTGCCGTTGCCATGCTTGAACTCCCAGAGGGGGGAGTCGGGAGAGCCGGTGTGGAACACATCACTGACTGGAGCACCGTCTCAGTATCGCGTAGGGACACAATGAAGCTGTGTGGGTGACTGCATACCTTTGTGGAAGCCGTACATGTTCAACTGTCGGACGAAAGAGGAAATATTGGTGTGCTTAAAGTACGATCTGGGTTCCCGGTTAGATATATTAAGAGGGGGCCATAGCGTCGAGATCTACGTACGACAAGACTTTGGAGAACTCGCTCGAAGGGGACATGACAAAGCTCTCGTTTGAGCTCGACCAGGAAATGAGGTGTTGAATACTTTGGTCTTCGAGCATACTGTGGCCACATTAGCGAATTCATCCAGTCGTACAACCATCGTGCAGACCCACTTGTATAGTTTGTGAATGAAAGCAGTCTGGACGACCTTTGGCTGCTGTGCTGCCGCCGCCGCTCCGATTGCTGGTGTTGACGTCCCATTTGTTATTGGTGTGTCCGAATCCCCATTCGAGCCCTGGTTGGTACCGCCGCCTCTGTCGCTATTCGAGCTGGTCAGGACTGGAGGTCCCATTGAGGGAGCCGTAGACGGCGTAATATCCATTGGATCTCGTGGCGGAGTCAACGTAGAGCCGGAGGAGGAGGGGAGGATCGGTATGGATTTGTGAAGCCCCTGGTTGTGAGGATCGAGCGAGAAGGGGCTTCGGCGAGCTTCCGTCACTGAAGCCATAGCAGGGAAGATAGGATGTATGATAGCCGGACAGGTGAGAAGTCGTTGAGCAGCTAGCTAGAGAGAAAACGGTCTTCCCGAAAGCGAAGGCGCGCGCTGGCTCTGCCGAAGTATATATGCGCCCCAAAAAGAGGAGTTGACTTTGTGTAGTGCCGATGGATAGATGTGATATGTACCCGAGCCGGTCGACGAACTCGACGATATATAGCGAATGCCAGTGCGAGACTTAGTTATACCATAATAGGTAGCATGGGACGTTGGTCAGACTGGTAGACGGTTGGATGGATCATTCGAGGGTAGTGTGGGTAGTGTAGTGGAGGCGGCGCGACGGAGAAGATATGGAGGTTTGCAGGGCGATTGCTGGCGGCGCGCGATGCCGTAAGGCGGAAGAGGGATGTTTCTAGGTGCGCTCGAAAGGTCTTCTAGAACGGATCGGTGGGAAAAAGGATCGTACGGCGCGTCGAAGTGGGTGGTGGGAGGTTAAATGTCGGGTTTGGGGGTTGGGAGCGATGGCCGTTGCGGAGGAAAGAGGAAGCTAGCTGAAGGGTTCCTATGTAGGTAGGTAGGTACGAGTAGTAGTAGGTAAGTAGGCGTCTTAGGGTAGGGTAGGGTGGTAGGGTATGGTATGGTATGGTATGGTAGGGTAGGGGAGGGTTAAGGTGGTAGCAGCAACAGTAGCGGGAATCTGGGATGCGTAAATGGTGGACGCAAATCGGCGCAATGCACTAGGAAGGTAGAAGTTCCTGAGACAGAGAGGAGGAAAGTCACAGAAGAAAAAGGAAGTCCAAAACACTTTCGGTGGAGGGCTGGATGGGGAAGAATGAATTAAGTGAATGAATGTAGGTAGGTTGGAAAGTACGAGTATGAAATGCGCAACAGCGATATGCGAGGGCAGCGGAAGGTCTTTGCGGCGGCAGATTGACCAAGGGATGGGTCGATTTGGTTTGGGAGCGATGGGGACGGGGGGGGAGGGTGGAGGAAGGATTGGATTGGGATGGGATGGGGCGGCTTGCGATTCAAGGATGCCCAGGCGCAACCGAGGAGGAAGAGAGAGGAAACTGGGGAGTGGATTGGAAAAGGAGGGTGAGGAGAGGAGAGGTGAGGAGATGATTGCGGATGCGGATGCGGATGAGGGTGGTCGACTACTGAGCAGCGTGTACACAGTAACTAGTATTAAGTGTGTATGATGGTCGTTTTGGGAAGAGGGAGAGAATGGACAAGGAGGAATTAATGAGTATTACACAGTTTGCAGTATGTAGGCACAATGATGGATTACATCCATACCCACTAAACTACCTAACTATAACTAACATACGACTTGGACAGTTCTCCGTATTTCCATCTACATGCAGACTTACAAGTGTGGTTTGTAGATACTGTGTACAGAGTAATTAGTTACTCGTTACATGTAGATACACAAATGTACACATCGAACGTGCATGTGCCTGTTAGGAGGTAATGTATTGTATCGTATCGTATTGTACCTAGGTAGGTTGGTAGGTTGGGGGAGAGGGGTGAGGGGGAAATTTCGCCGGTCGGTGGGCAATCAACCTAATTCCGTGTAAGAACTAGCACTCTGACACCGTACTGTTACTCGGTACTTGTAACTACGGAGTAGTTAGCAACTGAAGGTATGTACGGAGTATGTATACTCGTAGTTACTTTGTACCAACTCCACCTCGTAAAGCCTCCTAAGAGTATTGTATTATGGAGTAGGAACCGGATTACAACAACGGCCACGCTCAGGCGGAGGGGAAATGGTGGGGGGCTTCTAAGAGAACAGGAGAACGTGAAATTGGACTGGGATGGCATGGAAGAAACCTAGTCACCCTCAAACCCGTTCGACCCCCGACCCCATCCGTAACTACTTGTAATTATTGAAATCTTTTGTTTAGGGTGAACCTCGAGGAGAGTTGGAGAGGGGGGGTGGAAAGGGGGAAAGGTGGACACACCGGACAAATCCAGACACCCTACTACTCGTAGAGGCGCAACGCCGAGGTGAACTTGTGGACTCGAGATCAGATCAGATCAAATCAAATCAAATCAGATCAGATCGATTCGGATGAGAGTACGCAGGAGAGCAGAATACAGGTTGAAAATGGTTGAGGGCGGAAGCTACCCGTAGATAATAATTAATTCAAATACAGAAAATCATAGTAATGGTCTTATCGTCATGATTGTATGGCATCATCGCATGGCATTTCATGGCATGGCATGGTACTCTGTAGAGTTTGCACGACTAATACATACTTAGGTACGGAGTACCTGTAGCTTACTGACCTATTCACTCGGTTGTTATTGCAACAATCTGGATTTGCAGAAGTAGATTGTCAATTAATTAATTACTGGACGATTAAATCCAGGTAGTACCTATAGTATATACAGTACATACGGACGGGAGTACTTCATACTTTGGTAAAGTCAAATCTGCACAGTACCGATACATATTGGCATCAATTACAGTGTACACTACGACCTATAACCTCCGCACATTTCATAGACACCTAATTACACGCGAACTCTTACTCATGAGTCGTACTCACTCGTTCGTACTCGTGGAAACTTCCCTCATCGGTCAACTGTCCGCTCGTCATGGTTGCCCTACCCTACTATAAGTAGATACTCATAACAACACAGTATAAGCACATCAACCCCTTAGCGAGGGCTCTCTTAAAGTTAATCACTGTGAAGACTCTTGGGGGGCCGTCTTGGGAGCGGTAATACTACCATTGTCAGCAAGCATACTTCTTTTCCTGCATCTGGATCTGCATCCCCCACGACTCGGGCAAAATGCGGCATACCTGCTTTCACTTGTACTCCGAGTCCAACCATACTGGTACGAATACCAGAAGCCTGCAACTCATGGTCATGTCGTCGCCGTTGTTGTGGTCGTGCTGTGCCATATACCATTCTCCACCTATCCCCTCCACTGGGCCTTAAGCCTGTTCTTGTGTCTGTGTCCGCCTGTGCCTGTGCATGTGCACGCACTACTGGTGACTTCATCCAGTGATACTATAATAACACACGATGCATCTGCAGTTGGGTATATCTACTGATGGTGCAGTCCCGACAACTCGAATTCCTTGGGACGGCCGTTGCACTCAAGTAAGTGATGTGAATGTGATTGCAATGGCCGTGGCACCCTCCTCCGTTTTCTCTGGCTGTCCGATTGGCCTGGCCCATCATGTATTACTGTGGCCGCAACGTCCCTGTATCTGCACCACTTCATCCCTCCAGTAGAGACATTCACCATTGATAATGGACATGGATTTCCCTTCTACTCGTAAGTATCCACGGCTATCCTAGGTAAGGATCCCATGGTTGGGTGATACTCATGATTTCACCCCTGCATCCAATCCACACTTGCCCAATACTTTTGAGCTCCACGAGCTAACGGTCAATGCTCCTATTTTTTGCTTTTGCTACGGTTGGTGATCCGCGTCTTCTTGCTAATGTTGACTTGTATCTGTTGGTAGTTGGTTGCGATACATGAATTACCAATAACAAAGTACATAGACTTGCTTGGTCCCCAGCATAGTACTTGAGCCTACTCCGTACAGATCATTTAATTACTATATACTTCATTGAGACCAGTTATTCATACAGATACCCTACTCGCCACGAGGCCAGCCCACGCTTGTACCACAGAACCATACCCAATTCACCTACTGTACTGTGGAATTGTAACATTTGCCTTTCACAATCATCATTGATAGTTACGACTAAAACTGTTCCGTGCATGTATAGTCAATGCACACACATCTGACTAGGTACTTAGGTACATACGTTGGTAGATGGTATACATACCAGAAGTCGTACAGTACACGTACTCGATATGCTGTGTAATATGCTGTGTAAGAAAAAGCAACAGGATATGAATCATATGATTGATCGACCCAGATGTGGCACCTGTCCGCGGTCCCGAAGAGTTGCCGGGCGATTGATGAAAAGGACGCCGCTGTCACTCACTCGCACGGTTCGCCGTTTACCCAACCTTAAACCACTTTGGACCATCTTGCGACCCGCTCCCACCATTTCAAGTATCATTGTATTCACGCCTACGCTCTACGGAGTAATTATCCTTGAGTCCTTGATTGACCCTGGCGAACCCAATTCCTGAAAAGAACCCTTGACAGTCCTCCACAATCCCTTGGAAGGAATCGCCCCGCCGCCATCGTTGCCGCAGCCCAAGACTCCTGTGGTTGCGCCGTTGGTCGTGCGCTGATTCATTATTACCCCCTTTCGACCTGCAATACCTGTACGAGAGCTGTTCCCCTGGCCGGTCTACCTGCCTTAATTACATGAAGTGCGGATGCTTACCTAGATCCTACAGGCTACATGCCACCCACTAATTAGTTATACTGAACGCTTGACTCAACATTGTCGTCTGCCGCCCCCAACAATCATTGAATCATCCAGTAATGGATTTGGGCCAGATCTTTCACCAGGAGAGCAGCCGTGACAAGCGTAATGAAGCCCTCGTCGATTTCGTCAAAAGCTTAGATCCATACGAGTTCAGGCAACTCCAAGGACAGCTCCAGCACGAAACGTTTCAGTACGACATAATCGCCGGTCTGCCCGTGGAGATTGTTGCCCAGATCTTTCGCTACATTGACCCGGTCGCCATATACCAGCTTCAACACGTGAGGTTCATCTTTCATACTCGTATAGTGATATTCATCACATACACTGCGTTGTGAGGCATGAATCACCCGAGCCAATCACATTACTGACCCAACTCGTACTAGATCTCCAGAACTTGGTATCATAAATTGTCTTCTCCCGATGTCCTGCAGAACTCGCTTCGCGCCTGGTATGGCTACCGGATCCCCCGTCCGGATGTTGACCAAGCTCTTCTTACCACGTGCCGTGAAAAAGTCGAACAAATAAAACGTTTCTACACTGGTAAGCCATATTATAAGTTCTCTATCGACCTCCACCAGGCCGACAACGACCGTTTGGCTCTTTCAAAAGACAACCTTGCATGGCTCGCTTTGGGTTCACAAGCCATCCACGTGAGGAATCTCCGCAATGGTCACCATAAAAAGTTACAGTGTGAGGCCCGCGATACCATCGTCAAATTCACTTTGACAGATCAGGTATTGGCCTTCCATACCAAATCTAAAACCTGCTACGTCGGAATGCTGGATGACGGCGGTGGAATTCGAAAGTTTCGGCTTCCTGTCTATCAACTGTTCGACTTCATGCATGCACATGAGCGCAAAGTGATCTGTGGAGGTCGCGTCGGCACGACTACTCAATTGTACATTTGGGATTTTGACACCCAGACGGGATATTCTCTCACTGTAGACATGAACGAACTACCATTTTCAGAATCGAGAAATGATGTGTAAGTGTAATGGAAGAAAGCATCGTCCTAGGTCGTGGCCTTAGATTGACATGTACACAGTGAAGGCAGCAGACGCCATGAAATAGCGTTGCTGATAGATGCGTCCTCCCAAGAATTCCATATGTTTGCTTCATACCCCTACGACTACGGATTCATTCCGACATGGTCTGGAACCAAAACATACATATACCATGCGACGTATACTTTATCCGGGAAGCAGATTGCGCATGGCAAATGTTGTTTTGAGGATGTGCTCGGATTCCGATTTGGGCCCATCCTTCCCGTAGATTGTAACGGTAAATTCGCGCTGGAAGCTTATGGCCGCTACTGCGGATTCGAGAGTCACCCCGAAACAAGGTTCCGCTTTGAGTATGATACAGTTACAAGGGCATTTGCTCTCGACGAACAATGGCCTCCATGGAATGTACGACACAGATCCTCGGCATATAACGGTGTTGCTTTCATGGCAGCGTCGATACCATATTTTCCAGATCAAGAAATTGCAATTTGTATGGGAACGCGGTAGGTGATTGTTTCCATTCGTTTCAAGATATTGTGCTAATTCATACAAGCGATCGTCCCAAGCATGACAGGTTGGACGGAAAAGCTCAAGTTGAGGGTAGCAAATTAGAGACTGTCCGGTACTCCAGTGATCAAATGCAGGTCCTCATCAATCCTACATGGGCGGTCCATAAACTTCCTTTACCGTCAACTGGAGTTATGGTCTTCTGTTATGAGAAGAATGTGTTCGTTTCGCGGCCGGGCTTCGTTAGAAATTTCTCCTCATTATGAGATCGTGAGGAGAGTTAGATAGATCTCCACCTCTGTATCCCAGGTCACAGAATTTTCCCTCTCTATCTCTCTCTCTCTCTCTCCCTCTCTTTCTCTACCTAGGCAGGACGATGTAACATCTGTTCGTACATCGTAAGAGGTACGGAGTAGGTGTAGTCTGCAAAACACGAATTACCTTTTTCGCTTTTTCGTGTTTTTTTTTATCAAGTGAACCCTGCATCTTTAGGTGAATTTTCAATGACCTGTGTACCTTCCTACTCCATTAGGATTAGCGCGGGGCTTCTAGAGGGGATTTTGAACAGTGACAGTTTGGGTCATTTGTCGGCGACCGCCGCCTCTACCGTTGTCAAACTTTCTTTCCACCTCGAAATTTCGAGAGCTTTCACCACACACAACTTTTTACTCCAGTCACTACACTAAAAGGACGTCCATCATGGTCGAGAAGGTCTACGTCACATATAACCAGGTTCGTGCAATTCTCAATCATCATGTGCAGCTCTCTGAAACAGGTTGCATGCACCTGCCCATAGCTGTCACTGTGGCTGCCTGGATCGATGCTGTGCGACGAAACAACCAGATGCACAGCTATGTTCATGCCATATAACAAGGCATAATAACACCTTCTTGTATATCATATATGATACACTCTCTTCCGGAGCGCAACTTCATTCCGTTCAAACTTCGCTTTTATCCAGCCGTTTAGCCAGTTTGATCCTGGGCCCTTAATTGACTCTTTGACTACCAGGTGCACAAGCTCTGCCAGGAGTCTGCAGACCGCATACTCAATGACTTCAAGCCGAACCTCATGATCGCCATTGGCGGTGGAGGCTACGTTCCTGCCCGAATCCTGCGGTAAGCATGCGCCTCTCGCCCTTCAGCATCAACATCCGTTTGCACGAAGTCTCCCACCAACCCAGGAGCACGACCTCGAGTCACTTGGACCTGACATTCTGCATTAGATCATTCCTCAAGAAGCCCGGAGCACCAAACATCCCTATCCAGGCCATTGGCCTTTCTCTCTACGAGTCCCTCGGCACCGACCCCGTCGAAAAGCCTGGCACCAAGGTTACCCGCACCCAGTGGCTCGACCTTTCCTCTCTTGAGATGGCCAACCTGATTGGCAAGAACGTGCTTATCGTAGACGAGGTCGATGACACCAGGACAACCCTCGAGTATGCCGTGCGCGAGCTTGAGAAGGACGTCCAGGAGGCCCAGCGCAAGACCGGGCGCGAGGGCGAAAAGACGACCTTCTCTATCTTTGTGCTGCACAACAAGGACAAGACGAAGAAGGGTGTTCTGCCTGAGGATCTTGCAAAGAACAAGTACATTGCTGCTAAGACTTTGAGCGATCTTTGGATCTGCTACCCCTGGGAGGCTACGTATGTTATTCGCTCCATCACTCGACGAGATTCAATCCTTCTGAATTAACACCATGTACAGTGACATCGATGAGCACGATCGTCTTTCTAAGGAGCAGGAGGGTCGATACTGAGCGTTACGCCTCTCCCTCCCTCACGACTCACGAACAACAAGTATTAGCATAATGGGACATCTGGCACGGTTGCATTTCTGGATGAATTGATCAAGGAGTTGGCGGATGATTTTGGAAAATAAAGACAAGATTTCTTTCGAGAAAGCAAAATACGTGATGGGGTTGTTGAGTCACCATACGTCGGGTTGCGAATTAGAATTGTCATAGTCGGTGAAAAGGTGAAAAAAAAAGTCCACGATCGAAATAGTCGATACAAGTTCATGTTCTCATCGTATTGACCGTGTCTCTACCTTGCGTACTCACTTACCCGTGGCTTTTCTGGATATTGATCTACTGTGACGGTACCTCTGTGTATCATTCTGCAGAACCCTTACCTCATGAACAGGAGGTTGCACCCTTTTGAGACCCAATGTGTAGCTTGCATTGACCTGAATCACTCCTTGGCACATCTTATCCCTTGCGATCGAGACCACTGAGGATGTTGGGTCTACAGGAATCTATGATCTACACCAATCACTCTATTGTCTTCAGATGTTGTTTTTGCCCGAACCCAGCCCCAGCACAAGATGGACATAGCTTCACAACCCTACTTCGAAAGCGCCCTCGACAAGACCCCAAAGCTCCTTGACAATATCATTCTGGCCCTCTCCCCCTCTGACGGCAAGATACCTCCGTCCATCAACCTTGGGTTCCCAATTCCCCGGGTTTGCATCTGCGATGACGCCACCGGCCTCCTTGAGGATGACCCACCCCGCACAAACATCCCAAGCCCAACATCCCGCCTCCCAGTAGACATCAAGACCACCAGTCGCGACGCCACACAGGTTCAGCGCAGCGCTCCCGAAGCTCCTCAACCCGTGCACCATACCACCTCCTTGTTCCTTGGTGGCCGCAAGATTGGAAAACGTCTTGCTCTTGACGGCGAAGTCGTTTCCAGACCTGTCACTGCCCCACTCCACGGCTACGAGACAGCTTGACAGATCTTCCATCTTTGTGGGTGGGGAGAGGGGGAGCTGGTGTTTTTGGCCGGCTTGGTGAACGAATGAGCCTTGGCCTTTTATGCCGGTGTAGAGGACGTCTGTGAACGGGTTGTAGACGACGCCGACGGTAGGAACGCGGTCGATGGCAAGGCCGAGGGAGATGGAGACGTAAGGGTAACGATGAACGAAGTTGTTAGTTCCGTCGATGGGATCACATATGAACGTGGGTGCTGCCGTGAGGGCGTCGCCAGGCTTATATGTTTCCTGTTATTTGGTATCAATTAGCATCACTCTGAAAGAAACACGAGATAAAAAGCCTAGAAATTCCCAGGATGCATGCAATTGGACTAGAACATGGTCATTGTGAGCATACCTCGCCCATGAATGCGAAATCGGGATACTTCTCGCGTAGAGAGGTAGACACCAGCTTCTCCACGGCTTGATCCGTCTCTGTGACGAGATCGGCGGCTGGAGAAGATTAGCATCAAATTTTGTTTTCAATTGCAATGAAAAACTGGCATGATCATAAACGTACAGTTCTTTTTCGAACCAGCGGCCAGCGTTGTAGGATGTGCGGATGTGATCATTTCTCCTGCCCTGCGGGCGATGGAGATCATGAAGTCATGAATCTCTTGAAGATTGATGTCGGCCATGATAATAATGGTGGAATATCAATTGAGATAATTCAATATATAATGCTGCGGTGAACAAAGCTTAGATTTTCGAAAGCTCAAAGTCCCTGATGTCTGCGGTGATGGAGGTACCTAGTGCCCCTCTGTGGGGTTATCGATAAGGCCATCCATCCAGGAAACTCGAGTCCCGACTCCCAACGCCACCCGCGCGGAGCCACCAGCCCGTTCCTGACGGCCCAGTAATCGTGTGGATGTGCAAACGATGAGCTCTTAGTGGTCGCGGGAATGACTCGGCTCTGGATCCAAGCTCCACAAGAATACGAACAAACCACCTCGGTACATTGATGACACCCCGTCCTGGAGTCCTCAAGGCCTCGAGTCGAGGAATTCCTCATCCTCTTCTTCGAGGGCAGCTGTACAGAACACCAAAATGGCGGCCGCGATCGCCCATTTCAAAACAATCCCTTGGGCTGCGGCCATCATATCAGACCCACAATGGACGCCTACAAGAACAGCTTCGCGCGTCCCGAAACCTACCACGGAAGACTCCTTCTTCGCTGAAACCCTCGGTACTGATCGCACAATTCGGCATTGTCTTACTCTGCGCCCGACTGTCGCAGAGGAGGGCACACAGATTGCGTATAAAGAAGTTCGGACCATGATGGAATTAGGAGAAGGGCTGAACGGCCACCCAAAGATACTACACGGCGGCTTTGTAGCAACAATGCTAGATGAGATCTGCGGCGTGCTAATTACGCTGAATTTGGAGAAAAAGGTCGAAAGGTTACGGAAAGAGGGACTGAGTCCCCACGGAGGCATGAACTGCTTCACAGCTTGTGGGTGACATCAACGTTGGCGGCTATTACATATGAGCCAAGGACTCATTGAATCCGCAGATCTGAACACAAACTACAAGAAGCCCGTCCCTGCGCCTGGCCCTGTACTATGTACGGCGCGGTTTGAACGACAAGAAAGAAACAAAACCTTCGTCAGTGCCACCATAGAGGACGGCAATGGTACAGTGTACACGATTGGCGAAGGAATGTTCGTCGAGGTCAAGAACAGCTTGTGAACCCTGTCTCAGAGGGAGTGGTTTCCAAGGGCGCCGTAGGCCGACTCTGACTCTGACTCCCACGATATGTATCATCTCCTTGCACACTTTTCGCCCGAGACTGGTACTCGTCATTGAGTTTGATCGAGGATCCAGGTACACACAGCACTGGCCTTCACAAACATTCACCACATCGGCAAATGGTGAATCACTATGTACTACCATATGGTGGCATTCCTCAAGCGCTTCGACAGCAGCCTTGTTCTAGACTATAGATGTACAGAAGCTCTAACAAGGGAGCACTAAGGGTTGATTGGCATTGTCTTTTGGTAGTCAAGTGAGTAAGCCTTGATATTCTAACTAATTTCGTTCAATGGGTAGTTTTATTTGCTTTGCACTGCAAGCATGGTCTTGGGAAGACAGTCAATGACAATATTCCAAGTGGTTTGCTAGCTTTTGGACTTTCGTAGCTATTGTGGAATGCCCTACCATATAGCACCTGATTTACATTTAAGCGAATGCAGAAGGTGACTGCATCCTCCTCCGACTGGTTCGTTGGCCTGTACATTTAATTTCGCCCTCAAGAAATTCAATCTATTTCCTGACCCTATCGCGAATGTTTGTAGAAAGAATTACACTAACATGATCTCCAGCAAGCATAAGCGCATAGCACCTTGAGCACAACCTGCATTACATAGTAGGTGTCTGGACTTCTCTAACCTGGATTTCGCACCTTTCCTCCAATTACTCATATCCATGCTCGGGCCTATCCTTGCTCATCGGTGCCTACAAGTCCACGGAGCCATTTGTCTTTCTTTCGCATCGTTCATTGGCAAATGCCCAATCTTTGATTGAAAGGACCATCTTCATTTCCGCATACTACAGTACAGAGACCCAAGGCCGGAGCAGTGTCCTCTTCAGTCCTGCCATCGGATGTATATGAGACCTCCGGAGATTGTGACACGGCGGCAGATCGACCTTCTCTAAAGAGCATTAAACTGTTTGGCGCACCGTTCTGACACACGACATGTGAGATATAGCTCTGATTCGGGAGGTCATAGGGCAGAGTAGTGACGATGCAGTGCGACACTCTGGCGCTACGATCTGGTCAAGTTTCTTCTACCCCGCAAAACACTCGAGCCACGAGGCTGGAGGAACGACAAGGGCGTCAACAACTAGGGTTAAGTAGGTCTGGGAGTGCGGCCACCCCGATGTGCCCTGGTTCAGAACGTCTTGATTTGCTTGTTTTACCCAGGCCTGCATTCACATGTTGCTCTGGTCATTAGTCGGTGCGGGTGGGCACACTTGACAGTGATATATTGCCCTCCGGCCCGGTGACTCTCGGCTGAATCGGGCTAGTCTCATCATGGTACTCCTGAGCATTCCTGTGTCCCATCTTGTTATTTTGATATTTCATTTCACATTCATTTCTTGTTACGCTTGTTGTTAATCACCATCCAAGGGCGTGCTGCTAAGTGGTTGCACCAATCACTGATCCATATAACTCGCCACTGCCATGCAATTCTCCTTGCAAGATAGGCTTCGTGGTGATGCTAGACAGAGCCCGGAGAATCCATGAATGCCGAATGATCACACGAAAAGCCATGGCAAGTCATCGGAGAGGCTTGTTTGCGGTTCTCGAATAGATGACCACAGACCAAACGCTCAGGGGTGGGGGCAATAGTGAGAGGTCCCTGGCGGGCGCCATGTGCAAGTGAATATGCTGCCTCTTGATTCACCTGGATTCATCTTGATTCTTCAGAGTATAAGGGGACGCATTATTCTCCCCTTCTTCTCCCCACTATCAATACTCAACCTTGATCACATTCTTTGCTTGGTCAACTCTTCTTGGTATTGCAACTAAACTCACAGTACATCTTGACATGAAGTTCACTCCGGTAGTCTCCTGCCTGTTGGCGGTAGGCTCCAATGCATTTATAGGAGTACCTGATATGAGCAGGCTCGTTCAGAAGGCTCTTGATCTTCTGGATGTCTCATTGGATCCATCGACTAATGCTCCTGCGGGGGTATTAGTTGCTCCTTCAGCTACTACCTTGGCCACAGTTGTGAGCAAACCTACCCCACGGGCAGTCAACAATGCGGCGGATACAGCATACTGGCTGGCAGATACCCCAAAGCAAGGTGTTGCTGCCTTCAACAAGGACCCTCAGGGCTACAAGGTCTGGCGCAATGTCAAAGACTATGGTGCTAAGGGTAGGTTTCATTGATATACTCAAATGCCCATCTAAGCAGCTAACGTAAAATAGGTGATGGTGTAACGGACGACTCTGATGCAATCAATCGTGCTATCGCAGACCAAGATCGTTGCGGCCCATGGGTTTGCGATTCTTCCACCGACTCGCCTGCTGTCGTCTACTTCCCATCTGGCACTTATGTTATCGGAAAAGCTATTGTTATGTACTACATGACCCAGCTCCACGGAAATGCCAATGATCTCCCGATTCTGAAGGCTGCGCCCACGCTCCAGGCTCTGGCTCTGATTGATGCAAGCCCTTACAGCAATGAGAATGGCGAAGCAGGCTGGATCTCGACCAATTTATTCATGCGTCAGATTCGCAATTTTGTCATCGATTTGACCCCTATTTCACCAGAGAAGGCTGCACAGGGCATCCACTGGCCAGCATCGCAGGCAACTTCCATTCAAAATGTCAAGATTCGCATGGCTCAGTCCGCAAACTCACAGCAAACTGGTCTCTTTATTGAAAATGGCAAGTACCCCCAAAATGTACGGTCAAATATTCATATGGGAATGGTTGCTAACTATAACCAGGATCTGGCGGTTACTTGGTAGATCTTGACATCACTGGTGGTCTTTATGGTATGAACATCGGTAATCAACAATTCACCATGCGCGGCATCAAGATATCGAAGGCCCAGATCGGCATTTCCCAGATCTGGAACTGGGGCTGGCTGTACCAAGGACTTCACATCTCCGATTGCAAAACTGCATTCTCTATGATCAACGGTCTCACTAATGATCAGCTCGTTGGCTCTGCGGTCATCGTTGACAGCGACATCACGAATTGCGACACATTTGTTGACATGGCCTGGACACCCAATGCTAAGCCCATTGGCGCTGGACAGCTGATCTTGGAGAATATTGAGCTCACCAATGTCGGAACCGCCGTCAAGGGGTCCAACACAACTGTTCTCCCCGGAGGCACCACGACCATCACAGCCTGGGGCCAGGGAAATAAGTACACACCGAATGGTCCCGAGAAGTTCCAAGGTCCCTTGACTCCAGCAAAGCGACCCTCAGAACTTCTCAATGGCAACAAATACTGGGCGGTCGTCAAGCCTCAATACGAGCGCCTACCCTTGTCGACATTCATTAGTGCACGCACTGCTGGAGCTAAAGGCGATGGTAGAACAGACGATACCACTGCCATCCAGAACGCTGTCAACCGGGCCGTTTCCGAGAACAAGATCGTATTCTTTGATCACGGCGTTTACAAGATTACTAAGACCATCTACCTGCCACCAGGAGCACGTCTGGTCGGAGAAATCTACTCTGTGATTATGGCATCCGGAAATACCTGGGGCGATGTCAATAACCCGGTACCAGTTATCCAGATTGGCAAGCCCGGTGAGCGAGGCAGCATTGAGTGGTCTGACATGGTCGTGGCGACACAGGGTCCTACTCCAGGAGCTAAGATTATCGAGTACAACCTCGACACAACCCGCGGATCAGGTATCTGGGATGTACACACCCGCATTGGTGGTGCAAAGGGAACCAACCTGCAGGTTGCCCAATGCCCTATCTACACGACAAAGCCTGAGTGTATGTCTGCACATACGAATGTCCATGTCACGAAGACTGGAAACGGTGCTTATTTTGAAAACAATTGGTTCTGGGTAAGTCATGATTAGTGTTCTTTGGGTGTGAGTCTCGCTAACAGTATTCAACAGACTGCCGATCACGACCTAGATGACTGGAACAGCACGCGAGTCTCCATCTATACAGGCCGTGGCATGCTTGTCGAGGCATCAAATGTAATGCTCTGGGCCAGCGGCGTCGAGCACCATGCTCTCTACCAATACCAATTCGCCAACGCGAAGAACATCTTCGCTGGATTCATTCAGACCGAAACGCCGTACTACATGCCGAACCCAGATGCTAAATCACAACCCTACCCGATCTCTTCGGCTCTCAACGACCCCAACTACGCTACAGCCTGCCCAGCTGGTTCCATCTGCGATGCATACGGCCTGAGGATCTTGAACTCTCAATCCGTACACGTCTACGGAGCGGGACTGTACTCGTTCTTCAGGGACTACGACGTGTCGTGCAGCTCACCCGATGCTCCAAACGGGAACCGATACTGCCAGGATCGGATCTTGAGCATTGAGGGTTCGTCGACCAGCGACGTGATCATCTACACCTTGAACGAAGTAGGTGCGTTACAGATGGTTACGATCGATGGTCAGGACAAGGCGAAGTGGTCGGATAACCTGAGTGTATATCCCAACGCCATCGGCCTCTTCACTTACAAGGTTTGAGAAACGAGGTAGAGTAAGCCGTTTCTTCATAGCGAAGGGAGTGGGGCTTCCACAGAATGTGCAAACTTTTCCATCTACCTTGTCTTACTCTTCCTCATGTCTATATTTAGGGACTACTTCGCATGCTAGATGCTAAATCAGGTAGATCAAGGCCTGCTTAGAGGTTTTTTTTCCTTGAGGAAATCAACATGATGGAGCCTGGGTATTCCTTTTCCTACCCAATGCATTTTCTCTTTCTCTCTTTATTTCCGTTCTCCATGTCGTGTATCTGATATCAGGATAGTATATCTCCTCACCTTGCATAGCAAGACGAGGGGCAAATGAAAGGTTGGAAAGCTGCGAATACGTGGACGTCTATGGCAGATATAAATGGGATATGTTTAACGATGAGCGCAGCACTGGAGGGTCTTAGTCTCTGTCTTGTGTGTGGTTTTCCTTATCTTATGTGAATTCTCCATGCGATCCTTTCACTAGTGTGTCTTTGTAGCTTCGTGGACAAGTACCTACCTACATATCGAAAGAACGCCCTGTTTGGTTTAGCGTAGGATGTACGACAAAGTTAAGAAGTGACATGTCAAGAAATCTTGCATTCACACGACTGAGAATGCGTATACCTTTAAGCGCAGTTGTTTGCAATGACAGCATAATGAGGACGACGTATGATTTGCAAGATGATAGGCTGATCCAGCATACATGTGAATGTGGAGAACGTACGCCTCGCGCCCCTCTTCCCGGCCGTTTCACGTGTGATTGATGATAGGCAAAATGGGAGTCGATGACTGACATAGAGTGGCTCAAGTAACTGACAAATTATCGATGTCGCACGTTTTGTCATCAAGTTTGAAACTATTTTTTCTTCCTGATCGCTGGCAGAATTATTGGGGTACGTGGGAAGTTTGTGCCGCTTTATGCCTACTATGTATTGTATGCGTGTACGTGGAGTTTTGGCCATGCTGTATAAATCCGGGTGGATTTGGGCGCGTGTGTACTCGTACACGTTTGATGACACTGTCGAATGGACCTAGTAAAGGAGTATGGAATGAAGAAGGAGAATAATAGCGTAGAGGAATTATTGAGGAGTAATAGAATCATTTGGAGAGGGCACAGAGAGAATAGATGGAACGAGTTTACTAAGTTACCAGGAGCGAACGAGAATAGTCGGTACTCGGTAACAACCTAGTTAGGACAAGTGCGCGATTGATGATGAAAATCATGGTGATGGCCCAAGGCAGGCAATAGAATTGCATAGACTGGGCTGACCGGGCATGGTTTGGTTGGCCTGAGACTGGCTGGCTGGGCTGGCTGGTTAGTTAGTTGGTTGGTTGGTTGCTAAGTCCGTCGGCGGGTGGTAGTGTAGTGGTGATGATGGTCTTGTAGCAGCAGAGCAGTTCTCGACAATACGACGTTGCGGCTGTTCAAGAAACTCCGAGACCAGCTAACATCGCCACCGCCTCAGCCTCCGCCTGAAGCTGGTCATGTAACACATTATTGGCAATGTGTCCGTGACCTGCGTGGAAGTGTTTATGCGAAATGGGATGAGGGAAGAGGGGAGCAAGAGAAATGAGGAAGAGGGAAGAGGATGAGAAAAGGAAGAAGAGGATAGAAATGTAGAGTGTAAAGATGGTGCTACATGTAATATGTATGCATGATGTATGGGAGATTCGATGATGTATGCGTGTCCTAGACTCGTAGTGTTCCGAGTCTAGGATACCCCAAAAGTGGATTAGATTACTGTGGGTAAAATGAATGACAACTGCTAACGTTCTGGAAGGTGAGGAGCAAACAGGGGCCAACTCCGACAAGTCCAAAAAAGAAAGGTAACTATTAATTGGTTACTACATACTTGGTGGAGATGGTCGTTATTGTACATATGTACTCCGTAGAAGAGAAAAGAAGCCGTAGAATAGTTAGGCACTCTAGGGTATTGACAGTTGTAGGCCGTTGGGTGATTCAGATGCCAAAAATAGGAATGATGGGATGTCTGGATAGGGGGAGTTCGCCTTCAGACCATGCCCGATTGGTATTGGCGTGGTTGCCCCCCTGGTGTATTTTGAATGTTTATTGCTATCGACTCGTCTTTAAGCCCAATCGGGTTTAGTCCCTATGAATCCACTCTCTCCTCACTCTCTCTCCCTAAACATCCTCAACCCTTTCCTTTCAATCTTTCCTCTTCGTTCCTCCACACTGTTACTCCTCATCCTTCTCCTCCTCCTTCTTCCGTCCTCCCATCATTAATTTCTAGACACCTTTCACTCGCTCGCTATTCTCAACTTATCCCATTTTCAATTCAACCGCCATTCTTCCTTCGTTGCTAGTCACTCGTTACCCACCTCGGAATCCATATTTTGTCTCACGCCTCCGGTTGATTGATTGGCCCTCCGCGTTTCGAAAGTCGTTGACCTGCCCCCATTTCCATCCCAAAACACTCAACACCAGTTACACCATCACTTCCACCTGATCATTTCACCGCCAGCCCGCGTAATTTCTCGAGTCCTCTCCATCTACTCATCACATATCCGTCCTACCGAACTAGAGCTACTGCCTCTCCTACACGAACCTACGAGCCGCCTCATAGCATATAAACGGTGTACACGATGAGGCCCGCTCAGTTGCTCGCTGCGGTCGTCGCACTGTCCTCCGTCACCGCCGCCTGGCCAGACATGTTCGACCATACAAATGCAATCTCTCCCGTCAAGAATGTGATCTACGGAAGGCAAGACAGTGGGTTGACCCGGCATACTACAACTCCCCTGCATCACACGCGATACTAACAGCACTACCCATAGATTCGGAATCCACAGAGCCTAGCAAGACCGCAGAACCAAAGTCCTCCGCCACGGATGGAAAGCCAGAGAAGACTGAAGATCCAAAGGAGACAAACTCGGGATCCGCGTCGGCCACTGCCACAGGAAAGGACAAGGCTTCACAGACCGGAAAGGCCAGTGGCACTGCCAGCGCCACCAAGTCCAAGTCCAAGTCCATCGCTCCCGACAAGCCGGCTGGTGGTATCCAAATGATCACCCCGGAGGCCATTGCTGGACCTCAATACTACAAGATTGGTGACTGGGTCACATTTGCCTGGAACTACACCAGTCTCCTCGTTACTCCCAAGGCCATTGACATCATGGCTACATGCACAAAGAACCAGGCAACTTACACGCTCGCGGTCAATCAATCTGTGGAGGAGACGGGCCGCATCCTATGGGATACCTCCAAGGACAAGGACAGCAACAATCCTCTTCTTACCGAAATGTATACCTTGCTCGTCTACGACTCCGAATCCGACGTTACGGCCATCCCATCGCCAGGCCATTTGGGCAGCGCCAACTCCTTCAGGTTCGGTCTCTATCAGCCACAGAAATACGTCCCTTGGGCGGGTATGTTATCACGATGGTCTTCATTCGATATTTAACACTAACACCACTTCAGAGTTCGAGTGCGCAAACTGCAACGGTGCCATGGGCACCTTGACCCTCAATGCCCTCTTCATCACATGCGCGACCACATTCGGATCCCTTCTCTACTTCGCCTATAGTTTCGGCGCCTTCTGATCTCGTCCTTCCGGAACCATGTCGAAACCTCATATTGAATGGGAATCACTCTCCGAACTACCCACATTCTAAATAGCATCAACATCCTCTGCATCGAAATAACGGCGTTCTCTCACTATTTATATTTGTTCTTGTACATTCACTCCTTATACGGTCTAAAATATTGGTTTACAGCGGCAACGCTACGCTACGAAGAGTCTAGTCACTGCTCGTGACTAGTGGAGTTTCCGGTGTGGTGCGCTATCTATATGGAGAATTATTGGGCTGGTGTGGGCGCAGAACTTGCATCTTTTGAAATATAAAAGGCTTTAATACTTTTGGCGAGAATACAGGAGAAGCACAGCGCAGGAGAAGACGAAGGCACTTGGCATCATACATTTCCGATTGCTGAAAGGTTGAGGGTGAAATTTGGGTAGAGTTGGAAGCGCATGTCACGATCTATGTCAATGTAGCGTTCTTGCGTGAAGCACTACATTATCGCTCCTTCACATATCACATACTAAATGCATCAAATCACGAGCTTGCAATGCTTTCAAAAGTTGAACCACACAATATCTCTCGAATTTGTTCCATTAATGATATCGTTCGCTCGTTCAAGTGTGACCCTCGGCTGTGTATCAACAAACACATTGCGGAATGCAATGTACCTACGCATTCCTTCTTTACTACGCCTATCTATCGAGAAGGAAAATATAATGAAATAGAATTTGGTATCTCCCAGGAAACCCGAACGCCGACCCAGGAATGTTTAGGCATGCACGATAGATTCCATTCCCTTGTTCCATGTTCTTTATGTCCTTCTGTGTGAACCGTAAGTATATCAGGACACAATATATGTCCATGTGAAAGAGACGAAATGAACTTGCTCAAAGATTCCCTCCACAGCCGCAGGTGAATCTGGAAAATGCATCATCAAGCCCTTCCAGACGGCCTGTTTCTCCTCCATTCTTCTTTGAGCACCCAGCGACCCCTCCCCGCCGTACCCTTCTCCAGTGTCGCCAGCGTCTTCAGGCACTCTCTAAACTCTTCACTGCGACCAGGAACCTGCCGACACAAGTGGTCGAACTGATCCACCAGCATCTTTGTGGGTACGGAGCCATTGTGCGTGAGCATGAACTCTCGAATCCTCTCCAACATTGCACGGCCCCGGAAGGCGGTGGGCGTAGACGTTCCCGAGCGAGACGATGAGCCCCCAGAAGTATCGCCACGACCTTGACGAGCGGCGAGATTGGTCAGGATAGAAGACGACGAGGGTCCGCCTCCTCGGCCACCCCTCGATGCGCCCAAGCCGCCCCGCGTGGAAGATGCCATGGGCCGGGGACGCGGCGCCTCGGGTCGTCCAGCCTCGCCGTAGAGTCCCGTCCAGGTCAGTGTCCCCGCTGGCACTGTTCGTGCCTGCTGCTCGGCCTTGCGTAATTCCTCTGCTGCCTGCGCAGCTGTCCGCCGAGCCTCACGCTGGATGAAGGCCGGGTCGGCTTGTACTTTGCGCTTGCGGCCACCTGGCGCGGAGCTCATGATGGCGTCGTGCTCGAGGACCGAGTGCACGCCTGATTTGGCGAATATAGTCGACATGAGACGGTTGTCTGATTTCCCTTCGCCATTCTCGCCCTCTGCTTTGCTTTCGGTGGCGGGTTCTTCCTCTTCTGTGGGTGCTTGGAAGGTTTCTGCATGATCGATGCCGTAGACTTTTGCTAGATCTGCCTTCGTTGTCGTTTCGCTGTCTGTTTCTTTGGCCTTGCCTTTACCTGTGTCCGACGTCGGCGTAGGCAGTGCCTTCCCGGACTCTTTACCGGCTTCGAAATCGACTTCGGAGCCGCGGAATATGTTAGCTGTCTCCGTCTCGGTTTCGACACTCTCGTTTCCGAGCGTGAATAGGTCGTGAAGATCGCTCATTTGAAAAGTCTGCTGCTTCTTCGGATCTCTCAAAACTCGATTGGTGAGAAACTGCTTGAAGATCTGTCGGTGATATATCTTCTCCTCGATGGTACCGGCGGACATGAGACGGTATATCTCAACCTCTCGCTTCTGTCCCAAGCGCCACGATCGCTCTCGTGCTTGGACATCCGTCGAAGGATTCCAGTCTGGGTCGTAGATGATAACACGGTTAGCACCTGTCAGGTTTACTCCCAAGCCACCGACTTTCGTCGTGAGTAAGAACACATGCAAATCAGGGTTTCGGTTGAATTCGTCCACTAGATCCTGTCGGTTCTTGATTGGTGTCTCGCCATCCATGCGTCGATAATTGATGCCGTCAAGACTTTTCATCATTTTCTCCAGTATGTCGAGCATGATGCGATGCTGAGCGAAGAGGAGTGTCTTATGGCCACCTTTCTTCCAAAGTGATACGAGCTCCTTGACGACTTGCATTTTTCCAGACTTGTTCGCTGCTCCATAATCAAGACGCTTTGAACCGTTCTTGTGATCTGTCAGGTCTGGGTGGTTGCATACTTTCCGCAGCCAATCTATACCATAGAGCATCTGTCGTTTGCCACTCTGGATGGATTTCATTTCATCCGAACTCAGAAAATTCTCATATGCTGACCGTTGCTGTTTCGTGAGTTTGCAGAACAACACTTGCTCTTTTTTCTTGGGCAAATCCGTAGCAACGTCAACTTTGAATCGTTGTAGGAGGTATGGACTAATTGCATCTTTGAGGGTTTCTGCACATCGCATTGCAGTCTCGTATTCCAAATTCGACGCGTTGGCGTATCCGCCACGCTTTATCGGAAATTCGAACTGATTGCGGAAGTTGATCAAAGTTCCCAGTCGCATTGGATAGACGAAATCAAATAATGACCAAAGCTCGGTCAAATTGTTCTGCATCGGCGTTCCAGACAAAATGATACGGTTTGGTGTACGGAGCTCTTTGCAGTGAATCGTTATAGAGGTATTGGGGTTTCGGATTTTATGGCCTTCATCGAGCACCGCAACATCCCATTCTGTGGGAATAAGAAACTCGGCATATGTTTGTAGTCCCGAGTACGTCGTGACTAGAACATGGCCGTGGCGTTTGACCTTCTCGACAATCTTCTTCGCGGCTTTGCCTGCGCTTGTTAATGTCTCGTCGTAGTCGCCATAACTTCGCAGCTCCATTTCTCTTTCCATGCGATCCTCACGTCTAGTATCAAGCATCCCACTACCTGATGTGTGCAGAATCGAGACGCGCAAGGCCGGCCACCAACGATGAAATTCGTTGACCCACTGCTTCATGACTGTAGCTGGACACACCACAATGACTGGCTTGACAAGCTTCCTCGAGTAATGAAGTCCGGCAATGAACGATATGGCCTGAATGGTTTTACCCAGGCCCATCTCATCACCAACAATTCCGCCCACACCTTGTGCATATAGTTCCCAAAGCCATTGAACGCCTGTCTTTTGATAGTCGAAAAGGGCTGGGTAGATGTCGCCTGGAATTCGGAAGCCGCCGTCAAATTCAGTATCAGACTGTGTGGGATGTGGTAGATAACACTCCTCGTCCTCTTCCTCAGCAATAGCAATACCTTGCTTCTCGTTTGCTCGTTTCCGTGCGTTCGAGCGATCGTGTGTCCATTTGCGCAAGCGATCTTTGTATACTCGCTCGTTTCCATCATCAACACCCGCAAGATCTTCCTCTTCAGCCACTGGTTGTGAAACTTTCTCCTTTTTGTTCTTATTAACACTTGTCTTGCTTTTCCGGCTTCCCGAATCTCCTTTGTAATCATCATCTTCAGATAATTCTTCATAGGCTCCTTCGGACTCACTAAGAGCCGCTAGCTGACGATCCGTCATGCCAGACTCGAAGTCATCGTCTGAATCTCCACCAGGGCCTTCAGCTGCACTGCTGCTATCGTCAAAATCTACCTTACGAGTGATCCTCCGCTTCTTGGCAGGTCGAATGTTAGAAGCACTTGAATCCGACTCCACATCCTGGAAACCCGGTTTCATTAGATTCTGATGCGATTTTGGACCTTCGTCTGGCTCCTCTATGATGTCTTCAACCTCTGCATCTAGCATGACCTCTTCCAGCTTGGATTCCGTGCCTTGTGCTTGCGCCAATTTCGAAAATGGTGTGATTTTTCCTGTCCGTATCAAAAAATCTCGCCTGGATTCGTTGGGAAGCGGTCGATTAACACCATCGGCTAGAGATTCTTCCTCCTCTGGCCCTTTGTGTCGGTCGTTTATGCGTTTTTGAATGATGTCCTGCTCAGCATCTATCTCATCTATCCGCTTCTGAAAACCCGCCAACTCTGCACGAAGTTTGAGCTTCTGGGTATCTACCATCGGCATCGCAAGCCGATTTCTAAGTTTTTGTATGGCAACCTGTGTTCGCTTGACCTCTGTTTCATTCTTCTCCATGCGCTTTTTATCTCGCTCATCAGCCTGTTCTGTGAGCAGTTGGTCGGCCTGGCGGCCAATATCCCGTTCCATGTCATCCTGATTCCGAGTACCAGTAGTGAGATACTTCAGACGGGCCTCCTCATCTGCGTTCTCTGATATAACTGATTCCATATCTGATGCATCCTCGTTCACGGCAGTTCCTTCCTCTTGAATATTTGGTGATGTGCCGCTCTTCTCCAAGACTGATGATGTATCCTCAGGCGCCTGCGCCGTATCACTTTCCGAGGTATGCATCCCAGATATTTGACTGAGTATTGTCTGGGAGGTATGTGGCTCAGTGATCGAAGCAAGAATCACGATGCTTGCTTGTGAGATGGGCGACTGATGCCTACGAGGGTGGTTGCCTGCGGGCGAAAAGCTGCGGATGATGTGCGGTGCAGGCTAAGGGTCGTGGAGGAGATTTGCGAGGAACTGTCGAAGGGCGAAAAGTCCCATCACGTAGGGCAGTACCGTGAACGAGCGTCTAGGCGTAGGAAAATGGTTAGCCACTTGATGCTGCGCATAAAAAGTTCATACAACGTCATCGAATCGCGCCAAGAGCTAGCGTCAATGCCAAAACACGTGATGATCATCCACGCGACTTAAACTATCCCTGCGTCGATCTCCACTAGAAATGCTACATTAGGTACAGATGTGTGGTACGTACTACATATGCTTATTGTATTGGACGATATCTCTTCGAATTCCAAAATGAAGTGTGAATCCAACAGCAGCGAACTATCAATTAATGACATTAAATAAGCAATGTTCCGCCTCCCGCACATCTTATCACTAGTTGAATATCCATGTCGCGACTCACGAAGCATCCAATAGTGGCTGATACAGGTGTTGTACATATATTGAAAAGTCTCCCTACTCGTGGGCATGTGATAAATAAAGACGATCATTTGAAATGGCATACAGACTTTATTTTAGGCACTCTGGGGGCATCATTCGGAAAGATAACTGCCCATGGGCAGTCCAAGTGACATGTTTTCATGTGAGTTCAGATTTGTATTTATTTAGTACACAACTTGATTTCGTTCAGTCTTCAAATATCATCATGTCCGTTATATCCGTGGGCTTCCGTCATTTTACCACGTATTCAATTTTCGTTCGTTTACCTATAACGGCCTCTCTTCGAAGACTTCGGAGACATTGGATGACATAACTCGGAACATTTACCCACGCTACGAATGTCTCCTGTCTCCATCGCAACTCTTTGTCTTAATACGAATCGTCTTAGATTCTTTTATAAGAACTAGTTCCGTAGGCGATGATCCAACAAGCTCAGCATAAGAGTTTTATGGTTGAGCTTGAACCCAATAAGCTCACAGCTACGACGTGCTGACATCGAACCCTTGGAAGAGGCATAAGAAAATTACGTAGTCGCGGCAATTATGGATTTAATGTATTGTACTATATGATGAATTGGTCCTTATTAGTGATGTAAAACGAAACTGCGAGTTCATCAGCTTATATATAATGCAAGACATGTACACCCTTTCCGCGCACCGTAGTATCAATAATTCAATACTATTATCAAGCCAAACCGTAACCCGAGGTCTTTACTAACATACAACAAAATGGGTTCTATGCTACTCCCAAATGCTGAGAGACCAAGATTAATGGTTCAAGTCATCGAAGAGAAAGCGCAATGGCAGGGAAACGAAACATTCATGAGATATCCTACACCTGATTGGCAGGAAGAAGGCTTTCGCACCATAACATGGAGCCAATTCGCAGATGCAGTCAATAAAATGGCTTACTGGCTGGACAATCAATTAGGAAAATCTAGGGATCAGGATACCATTGCCTACCTGGGACCATCTGATCCTCGCTATTCGATTATGATACCTGCAGCAATCAAGACATCACGAAAGGTAAGCGACATCCTTTCCACAAGAGTTTCGTTCAGGAAGACCGTGCTTTACGTGTGCTGAAACCATCGCTAGCTCTTCATCCCTGATGGTCGCGTTACTTCTGAGGGGCTTGACAGCCTCGTCAGATCAGCAGAATGTTCAATATGGCTACATGCAGAAGGTTCGAAATATCGAGCCGGGCTTGGTGAAAACACGGGACTGAGATTTCTAAATGTTCCTACAATTGCTTGGATGCTGGATAGTGAAGAATACAAACCCTATCCCTACCTCAAGACCTTCGAGGAAGCAAGGTTTGATCAGGTTTTAGTTATTCATACTTCTGGCACAACAGGTCAGTCAACCAGCCCGAAGAGCATGTCCCGGCCACTGACCGACAATCAGGTTTTCCGAAGCCAATTTATCACACCAATGGCTTTTACAGTGCCTGGTCAAGTTGTCTTCATTTATCTCAAAAGTACTGGCCGAAAGGGACATCATTCGATGCTTGGGTGGGCAAGATGATACTCACGGCTTGCCCACCACAGTGGTTGGGCGGCTTGCATAGCTATATTTTTGGCCCAATCTTCATGAACATCTCCACGACGATTGCACCGCCAGGAGTTGTGGGGCTTCCACCGGATATATTCAAGTCGGTACTCAAACATAACAAGATCGATGGTATCCATTGTCCACCACAAGTTGTACACGAGCTTTACAAGGAGAAATCGACTAAGTCGCTATTGGAGTCACTGGAATTTATCATTTTCTTAGGTGCTACACTTGACAGAGATATCGGCGACGATCTCTGTCGACATACCAGGGTGATTCCACTCATAGGATCTACGGAAAATGGGCCGCAGGTTGATCTTCCACCAGTGGACCGGGAGCTATGGTACACGCACGCTTACGCACCAGAGAATGGCAATCGCATGATCCATGTGCCTGATTCCAGCATCGCAGGAGGTGGCTCAGAGGGTTTATATGAGCTAGCCCTCGAGAGAGCTGCCGATGGGCAGCCGAACGTTCACCAGTGCGCTTTTTGGAATCCTATGCATCGTGATATAAGCATCATCCATACAAACGAACTTTACACGCCACTGAAAGACAAAGATGGGAGTACACGTTGGAACTTCGTAACCAGGAAAGATGATCTGACAAAGCTAAGCTGGCTTGCAAAATTCCACGCCCAGGACCTGGAAGGAAAGTTTTTACGCCATCCAGATGTTCGCAACGTTTTTGTTGGAGGACAGGGGAGGCCCACTCCGTTCGTGATCATCGAACCAAACGGTGCAGTACGGGATTTCGACCAAGCAAGCTCTCTGATTCTCAAACTGTATGAGGAAGTTATAAAGAAAGGAAATGAAGAGTGTGTGACAGAGATTGGAATCCCCAAACATACAATTATTCTCACCAAACCTGGAAAGCCATTGAAAAGAAACGCGAAGAGTGGCATCAACAGAAGGGCCGCAGAAGAAGACTATGCAGGAGAAATTGAAGAGGCATATCATATACTGGCCAAGCTTGCTGATTAATTACCCCACAAGAGTCCCAATATGACATATAAGCCGATGAGTTATCATTGAATACCTCTCAAAACATTTTTCTGCAAATGTGTATAAAATACATAAACTGGTGAACTATGCATGATAGGAACAGACGCAAGGTATTGTAGAATAGAGATCGTTCATCCATTTTCAAAAGAACAGCTAACACACTGGCTTCGCAAACTGACAAGCATTTGACAAAACTGGTTGAGTAAGCAGTCATTCCTACGAACCATCCATTAAAGTAATTCCGCAAAGCTAGGTGCCGGCCCATCGTAGAATTGACTCTTGTCCTTCGTGCTAAAGTCCAACCCGGCACACCCGAATTCGACAATCTTGCGATCAAAGTTCCTCTTCACATACTCGACAGCCATATCAATACCTAAGAGTATGTTAGTACTACAGTGTGGTAAAGGCAACAGTGGATGAAACTCACCGCATCCCGCACCTCCCCCGGTCCAAATCTCGGCTCCATCGAAATGACCCTTTTCGATCACCCATCTCTGATCTTGCCAATCTACGTTGGGAAAGAACTGTTTGGCCAAAGGCAACCCCATACGGTTCGTCGTTGCTTTCTTTCCGTCCAATATGCCGCTCTTCGCAAGCCACATGCCCCCCGAGCAAGTCGACAGTATAACCTTTGTCTGTTTACTTGCTTCTCGCAAGAATTGTAGTGATTCTTCTTTGACCTTTGTTGGATCTGGTCCGCCCAAAAGGATGATGTCGAGATCCCTGGGTGCGTTGGCGTAGGTATGGGTCGCTTTGACGTGCATATCAGGCGTGACGTACGAATCGTCAACAAGGGATGACGATATGTATAAGAACTCCATGGGTGTATAAAGTGGGAGCAATCCCAGAGCAGACGGCATCATTGATTCGAGCACCTCCGCGTATTTCACGGAGAGGCAGCCCAGAACGTCGGCGGCGACAAGATCAGACATCTGGACTTCTTCGTAAAGCACGCCAATGCGGATCGTCTTTTTCTCGGAGGTAGACATTTTGAACAGGATAATCGATCAATTGAGGATAAGATTTTATGAGACTTGAGAAACTTATGCCGATTGAACATTGTAGGCATTTTGTGCTTTTATATGTCTAGTAGATACGGCAGCCGGACTTGACATAGAATTGTTTCCCGCGGGACGCGTTACACAACACGCATACATTCTCCTAGCATGCAGTACAATTTAGTAACATAAGTAACTATGAATGACTGACATCCAATGAATTTCCTTGTACCCGGAAAGCTATGGGTTCCGATGTAAGACTTGAGGAACGGATCGGTGTTTTGTTGACATCCGATCCGATCCGACTTGCCCTGGGATGCTGCCAGGCAGCAATGTTGGATACGGAATAACGCTCAATTCTAAATGAGCAAAATAGTGGATCACTGGAGAGAACAGCAATATCCGCTTTGTTGCAGTATTTCTGCAACATTGTACGTTTGAACAACCACGGAGCCCTTCAACAAAGATGCCATGCGAACATCAATCAATAATCAAGTCCTCTATGGCGTGTCAAACATTAAATCATAATGCACCCCAGGAATTGAACTTTCCTCAACTTCATATAAAGGTCATATTAATGAATTCATACCTCGTACATGAAGGTGGTCTTTCCGAACCTTTAATGTCACATGTGAAAGAAATCTGGCCCAGTACCGAACATACTCCAAGAGATGTACCACTGAACATATGACAAGTACTATTTAGTATAAACCAAAAATCCAAAAACTCATAATTTACATGATAGCACTTAGCTGTTTTCTTAGGTAAATTCCTAAAATTTCGCGCCATCGTGGTGTGGCAGACACTACGGATAATCTGAAGTATCTGTATCTACCTGATATTACTGCCCACGACGTGAGGATCTACTTGTATGAACCCGTGTGCATTCTATGTTCGCACGATAATTTTAGTTGATAGAAGATAGAAGATAGGATCAGGCAAAACGACAGATTAATTGGTTTACTATGGACAGGTATATTCGGATCTCATTTTGGTAGAGTAGAGGAAATGGAAAAGGGAGTACCATAGGCCAATTTCACGAATCTTTTTCCCTAATGAAGCAACTTGAGTACCTTGACAAGATCTCCAGTGACTCCCATAGCTGTAACATCACCACCTGCTCCGGCACCCTGGATGATGAGTGGGTTGTCGCCGTAGCGCTTGGTGTAGAAAGCAATGATGTTGTCGCTACCCTTGAGCGCTGCAATTGGGTGGCTCTTGTCGAACTTTTCCAGGCCGACCTTGACCTCACCCTTTGGCACATCCACGCTACCAACGAACCTGACGACCTTGCCCTCCTTCTCGGCAGCACCCTTCAGCTCGTCCATCTGGCCATCGAACTCTGGGAGGCGCTGCAGGAACTCGTCGCCGGACGAGCAGGACTCGAGCTCCTTGGGGATGAGAGACTGCACGGGGAACGAAGTAGGCGACTCGACTTTGAGGCCGGCGAGACGAGCAAGGATGGTTAGTTTGCGAGCAACATCCAGGCCGTTGAGATCATCCCTGGGATCTGGCTCGGTGAAGCCTAGCTCCTTCGCCTTCTTGACCTCAGCGGAGAACTTTCCGCCGCCGCCGCTTGTCGGCTGGAAGGAGTTGAAGAGGAAGCTCATGGTGCCGCTGAAGACACCCTCGATCCTCTGAACCTCATCGCCTGTCTCGGTGAGCTCCTTCAGGGTGGAGATGACGGGGAGACCGGCGCCGACGGAGGACTCGTGGAAGATGTAACCGCCGTGGCCGTGGGTGTTGGCCGCAGCATCGAAAATGTCGGTCCAGAGTTGGAAGGTGGAGGAGAAAGCCTTCTTGTTTGGCGTGACGATGGAGATTCCCTTCTTCAGGAAGAGCGGGTAGGAGTCTGCGACCTCCTGGTTGGATGTGTTGTCCACGAGCACGACCTTGCCCGGTGCCTTGACGAGGTAGTCTGCCAGTTTGGGGAGGGCGAGAGGTGCGGTTGTGGAAGCAGCGAGCTCAGCTTCCCAATTGTTGAGGGACTTATAGTCGTCGTAGTGAACGGACTTCTTGGAGGTTGCGAGGAGGATCAGGGAGAGGTAGGTTGGGCCCGCTGGGGAGCGGGAGAGTTTGGCGGCCAATTGTTGCAATTGGGAGAGGAAGCACTTTCCAACTCCTCCAGCACCTAATGATTACAATTGTCAATGACATGATGTTCCAAATCTATTATAATGTCAACGTGTCTGGCGTACCAATGACCGCGATGAAGACCTGTCGTGGGAGAGGCATGATTTGTGTGTATGCGAGATGTCAATTGGGTCGTGATGAGCTTCGTTGGAGAGCTTCTAGAGCTTTAAGGATGAGATGAGGTGAAAGAGGAATTAGAATAGTTGCTTTTCGGAATCAATTGAATCGGAAAAGGGTCGAAGATGGGAGTCGAGAGATGGAATTGAAGTGGGATGATTCTCTAAAATTCCGTCTTGAACCGCAATCACCCCGCCAATCCGCAATCCGCACGCCATCAGTCAATCAACTCAATCAGTCAGTCAAAATCTACCAATTATTATTCCTCCCCCGCCCCGCCGACCCGCCGACATCGCCCACACATGCTCATACCCTAGCCTACCGCTTTCCCTGGCCCATGCACCAGCCCTACATTCCTTGGCCAAATCCTCCCGCCGCCAACTCTCAATCGTTAAATCTACAATCAACATCGTCATCAACACCACAGTCGAGCACACGACAACGCCACCACTGCTCGATGCACTCTTTCCATAAAACCTCCGTAGCCTAGTACCAAACTCCCTACCCACCTCTATCATGGCGTCGCGGAAAGATGCCCACCTCTACGGCCAACGCCCCAAGTCCCGTACCAAAGCCAAAGAGATATCAAGCTCCAGCACAATCGCCTTTTCCTCCACCCTATCCTCACTAATCAAGTCCGCATCCTCCGATACGAACCGTTCCGGTACAACAACTGCAGGCCGCCCGAGGTCCAAGAAGGAAGACATTTTCACATCCCACAACAAGAACGTCAAAAAGCGCGCGCTCAAAGACCTCGAGGAGTCGGACTTTACCCAGCAAAAGCACCGGGGTCGGACTGCCGAAGAAAAGCAAGACGATGACGCGAACTGGCGACGCATGAAGCGGCGCATGGAAGAGAAGGCACGGCTATACGACGCGCTCAAGCGCGGCGATGTGGAAGATGTTGACGACAAGTACGGCGTGGATTTCGATCGCAAGTGGGCGGAGGCGCAGGAGAAAGGCATACCGGAGGAGGAAATCCACACATCGTCAGAATCGGAGGCGTCCGAGGAGGAACTCATCGAATACGTGGACGAGTTTGGTCGATCGAGGAAGGGAACCCGCGCGGAGGTCGCGCGAGAGGAGCGGAGGAAGAAGACGCTGGCTGCGGATGAGCCGGACAGGTTCACCGCGCGGCCTAGTATGCCGACGAACATCATCTATGGAGATGCTGTGCAATCGTCTGCCTTCAATCCAGACGAGACAATCGCACAGCAGATGGCCGATCTCGCGGCTAAGCGCGACAAAACGCCCACGCCACCACCGGACACGCACTTTGACGGAAAGGAGGAGATGCGGCAGAGAGGTACCGGATTCTTCCATTTCTCCAAGGATGAGGAGGAGAGAAAGGCGCAGATGGCGAGATTGGAGAAGGAGAGAGAGGATACGGAACGTGCGAGGGAAGCGAGGAAGAAGCAGGTGGAGGAGCGGAAGAAGCTCGTCGAGGAGAAGAGGAAGAAAATGCGGGAAAAGAGAAACGTGGTCAAGGCCGATAAATTCCTAGATGCGCTTGGAGCAGAGCTGTTTGGTGAAGCAAGTGAGAGCAAGACAGAGACAGAGTCCAAAGATGTGGAGGGGAGGTCCGAAACGAAGGACGATGAAGCATGATACCCATACCATACCAACGTGTTCGATAGAGACATTGGAAAGTAACAATTGTATATACTGTTTATGATACCCTATCAACAAGTTTTTCTATACTTAAGTTGAAACCGCTCGTCCTTTGAAAGCACGCACAAATCTTCCTGTTCCATCGTAGACATAACAGCTCAAGCAGTTTACAGTTGGTCGGAATAATATCAACAAGAACGAACAAGTAGATCGTAGCTGCATATCGGAGAATAAACACACCTTAGCGATCCCACCGACCCGTCGGGTTCCCGGGATATATCCGCTAGATCTTAACCTCTGTCCCAACATCGTCTTCCTACGTTACGACGTCGAGCACAAAGCCTTGATTTCCCTCAACCGGCGGCAGTATGGACTGAGTCGTCGTAAGTCAGACCTAGTGAAACCTCTATTTGGGTCACTTACCCCTCGCAGCCTTTTGTGCTCTCGACGTTAGAGCAAACATGACGTTGGCGTTGCATGCCTAAGGTAATTACCCTACCCTCGTACCTCGTACCAGTATCAGGTACGGAGTACCAACCCAAACCATCGCTTGATAAGCCCTCCTCCCTTGCGCATTCCGTACACTCAAGCAAAAGCTTGACGCGTACAAGACAGCGGTGACGGAATGCTTGTGAAAGCTTAGGTCCCTGTCGAAAGCTTAGATTCCTGTAGTCCCGTAGTACTCGTATGTCCATGGTAGAGGCATATTGGGTCTGGATCTTCTTTGAAACGAAGAAATGGACGGACGTCACTATTAATCGGCAGCATCAAAGAGTCGCATCTAAAGCAGTCTATGAAATAATTCAATACGAGGCCAACATACCTGGCGATTAGCATGGATGGGGGTCCATGCATCATACCACTAAATGGTGATCAAGGATTCGGTGTTGCATCTGAAGAGTGGGTTCGCGAGAAACACTACATCTTCAACGACACTACCCTGGCGGCACACGCCAGCAAGGGAGGAGGTGGTGGAGGAAGAGGAAAGAGAATCCTGCCTTTTCCAACATTCACGGTCGGTGGGAGTGTTTGCGCGAGGAATTGCTTCCTTAAGCTTAGTACTTGGTAGAGTTGCTGAGATTTTCTATGTGGTAGAGTGCTATCTTACGCCAGGGGGTTCGTTTCTCTGTTGTGTTTGGATGGCCGCTATGGCATGTTTAAGTGAGCGAGGACTGATGCCGTGTCGCTGAGGCTTTGTGATGGGCGGAGGAAGGAAGTACGTAGGTGTTGAGGGGCGTTTTGTTGCAATCCCCTTCGCTGGATCATCGGCTTGATACACTGTCTTGACAGCAATTCGTTGACGGTGGGATATCTGACCGTAAGTCGGCTGAGGCGCATTGAAGTGATATCTCAGACACAGAAGACTACCAGGGATGGCTTGTACCAGAGTATTTCTCACCAGGATATGCGGAGGCCATTGACGGGTATTCCCATGTAATGTGCATTGATGTCTGCATATATGCTGTCAACCGCGATGAGGCCGTGTAATATTTGAGTCGTGTCTGGAGGGCGACTTGAACAGTGCGAACTACACGTCTGGCTGGGGAGTTGCCACGTCTTCTCTACACTCTTGCCGAATCTAATTATCAGTCAGTACTGTATAGCGGTGGTGAAGGGTGAATTGAGAGGAGCTTGTTTGTACATGGAAGATTGAAAATGGCTCTTGTTTTCCTCAATAGTTACATGGGTGATGGGCACCCTGGGGCAATATTTCCTGTACATAAGAGAGACATGAACTTAATTCATCTTTAGAAGTCTAGGAGATGCTTTACATACTTAGAAACAGAGGTTTGCTTCGTTTAAAGATCTAAGACAGATGATGCTTATGGTATATCGGAAAGGTAAGATATCAGACTTCCCTTCCTCACGCCCCAAAAATGGCCTAAAATAGGAATATCACAAGCCTTAGCTCATGGGCCTAACGGTACATTAAATCATTAATGTTTCGAGTAAGTTTCAATCCCTTCAACTGACTACTGTACGCTATGTAATGTGAGAATGTCTTCGTGATGAGTCGTTCTGGAGGCTTTCAGGGATCTCAACTCAACACCCTGTAAATTCAATCCACCCAGAGAGCCCGGGTACTACCGTATAGAATGCTAACATGTACGGGGTATACTTCTTACCAAAGTCGGGATCAACTCCACGGTCCTCTCGGACAACAATATAGAGGTCATCGTCATGGTGACCCAACTCCATGATCGTCTTCAGTTTTGGCCTCAGTACTCCACGCCTGCTACGTCCGGGAGGCAAGATCTGCATTCACACGCAGCACCAAGATGCTCCACTTGACCCCGTGCCTAAGCCAAAGCGAAAGCCAAGCTCGGTGACAATAAGAAGCAACCATACCTACCCCTGCGGCCGTGATCCTAGAGTTCGTTCATGGACAGAGATACCGATCGAAGACAACGAATTCAAAGACAACAGGAGCTAAACACCAAGGAACTCTGTTGCTCTTCTTTACGTAAAAGGCGCAGAAATCGCATCCAAGCATGTCTCCAAAGGCCAGGCCAGAGGCTCGCAGTTGTTGCGAAGAAATCTCCATAACGATGTGGTTCTGGTTCTGCAAGTGCCGAAAAAAGCCACAGCTACACAATAAGCCTCCGCCCCGATGTATTCCGTACCAAGACGTTGTGCGTATTTGCGTGTGTTCTACGTCTCACAACCTAAGCGATGCCGAGACTATTGCAGTGAATGGGCCTTTTGCCTGGTAGATGGGGCGATCTAGAATTTGGTACGATGGTCGTTTGTGTGACATTGGAAGTAACTGTTTCATAAGACCTCCATCAGAGGCTGCTGAGGATTACACAGTTTGTGGCCGCAAATCCGAAGTGCAGCGTCTATCCTCGATTCTCTGACTGCAGTGAATTAGTGAATGGACCTGCTGAAGAGACCAAGACTCAATGAGCAAGTTTCTCCTATATTCCATCCCTAGCACCTTAGCACCGAAGTAGGGATCGTGATGGGCGCATAGCCCACTGTGTTTTAGAGTTACACTCTCCGCGTCCATCCATGTACAAAAAGGGCAGAGAAAGCTGATTGTTCCTCGTCGATTTATACTTGGCGCAGGTTCCCACCCATTGGGAGTCCCGATGATATGGTTGACATGGAAGCTCCGAGCGAACCACGAGATGAAGCTCCTTGGTGAATGAACCTCAAGTGGTGCCAAGTTGGTAAGTGATCTTGGCTTCTGGGGCGGGGTCAATTTACCCAGTGTGATGCTTACCCGTGATGTTGTTGGCGGAGAGAAGATGTGGTGGTTGTTTCTAATCTCGCATGGTCTGATTTTTCTATGTACGTCTGCAAGAATGAGCTTATCGAGTATCCAGCTGTGCCCATGCAATATCTGGATATTGTTCTACGTTGCGGATAAAGCATACTGGTGAAATAGATTTATCGATGGCTGGCCGGATAACCAGATCCCAAAACCGAATCGATATGATGTCCACATACGCTTGGTTTTCGGCACGGCCCAGATGTTAAAGTCCCGGTTCCAGGGACAATGCCGTGTGAGATCAGCTTATTCGCATGACTGGTTATCGCGGTGGATGAACTCATCTTTGCTGGGCACTCTCAAAGTCAATGTACACGCTGCGAACATGTGGCCTATCCATAGGCAAAGTTACATAATTGTGATTTGAGATGCCAAGCGTCTTTGCATTTGGCCTTGACGAATCTTGTATTTTCGATGGGGAGTGGGTGGGTGGCTCCGGGATATCATCCGCCGATCAACTGGAACGATCACCCATGCTTTTCTATTCAATAATGCTGTTCTCCACGGGTTGGAAGATCCTGAACGATATGGCAGTTCCTTGGTAGTGGCATGCCGACTGCACTAACATCCGCGACTACATACGGAGGTTTGTTCGGGATACCCCTTTGATGGTGTCGTATCCAGACGGTTGGATTGATTGAAGGCCCGGTGGTCTTCAAAACGAATGCTTCTACAATGGTGCTATGAGCACCTGTGCGGCCACATGGCAAGTGTGAACGTTGGCTTGCAGCATATCTCTTGCATGACCATTCATATACTCAAAATCGCGGGCCAGGTAGCGCATCGTGCAGTGCGTGACCAGACTGCCAGTCTGCCACAACGTGCTATATTTACCAGAACTCGACGGCTGGTGATAGTCGAATATTGCTCTGTAGAATAAGTGTTCCAGTCATGACCCTGCCGCCGCAGCAAGGATCGGCTTTGGCGACTCAATAGGGTAGAGGTCTGTATAATCGATAGTAACTGTAGCACCGACAAGCACACATTGATGTCCAGCAGCACCAATGATTTCCTGGAGTCGTGCGCATAGAAATCTATGCCTTGTCCCTCCCTTGCGACCTCAAAGGTATGAGCATCGTTGTCGTTCCGTGGGCAGGCGATTCACCAGGCGCTGCCCGCTCCGTTTCTTGGGATGCACTCTCAATATCCATTCCACCAGTGTGTTCGATAGAGAGACTGGCAATAACCAGGAATGTTTCCCAGCTTGGTAACAGGTCAAGCCACACATATTTCGAGCCCTTGCTGTGATTCGACCCTGGATCTTGAACAGACGGGGAATGAAGTAGTACCAATGCCGATGTTGCCTTTGTCCGACCTCATATCGTGGCCTCGGAGTTGTCGGCTGCAGAACATGCCTGGCTGCCAACATACCTAGATCTCACAAGTTCGATGGCGTTGAAGACTAAGACGCTTACCTTGACAACAACTTGATACGAAGCCATAGATCCGCGGCAAACCTACTGTCCCGATCCCTCGTTTCGGCATTGGGGCGCGTGATGATCCAGGTCGCTGAGCGAGAATCAATAAGGCATTGATCGCTGAGGCGGCTTTGCCAAGTAACAGCCAAGTATACAGGGCTTGGCTGGAGCGGAATCGCGTTGACAAGATGCATGATGGCGCTGAGGCTGTGTCAATCGCCTACGTAGCCCTACCTAGGGGAGGTCCAAGGACCATGTGGGCGAAGATGTACTCGGTACGTATGTGGATGGCCAGGTTCAGGATGTTTCTGGTACCGAGGAACTATGGTATTTTATTCATCTGTTAAATGTCCTCTTGTCCCAGTTCCATTTTGACTTGGTAGCGATCGATCTGATAGCGCTGTTCTTTATTCGATTCTTAATTTCATTGTCATTGTGAGAGGAAAGTTATGGCGGGAATCGAGGGGGCGGGCACGGACAAGGCCAGAGCTGACAGTTGGCATCAGCGCCCACCGCCGGCCAATTAATGCAACGGCTACACTCCTGGAAGCGGCCAGCTATCTCGCCTTGCAGGCTTAGGGGAGTAAGTTATCGGCGGGCATCTGCATGCTGCGGGTTTGATGCGGGCTTGATGCGCAATGACTGAGCCAAAATGTCTGACCGCATCGTTGCACCTACTCATACTCAAATGACAAGCGCACCTCTCACAGGCGCCCCAGGGCAACGTGGAAAGCAGGCCATCGCCGAATAGATATCCGTGCGACGGCAGTTTGTGCGGTGAGATTCGACAATGTATCACCAAGTGCCATCCTCACCTCGGGACTGTTGCATCTTCCGAGAAACACGGTGAGTTGGGCCTCAATGGAGGTGGAATACGCGGTGTAATAGGCCCGAGCTATCAGGAGACATTGTTCGACTAAACTAGACGGAGCAGGAGGGAGCGCGACTGTGTGGAGCATGGGGATGGGAATGGAGAGGTCGAGTGATGATTGTACCAGTGTCTATGTCTGTCTGTTTGAAAGGTACCTGCAACATAGGTATGGAGTACAGGTTTGCTGCAGAGATGGGATGTAGTGATCGTGATGGTGGCCTCATTATGGTGAGGTGTTGTGTGTACGGAGTAAGGAGATACGGAGCAATTACCTGTAACTTTCAATCTCTGGCCATGCACATGCGGCTCGAGCTGGGAGAAACAAGCAATGACTTCATATGAACGTGGTCTTTCTGCCGGCTATTCCCAGGTCGTAATTGATCAGCGATATTCAACCGTCGTTCCTTCCAACACGGTTTCCCGGGTCCTGTACTTCCTTTTTGTTCGCTACCGCAGGTCGATATATGCAACAGTTATTACCCACGCTAGGTTTGCACTTGTTGTACCAGGGTCGCGGAAGACGAAATTTCGAAAAGGTGGGAGAGCCATCTCATCCACATTGCTAATACGGAAGCGAGCTGTCGCACGTACTGTGTACGAACGCAAGTATCAGATCCCATGTGCACTTTTTTGATAGATGTGTAGCATGGAGTGGAGCCCTGGGAACACAAATGGAACGGCATTAAGATGGGTCCATGGATCCCGCTGGGATCAGGCCGGGAGGAACGCTGGGGAATCTTTCTTGGTTTTATGTATGTGCCGTCCTCGTCTCCTAGAAGCCCAAGACGGGGCACTGGCAAGTCATTGTCTTGACTAGCCTTCGACTCTTGACCATCGGGGCGACGTAGACGAGCCCCGGCTGCGAGTACCCTGTCCGGTCGCGGGTTTGGGTTTGTGGCAGATTTGCAATCAAGAGGGGGCATGCTTCTCGAAGGAAAGTCAAAGCGCAGCTGGAGAACAGTGCGGCCAGATTTATGTTTAACAGTTTTGTTCTGTTCTGTTCTATTAGGGGTATTGTGGGTTTTGTAGGATCGGTCATGGATGGATGCATTGTCCCATAGTTGCCCTGGGACCCAGTGCACGGCAGACAATGGGCCTCGTTCGACTCCTCTTGGGCGTTATGTACACAGAGTGTGCTATGTACTCCGTATGTGTTATGGTTATTAAATATTTGAAGGAAATGGAGCCAGTCAGGCACGCACGCGGGCGCAGACTGGGCTTCTACTCGATACGAAACGGCTATGGGTCCGTAATTGATTTGATTGTTCATGGCCAGACAATAATGGTTGAGCGACCCAGTAATCCCAGCGACCCAGCACGGTGTGTCGCCGCGAGGGCACACACAGGACAGTGCATAATGGTTATTGGGCTGATAGGAGGTGTGCACTGTGTGGTGAGATTTTTGTTTTATTATTGCAGTGGAAGGACGGGATATGATAGTCGTAGCTGGAGTTGGAGGGGGGAGAGCTCAGAGGAGAGATACTGCATAGACTGTAGAGATAGAGAAGGGGACCCGAGTGTCTGGCTCGGATCTACTCTAGGGGGGGGGGGACCGACGGCCATGCCCAGGAAAGCGGCGTTGTTGGAGGAAGAGGAGGAAGAGGATAAGGAGCGGGAGGACAGGAGAGGCACGACAGGATAGGATAGGCAGCATGGGAGGCGGAGGAGATGTTACAGACAAGGTTTAGATGAAGGGAAGGAGATGGACGAGATGGACGAGATGGACGAGATGGACAAGTTAGTTGGTTCACTTGGTTGGTTGGGTTGGGGTCATTTGGCCTGGGGGGGTCGTTTGTTTAGTGCCGGTTTCCGCGTGGCCACTGGTGCTCCCGCCGCCGCGACGGACGAAGCGGCGAACTAAGCTGAGGATTATACCTAACTACGAGTACTAACTATCTAGCCAGGCAATGTGCTGTTTACTGTTACTGTTAGTTATAGTTATACAGTAATTATAGGGAGTTGAGTAGGACTACTCGTAGGTACACCGTAGGCATGGCTATGATTATAGGCTGGCGAGCTGGATAATTTCATGGGGGATGGGGGATGGATTTGATACTGGGGGTCTCTTGGGTGAATGTCTATTCCCAACTTGGGACTCTTGGTCCATGTCTCCCCCTACCCAGGTCCCATACCCATACCCATACCCATATCCACATCCACATCCGCATCCGCAGCTACAGTAGTTACATGGTTAATTACTGTGTAGCGTGTGTGTACGCACATCCACACTCTTTTCCCACAATAATGTCCGTAATGTACACACGGGCTTCCAATCGCTTCCAAAATACCAAGACCACCCAGTCCAGCCCGCCAGCAATTCAGCAATCATCGCCCTCCCGCTCCGCTAATCACAATTCCTTTCCCTGTCTTGACTCTTGCTTGACTCTTGAGTCCTGTCCTGTGTCCTCCGTCTCCAGCGGTATGGTCACCTAGGTCCTAGGTTAATAAATAAATATCACCCGCTGCCTTCCCTGTGACCTTCTAGCCCTCTCTGCTCTCCCTCTCTCTCTAACTTTTCCCCAAGCGGTATACTACTGTACTGTACCTACATACCTACTGGTACATACACACTGTCACAACTTACTCACAGTAACCGCCGTACTCTGTTGCCTTTTCTGTGCTGTGCTCTGTCGTAGATACGTACCACCTAAACTCCGTATCACCCCCAACAGCAGCAGCACCAACACCACCACCGCCATTATTATTATTACTATCATCATACTCACCCTTACCCTTGTCCCCCAACGTTGCATTTCAGTCAGCACACCTCATTCTTGTCATCGACTTCTTATTTTACTTCATTCTCTTATCTTCTGTGGGTGTCTGCCTTGTTCAACGGGCGGCGGCAACCATACTCCTGTAATCGACGTTGCGCCCAGACTGCCAACCTCACCTAAACCACCACTATTACCACCACCGCATCACTCTTAAGGACCAGGACGCCGCCACATCCGACAACACAAAACCCGCCTTTCCCCTCCTCATCCATCATACCTACCTTGGAGAAATAAAACACAACTTACACCGACACGCATACTTTCATCCTTGCGCTTCGGCCAGAAACGTGTTTGCCTCGTCATACACTACGCTCGATATCATTCCTCCTCCTTTACCCAAACCCAGCTACTTGTACCCTGGAGCCGCAAGGGGGATCGTCCACATCGACCTATCACCTATCAACGTCATTCTTCTGGGTACACGCGCCCCGTTTCACAGCCATTATCGCCAAATCAAACCACCTACACGCCACATATTCTCTCCGCATATCTATTCACCTTTAGAGATATCATTCTCTCTTCCCGTACTACCGGATCCTTCACTCTTCATAATTCCCCGTTCGCAGCTACTTTCACCTTTCCGTCCTTAGCGGCATATCTAACCACCATCACTACCACTGCTGCTACTACTACCCTTACTATTACTACTCTCGGATCTGCAACCTCATAAACAGAGAGCCTCCCTCAGCAATAAATACCCTGCGACGTCGCTTCTTCAAAAGTTCCAACTTCGCAAGCTTGGTTCACACATATCAACACATCGTTTCAAGCCACCAGATATCTGCCCAAAAGGCAGGCTCCCTTAACGAGCATACCTCGATATAACGTAAACGCACAGCCACCTTCATCATGTGTATCGCAGAATTAAATGTCTCTCTTATGCCATGCCGTCATCGCTGGTACCATCTATCTCGCTCTTGTAGCCCATCCAGCAACCTAGCCAACTGCCCCAAGAAGCTTGGTCTTTCCGGATGGGAGATCAAGTGTGATTTCTGCCCGTTCTGCTCAGGGTGGAATCTGTCCACCACCGAATACCGTCTTGTTGGAAACGATCGTGCACCCGCGGTGGGTGGTCTGGCACGTACTCCATCTCTCACACTCTCGACCCATCGTCGGGAATCACGACGAGGAAGCCTTTCCCGAACCGACAGCAGTTCTAGCATCACGATGATGGCACAGGAAAAGAACCGCGCCATGAACGCTCGAGTGGACGCTTACTTCCGCGTCCCACCCCCTGAGACGTCTTCAGTGCCTGCTCCTCTGCGCGAAGTGGAAGAGGAGAACGACGCTACAATTGGATCAGGTCCCAGCGACACGTCTTCCGAACCAAGCGAGGGCCAGGAATCTCTTCGTCACTCGTCGACTTCCTCGACCGAAAAGTCAAGCGGGCTCTTCAAGAAGATGCGCCGGAAGTCCAAGAGACTATCCCTCAGCCTCTTCAAGTGACTGCCTTGCTGTTACCCCACGCGTATCGCAGACCCAACGGCCGAGAAGGAACCAAAAACGAAGTAGATTCCGTTCACACGGAACTATGTTGTCGGGTTCTTAGTCCGACTATTTTGGGTCGCACGCGAATGCCGCGCGTCTATCGGCAACGGGGTTTCGCGACCCACCCACGATCCGCTGCCGTTGAGGATCTACAAATGAAAAAGTAGCTCCAGCTTCGATTCTATCCTTGTCGTTATCACCAGTACCACTCTTGTATTGTCACTTGACTCCTTTTCCTCTCTTTCTCTCTCTCTCTCTCTCTTTCGATTATCTTAGATACCCCACTCGCATATGGATGGCTCCTCAGGGCGCTTTTCCTAGACTAGGCTGGCATGTATTGCTGGTCCCATCGGGCAAGGCGTTTCGAACAATCTAAGAATGGACGGATCATTGTCGTGTGTTTTTTCTTCTCCTAAATCGGAAAAAAGGCAAAGGACGACCTCATCTCTGGGTGCTTGGCTGGTTTTTCGGTTCATCCCAAGGCGCTTGCTTCTCTCTGCTCTGCAACAATGGCGTTACAACAGTGATCGCTCACCATCGAGCAAGATCATCATATCGAACAAAGCGCGGTGGATAATTGGGAAATTTTCGTCATCTTTTCTTTCTTGGTTTTCGGGATACATACATGACGAAGCTTACGATCAAATCAATCAAAACATCTCTCTCCATCCGTTCATAGCATAGATCTTACGATTTTAATCAAAAACTCTGCCCACACCTCACTCAAACTTCTCCCTACTCTTCTAGACGTTTCAATGATGTGTTTGTCCTTCTATTGCCATGAAGCTACCTCGCTCTCCCCAAGACAATTCACTTGGCCCACTTGGCTTGTATCATCTTCCCCTCACTCCGCGTTTCCCCCTCGCGCCTCACCATACCCACTCAGCCTCCTCGCCAACCGTCACACTATATCGCACAAGACGCGAAATACCTAATCGCCTTCCGCAGCCATCCGGGCATCCATACCCTCCTCATCCCATAAATACAACATCAAACAAAACGACAAGAACCAATGCCCAAGGCCCAAGAGCAAAGAGCAGCCAGCGCCAAACCGCGTCTGATATCTAATATCAAACCCAAGGCGCGGATCTAAACACCGGCCCCGTCCACTCAGTCTATGTCTTCTCAGGATTCCCCCGCGCTCATTCACGGGGACACACGGCGTATGATACCATAGCGACTGATGTTCGATTGAAGTTTTAGGGAGGGAGGTTATCGGTCTTGTCTCGTGCGTTAGGTACTGTGGCTTGGGTACCTGCGTGTGTGCGTTGGAAATGGAGATGTATTTGTCGTACGTTTCCCAGGAAAGAGGAGAGAAAGGAAGGAGCCGGTGCGTAGTGAGAACATGGAAATATGATAAGGAGAGAGAGCATGGCGAATGAGAAACCTAAGTGATGCAATATCCTCGGATGAATTACTTTATGGAAGTGACAGTGAGAGAATTAGAAGTTTCGTTGAGATTCATTTGCTTTGTCGAGTTTCATGGCGAAAAGGAGATGATGGGAGATATTTAGAAGGCTTAATCCAACTCAACTCACGCTGAAGACTTGGTGGGGCGAAATGCCATGTTGAAAGCGACCTTATATTATGGTATCGACCGATTAAGCGACCGATTATTTACGCCTATGCCCCCCAGAATACTATGCTAAATTGTGAAGCGGTTCAATCGTACATACACTGCTTGTTGTTGCCAGAATGCTCTTCACTTCCTTCCACTACTGCCGCCGTTGCCACTGCCTCCCTTCTGATAGCTGATGTCGACCTGGAAGAGGCTGTCCCAGATGCTTCCGGATCTCGGCTTCGGTGGAATTTGGGCCTGTTTTTTGCTCGGGCTGGCGCCGGGGCTGGCTTGTCTGGCGTCTGCCAGATGGCTCGTCCTGGTTTTACTGGGGCTCGAAGTGCCAGATGGAGCCCTGAAAAGCCCACTGCCGCCTCCGTTAAACACGGGAGTTGGGCCTGCCGTGGCGGACTGTTTTCGAGGGGAGACCTCACGCTTAAACCGTGGGGGTGATGATGCGAAGAATGGCTGTGGGAACTCCGTCAGCGGGGACTGCCAATGTAAAGCGAGGGCCTCAGGCATGTCGAACCTAAGGCCCCCACATAAGGTCTTTCCGAACCTCTTCACCGCCGTGCCCTTGCAACAGCCTCTGCGTCGCTGTCTCCGCAGCAGCCTCGCTCTCCCGGAGATGGCTTGGTCCTGGTCCTGATCCGCCGCCTGTGGCTGGGCTGGCTCCTCTGGTCGCAGCGGTGCTGCTCGAGCCTGATTCCGGTTGCTGTTCGATTCCCAATGCTTCTGTGCTTGTGCGGCCGCCAATTGGGACGCTCACCCTACTTGTGCCGCTACTTCGTCGGCTGTCGAGGCTCTTTCCAAGAGTTTTGGCCGGGTCGTTGGAGGCCTTCTTCTTCGTCATTTCCATCTGGCCCTGGCCCATGATGCGTGCGCTTGCTACGGTTGACTTTCCAAGTCCAGGGGTACCGGGTGCACCAGGCTTCTCTTCGGATGCGTCGAGCAGGTACCATCGTAGGCCGTCGGAAAGTTCAAAAGGATTGTCGTCTTCGAAAGACATGGCACTGTTTGATGCAATCGATCGTCCGTCAGCAGATGCCCTTCCGGCTCCGCTCTCCATCGTTTTGGACAGATCGACCACGCGCTCTTCGACCCTGCTTATCCTCGCAACGAGCCATTCTCTACCGTGAAGCTTGTGCGAGTCGTGCTCGCGAAGGAAGTAGTGCGGAGCACCCACATTGAACGCTGCCCACGGTCTTGTTGCTTGGTTTCTGGTGGGGAGGAAAAGCGCAAGGTCACCCTCCTTGAATGATCGGAACGCAATCTTGTCGTGTGCTTCCGATTGATACTTGTGGCTCTTGTCTCGATATGCGCGTGCCTCCTTCTGCCACTTTCTTGCAGTGTGTTCCATATCGCGCATACGTTTGGATACAGCTTCACTGAAGGTGTCGATGTTGAAGTGATTAAGAGTATCAAGAAGCTCATGGTACCGTGCGTCCTCGTCTTCCTGCTTCGTAGCCTCAGCCCATTGTAAGAAAGACAAGTCTGTGATCTCTTCCAAACGTCTCTTTACAGGCGTTGGCGATGGACTAGTGACGCTACGCATGAGTGTGCCAGTGTCTGACATGATAGTGCTGCTGCCCACTTTAGAAGCTCGCTGGAGGACCATGGTGCCATCTTCATAAGTGATGACAAAACCAAGTGTCTCAAGAAGTCGGAGAAGGCGGTCATGTTGCGAATATAAACGTTGACTAAGCTCTTTCGCCCGCTGGAGGCGTTGGTGAGTCCGAGAGGAGTCGAATTCCTCGTACTTCATGATCGCCTTCTGAGCATGCATCAACTCAACGTCAAGACTATTCGCGTGGGACTTGGATTCGGCAAGCTCGATTTGCAAGCGCGTCACCTTGGCCTCTTCCTCAACAACCCGCTTTCTAAGCTCCTCGGAGCCAGTCTCGCCTTCGGCAAACTTCTCTCGCAAGCTCTTGAGATGGCCACGCTCCTCTTCCAGCTCTTCTGTGATTGACGCGACCTTCGCTTTCTCGACATCGAGTTGTTCACGCATTGAGACGGCTTGAGACTCCTCCGTCTTCAACTTGGACTTGAGTTCGTCCTCCCTTTGCTCCGCACGCGATCGATTGGTCTCATTTTCGGAACGGGCTATCGAGATAGCTCTTTGGAGCTCTTCCTTGTAGTCATATGACCGTAACGCGAGCTCTTCCAACTGCTCGATCAGTGCTGCGTGATCTTCAGGTGCAGATGTATCCGGTGCAAGGTAGTTCCAGGCAACAGCGAGTGACTCTCGTTGCTGACCCTCCACCTCTTTCCGTGCATCAACTGTTGCTTGCAAGTCCGCAACGCGCTTGTCCGCACGATTCACCTGGTCTTCGGCATCTCGACGCACCCCTTCGAGCTCAGCGACAAGCTCTTGTATCTTCGTATCCGCTCCAGTGCGTTCGGTTTCGCGGCTGCCTAGCAAGCGGTCTAATTCGTCTTCTGCTTCTTCCATCTTGGTCTTGCAGTTTCGGGCATCTTCGATCAAGGCCTTACGCTCTTCAGCAAATTCTCGCTGTTGGGCTTTCATGTTCTCCATAATATTCTCTTTCGTAGATACGGCTTCTTCAACTTGTTTTCTCACTTCGGCATCATCGCTTTTTCTGGCCTGTAGCTCTTTATCGAGTGTCGCTCGCGCTTCTTTCTCATTGGCGAGTTCTTGCTCTAGTCGGACAATACGTCGCTTGTCATCCTGTCCTTGGTTCGTAGAGAAGCGCCTTGAAGACACGGAAGACCTTCGTGACATGTCGTCTATCGGTCGAAAAGAGCCCGTGTCTGCGATGGGTGTCGATGGATCTGCCGGGCTTTGGGGTCCGAACGTAGGCATTCCTCCGCCTATTGAGAGGCGACTGACATGGTTCTGCCTATGTACGAGATCCTCAAGTCTACGCACCCGACTTTTGGAGCTTTTCAGCTCATCTTCGAGTTTCGAATTGGCCTCTCTGAGAATTCGAAGTTCATCATCACCCCTCACCATGAGTTGAGACCCTTTGCCAAATGCTGGCTCGTGAACGCTGCCCATTTTGAAATTCTTTGCCCGCTTCACTTGCTGCTTTGTAGGGCGGTCGAGGTCTTTGATGGCCTGGCTGAGAGCATCAGCCTCGGATGCCTGGCCATCCAGGCGTTGCAGCACTTTAAGATACTCTTGCAAATCCTCCCGAGAAACCGTCGGCCAACTATTCTTTTCAGGCTGAACATTCATCTCAAAACCAAGCATGTTGCCCTGGATGGCGTCGATGTTGATGACGTCGGCTATCGGCTTGAGCCATCTCTTCCTACGTCGCTCCTCTTCTTCCTGGTAGCCGGCCATCTCTTCAGCAAGTGATGAAGTGTCCTTCTTCATCTTTTCCAGCCATTCACGCCGACGCACCGCTTCTACTAGAAGTGTGCCGTATATGTAAGGCAGTCGACCAACTAAAGATAATAATTCAAACGCGGCAACTCCATCCTGTGGGATACTGATTGACTCCAACTCCTCGTTCAGCGTTGATATGACGGATTCGATACTAGCGATGCTGCGCATACTGTCCACCGCATTTCGCAGTGCGGAGTTTTTTTGCTCTATCGACCTCCTTACGAGGTCACTCATTTCCATACTGTATTCCTTGATAGCGGGTAGGAAATTCCTAGTATGCAATAGAGCCATTTTGGACACTTGCGCCACGGATTTGGAGTCTGCCGGTAACTCTAGAACGTGCTTGAGGTCTGACTCAACCTTCCTCGCAACGGCCTCAATCTCGTTGTATAATCGGACCGGCTCCTCCGTGTCATCGCTAAGGGAGCGGCTTTGGCTTTGTCCTACGGCACCGAGTAGTTCGTTGTAGTCAGAGGTGATCTGTTCCAGTTGTCCCCTCATAGCAACCATGCGCTTCGCGAATGAGTCTTTCACGCGCTGGCTCACACTTGTTGCTCGCTTCACGGCGTCTGTGTCCAAATAATCTTGCAGCGTCATGTTCCGTCCTGCGGAGGGCTTACGCGAACCTTGCAAAGCCTGGACCGCCTGCGCCGAACGAACCTCTTTCGCGAGAAACTGTACGAAATCTCCTTTCGCAGGTATCGATCCTAGCTGAGCGAAGTCGTTATCCAGTCCCCGCAAGTTATCCCCCGTCTCCTTTTCCACACCCTCAAACCACTTCTTCGCAGCCTCGTGCTTCTGGTCCAGCCCGCGGATGTGTGAGTCATGGTTTCCAACAGCAATTTGCGTCCCCTTCTCTATCGTAGTCTGCTCGGCGAAATGTTTCGAAGCGACCCTGGACATGGACCGCGATATGTCGAGGACGGTGAATGCCCAGTCGCGGCGGGCCTGGAAAAGTGTCTGCCATGCTCGTAGGTCCGTATGGCTTGATAGTGTATCGGGAGGGTCATCGGGGTGGAACGGATCAGGTAGAGGGGAAGGTAAGAAGTCAGATTGGGCTCCTGTGGAGAGCTCGCGATTGTAAACAAATATTTCTCTCTGCGGGTGGAATGGTTAGAGCAAGAATCAACAGAGCATAGGATTTACGGCTCACCTCAGTCAAGAGGGCTTGTAACTTAACGTGCTTCCCCCGGGGCGTCAAAAGGATCTGGTTCTCGGGGGAGATCTGGGTAGCTCTAGATATCCACTGCTTCAGCGCTTCGATGGAGTTGAATCCTACAGGATCGGCGTCGAGGCGCTGGCCCGTATGGGCCACAGCAATCTGCAGCGACATTCACAGTATCCTCCAGCTGCGAAGCAATACTGGTACATCGGAAAGATGAGGAGAGAGGATCGTTGCGATACAGGTAGAGAATGTGATGAGCATTAGGCACGAGGACCGCCAAGGCGGCGACGTACAGGGGTCCCGAACACGGGCCTCGTCATATGCTATCTGAACAAAGGCACATAAGATCAGCATCGATATTGCGCAAGAGTATATATACATGATCAAAGATTTTCGTGTCGCGCAATGTCGACTACGAACGATGTTGTTATGAACGAGAATGCTCCCGAATCGTCAAATACAAATAATGATTATTCCAATCTCTTGAAGTCGAGCCATTGCGACGCGTTCGCGTTTAGCGACCAGGAGCAGCTTGCGCTTCAACTCTATGATCAACTCAAAGAACTAGAATTACAGCAGAGCTTGCTGACAGCACAGAGCGAAGGTGAGTTCCAGGGGAGATTGGGGGTCCTACAAACCTATCTGCTCGTGAGTTGACTGAACCTTTTAGTAATACAGCCGGATGTCTCAGCACTGTCAGATGACGACGTGCGGGAACAGCTGATCACAGCAGAACGCGAGATGATGAAAGCAAGAGCAGAGTATGAGATACGCGCCAAAGCCACGCACAACGTCTTGGTGATGAACCCCACGCTCAAGGCCGTTCATGGTGGCGAGGATACGGATTATTCTGAAAAGTAAGAATATCTCTATATAACTCTTACGGTAATTTGGAACTAACTTATGTTAGACGTCTTTTGCCTTTGATACATGAGAGAGACATCATTTCCATGGTTCATGGCATGCTGAATGCTAAAATGGCCGCTACAACACGGGCCTTGAGCACCGCCGAGGAAGAGAACATGGCTGCGAACCAAAAGAATACAGAAACGGCCAGCGTGCTGTTGAAGTTAGCGGAAGACTTGAAACGTCAGTCAGCCGAAGATATTGAAGATGTTCAATTGCGAGGCAAAGTCGATGCGGTTCAAAAGGAGTTGAAAGGGTCACGGAGTAGACTACGAACGCTGAAGGGAATCATATCCGGTATGATTGTCGGTAGTGGCATCGATTGGGCAGATGATGAGGTTCTGCGTGAGCTGGTGATGGACGACGATGAAGACGGGTGATTCTTCCATATCGAGTTTACGATCATTTGATCACATACCTAGAGCTCTGCCAGTAGCAAGATAGGATATGACGAGGCAATGCTTTACTCGAGCAGGAGACCGCGCCAGAAGGAAGGCGAAGAAGACATACTGGGAACGGTAATGCTTTGCAGAGCTGGTCGCAACGAATCCTCAACCCGAGCCACAGGCTAGACTTTGTTATCAAGGATCTTCGGCTCTAGGCCTCCGAGCCTTGGATCACCCCCGGTGAATTGATACCTGGATCTATTCGATGTAGCTCAGATAGATGGGTTTTGCCCACTGCAACTCGTTCAATGTCTGCCTACTGCAGGTTTCTCAACTAAAAATGCTATTTTCCAAAGTTAAAGTGATCTTATTAGTACCATCATTCGCAGTCAGCATTTCCCTGATGCCTCAACTGTGTATAATTTATTATGCCAACCACTACCCCTTCTACTATAGTATTTCGAATGCCCACGCCGAATGCAAAAAAAAATGGTGTCCTTAATTACGTCACCTTCGGTATCACTTCTTCACTGGATCATGCCAAGCATCACCAACTATAAGAATGCACGACATCATTTACTTGCATACTCTATTGCTTTGAAATATCTAAAAATATATATTTCATGTATATTACATTGCAGTACGCACGGTTTTGAATGGGTTAATGTTGTATTCCCTTTTCTGTTATTTTTGTTGCGTTAAAGAAGTCATTAAGAACAAGCACGTTAGGAAAAGAAATAATGCACATGAACTGATAATAACACTTCAATCCATAAAACCTGTTATTATATATATATATTCTCTCTTTCTATATACTAGAAATAATTCATGCAAGATAAAATGAATAATTAAGCAATATTCTGGAAGTTCGTGTCAGGCATCGGAGACAATAACATGTTAAGCTTGTCTGTAACCACATCAGTCAAGGATGCCGCAAGTATACCTAACTGCAACCAAAAGAGTAAGTGTCGCGAATCGGAGTATAGCAAAGAATCCAATCAATTATTTAAGATCTACTACGGAAGACCTCCTTGATATCATGCGTGATATCGAAGGTGCTAGTATGTAAACGGATATGTAACGCTATGTCCTTGTGCCTCTATCTATCTAGGTATTGTAGTAGTTACTACATGTTGTATCAAGGGCTGTAACATGTGAATTCTGTACTATGATACTGTTGTTGCATCACCGTATCTATCACGCTCAAGTTCAATTTTCACGTCGATGCTGACGTTCCATGCAGATGCTCATGTGCCATCTGTCTAGGACATTCAAATATCTCATACCGAGGGCGATGCTACAGGGAACAATACCATTGTTGTTGCGTTCGTATCACCCAATTATCATAGTCCTCCGGCATATAGCTTCTCCATACCTAATCTAGTAACTTCGGATCACTCTAAGGGTTTCTGCGTTTTCCCTCTGAATGGGAACAACAATATATGCTCCTGCATACCAATCGAGAGGAATTCGGTGATATAGTACGACCGCGCCTCCCTCCAAGCCAGTAGACATCATGAAATCAGCACCTGAGCCAGCACAGATGGCACTGTTCTGGTGCGAAAGAAGGTCATCTGGCGAGCATGCGACCGATTGAGCGACGTTCAGCAAGCTGCAGCAACCCAAGAGCATATATATTTCAAGGGGTTGGGTGAACTGTTTGGTTACAAATCGTTAGCACGAATATCACATGGGTTGAACGGGTTTCCTCTTTTGGAATCTGTATATGTGGTGGTGGTGGAACAGTCGCACGAACGAGAGCGCTCAGGAGCACCGTAAGGACTAGATTCAATGGCAGAGCCAAAATATATCATGAGGTCTCAGAATGTGGTGCGAGGAGCTGCGGAGGAATATTTTCTGATATGCGACGAGTGATTGTTACTGTCTGTCTGTATAGTAGTGAAGTGGTTAGAGGGAAACTCGGGGAAGGTCGGGATTTGGGCTAGGCTGGAGTCGAAGGAACTGATCCAGGGGCGATTACATAAGCCAGCGACGTGATTGTCATCAAAACAACAATGGATGAGACGGGCACGCTTCCGCAGCGCTATTCTGCACGTGTTCAGGAAGTGTTCAGGTGGGCAGTGAAGGAGAAGGGTGACTGGCTTGGAGAGAAGAGAGACCCCCGACCCCAATGCGGATGTTTTGATCACGGCCGACCGGGATCCGCGTTACGATGCGAGCACTGACGACCGACTCGCTCCGCAGCTATCCTGAAGGTACCGTGCCATATATAGTACACGACTTGACGCGCACAGCGTTTTGGGTGACCTGGGTGACCTGGAGGACTACACGAACGCGTCGCAAACTTGCAATATATATTATGGATTATGATTGAGCAAGGTGGGCTGGTGATAATGTTTGATTCTGCTGAATGCACGAGACGCACGCATGTTAGCAACCGACATTTGCCTTTGCTTCAACGAGAAGCTTGAAACATCAACTTGTAGCCGACCGAAAGAGGCTAGTGCATCAGCAATGGTGTGTTAGGTGAGTATGACGTTTGCAGAGTTGGTAGATGGACCGTAGTAAGTTACTTCGTAGGCGGATCGTAACTATTAATGTGATTGGTGGTGGTGGCCCGAGCAAAGGGAAGGAAAGAAAAGGAAAGGAAAGGTGCAACTGTTTCTTGTTCCTTGTTTCTTGGGAGGGGGAGAAGGATGAGGGAGCTTGGAGGAAGAAGAGGAGGTGAAGGAGGAGAAAGAGGAGACGCCAATTGACCCCGAAAGAATAATAATGATGCACCGTTGATGATTTCGTGCTGGCCGGTAAATTACGAGTACAATATCGACGCCCTCTGGGACTGGATGCACCTCACCTAATCTGTGCTTTAAGGGCATTCTTGATCAATTCGTGGGCCTGGAGCGCACCATATGAGGTGGCTGGGGACATGTCCACTGTCCAGTGTCCATCGCCTCCTACTACTGGCAGTACGGAGAGTAGTGGTGACTGCCCAGTGCCCACCGCCTAACCGCCTACCCAACAAGCAGGCCTAGTAATGTTTAGCAGCCCTGGGGGGCGGCCCATGTATTTTACTGACTGGACTATTCAGCTGATGAATGATGGGATCCATTCTTGGTGCGCGGATGCAAGCTGTGCACGCTCCGCACACTCGACAAGCCCAAACCTTTGGCTACCTAGTACTTGTACTAACTAGTAGCAACGGCAAGGTAAGGTAAGGTATGTATGAGAGTGCAGCAAGCGAACCTAGCGGATATACCTAGTGGATAGAGAGAGAGGGAGGACGCACTCTCGGGGAGAGGGGCCAGGAGTGATGAATGATGGTGCAGGATGCAGGCAGGGAAAAGGGCGAGAGCGCATCCGGAAGTCATAGCACACATAATAGTAATATGCGGAAGTCACATGAAACGGAGCAAGGAATGTACTGTGTAAGAAGAGTAGGGAGGAGTAGGTACTAGCTACACAGTATACAGTAGTTACGAGTAACTACTGCCGGTATGAGTCCTCCGCCGGTTGCCAGGTAGTAGGGAGTAATCAGAGCATGTATTACGGAGTAGGGTGTTGATGTGCAGATTTTGGAGGTCGCTAGGGTGGTGGTGGTGGTAGTGGTAGTGGTGGTGGAGAGGTGTGCAAGTCGCGCATTCAGCCAGGCAGGAGGCAGGGCAAGACAGGGCAAGGCAGTCAGGCTGAGAAACGGGCAGACGGGCGGTTAGGAAGGCTCATCAATAATGGGACCATCACGCACCATTACACAGTAGACACCACCAAACCATTACTACCAAACTGCCACCAGACTCTACCGAGCTAGCGAAGAATAAAGGGCGGAAAGTGAGATGGGAGGGGTTCTTGAGTGTGTACTTGTAATCCGTAGGTGGCTATTGTAGAGGCGAGTACGGAGTACGGAGTACATACTGTGTAGAGAGGGGGCGGCGAAGGCTGTTGATGATGATTATGACTACGATGATGATGATGGTGGTGGTGGTTGGTGGTTATGGCCGGATATGTGAGATTGATCTCACAGCCTGCAACAGCTGGCTGGGCTGAGTGATTGAGTGCGTTTCGGCCACCGTACGAGTACCCAGGGAGTTAGCAGTAATACAGTAACCTTACGAGTAGAGGCAATATCTCCTAGGAGTTTAGGACCAAATTACTGTGTAGGTGTAGGTGTAGGTGCTGGGTACGGGATATACTAGATGGTAGATAGTAGGTACTAGGTAATTACTAGGTAAGACCGTAAGACCGCAAGAGAGATGGGGGGGAAGAATAATAATGGATTTACTATGGGATGAGAGGGAAAAAAGACCAGACCACCCACTCTCCCACTCTCCCGCTGTAGTTACTAGGTAGGTAGTTTAGGTACGAGCGTCGTAGCACTGCTGATTGATGTGATTGGTTTAGTACGAGCCTACAAGGTATGTACCGCACTGGTAGTGGCAATGGTTGTACCAGCCCAGCCCAGCAGTACACAGTACGGAGGAGTACGGAGTAATAATGAGAGAGAGATTGAGAGTAAGTGAATGTATGAGTGACGGAGTCCAGTATTAAGTGAGAAATTGGAAACAAAGCATGCACTACCACCATCACTACCACCGCTACTACTCTACTTCCCACTGCTACGGCAACGGCAACGGTAACGGCAAGGAAGAAAAGCGGTATCACATTGGGGGTCTCTCTCTGTGTGTGTACTCTGTTCGATTGGCGTTACAGTCCGATGAGGGATGATACAGAGAGGGTACCTAGGTACTCCGCAATAGCGTTACCATTATTATCATCGCTGTCACTAGTTATCGTTATGATCATCAGAATTATTATTATCATCATCATCATCATCACTAGTAGGAACAAAACAGTACGGGAGTGAGTATGGAGTACGGAGAAGTAGTATCATTATCGTGTGAGAAGGTAGGTACCTAAGCGCAATGTAGGTGGTAGACAGGAGTGACAGGGAGAGAGAGGGTGGAGAGGAGGAGAAGGAAGAGGTAACGGAGTAGAGAGGTTTGTGTGAGTGAGCGTGTGAGTAGACTGTACTGTAGTATACTGTGTAGTATACTGTGTAGTATACTGTGTAGTGTGCGTGTGTGTGTGTGTGTTGCGCGTAATTTGGCTCGCTCCTCCCATCCACCCCCCCCCCAGGTCTTTGTTAGGCGGGTGGGCAAAGCGTCACGTGATCTTGTTTATCGCTCCTGCCATTTTCTTAGGGTAGGCGACCGCTCCCCTCCTCTTCTACTGCTTGCTGAGCTGCTCACCCATTTTCCTCTCATACAACTTGCTCCCCCATACAATTTGGCCTTCTACCTTTCCGCCTGCAAAACTCTCAGTAAGTATACTCGCTTCGATTTATTTTATATATCGACCATTCACTGCGCATCCGCCGCAATATTCCACAACCTCCACTTCCTCTTTTTCCTCGCGTTTTTACCTCTTTCCTAGCTCCATTGACCCTTCTTCTGTCTTGTTTCTTCAACTTTCTGCGCGTCATCGCGTCCTTTCAAACCTCGTCGCCGTTGCCCTCGCGCCTGCTACTCTACCAGCACAACACTGACTCTCCATTCAGACTTGAAATCCACAACTTCAGTTTTCGCTATTCTGCAATCTTTCAGGTAAGTCATTTCTCTCTCAGAATCCATGTTTGCGCATCTTCACGACCGTCCCTCGTGGTTTGCGATAGAATGCGCCCAACGCGCGCAAAGCACCTGAGCAACCTTCCTTAGCTATGGACGCGACCATTCTACACAACAACAACAACAACGTGTCGCGTCCTCACTATGGTCCACTCCGCGAAACCACGTTGCATCCGTCATCATCGCCTGGCTGAATCTATTCCGATCGCTTCATTTCGGGATTCAGTTCCGCGAGTTGTCCACCTGTCCAACCGTGTTTACTTTGAAACCTTCGCGTGAACTCACTGACTAACATTGCTATCTTCACAGCTCAATCCTCTACCTTAATCATGCCTAAAGCAGAGTCCAAGACCCGTGGCAAGAAGGGCAAGGCCGACGGCGGCAAGAAGAAGAAGGGTGAGTCGTGTCATTTCTACCAGGTTCCATCAAATGCTAACCGTGCCAGATCCCAACGCACCCAAGCGTGGTCTCTCCGCCTACATGTTCTTCGCCAACGAGCAGCGCGAGAAGGTCCGTGAGGAGAACCCCGGCATCAAGTTCGGTAAGTGTCACTTGCTCCAGTTCTCCCTCTGAATGATTGAGCTAACATCTTCCAGGCGAGGTTGGCAAGATGCTTGGTGAGAGGTGGAAGGCTCTCTCCGAGAAGCAGCGTACTCCTTATGAGGCCAAGGCTGCTACCGACAAGAAGCGTTACGAGGAGGAGAAGGCCGCCTACCAGGTAAATTCTTCCCAATTACTCCACGCTCGGATTGTTATTAACAACAGTCAGGCTGGCGCTGAGGACGACGACGAGTCCGACTAAGCATTTGATCAAATTCATTTGCAAGTCCTCGTTTATCTCCACAGGCGCGACGTTCAATGCTAGGTCGGGCTGAACCAGTTCATCTTGGATGCATCCCGGTGGTGGTCATGGTGCAATGGTCCTAAGATGCGAAGCGGAATTATTCTCTTTGCGTTTATATGCTTTCTTATCATCTCTTTATCGGCTAGGTTCAGAAAGGTCAATTACATGATGTGAATAGGCGGCTATACCCCACGAACTGCTCTGCATGTTGCAGTGCGGCAATGGGTCAAGTCATCTATCAGTCACTGATGCTTCAGGCGTCCGTCGCGCTGCAGACGTGAAGGCATCACGATCTCATGACTTGTGTACACTAGTTTTAACAACGGTATGAAAGATCCGCTTTTTACCTTGACTGTTTGTTGTGCTTGAGTGATGCTCATTCCATTCTGACGTCGGGAAGCCGGCGTAGCCATTGAAACTATCTGTCAGGTACTCTTCCTGATGCACTTGGATGAAGTATGTATGAGCGGCTAACCCAGTATGCCGCTGCAATCATCTTGACTCGGAGACCTCACCACTCCAACTCTTTAACTTCTACTGTTGACTCTGCCGTGTCTGGGCGTCAATCACTCCAGCAAATACTCCACCTTCACTGGGAAGTCACATACACCCTCAGACGTACCTTTCCACCGCGAGGTCCGTTCAGTCCAACACAAATCACTTCCTCATTGCATCGCCCTATCACCGCATCGCAGACTCACAACATCACCCAACTCCCCCCTCTCCATACCTTCTCTTCATAACAGTCATCATATATATACCAGAATACAAGCCAATCACCCATCAAACAAAGAGCAGGAAAAAAGTGAAACAAAAGCATCGTTGGTGCAGTGGTTAGCATCCTGCCTTCCCATCGTCCCATTTATGGCAGCGTATAAGTAGACAGGCAGTGACGGGAGTTCGAATCTCCCACGATGCATTGTTTCTTTTTTCTTTTTCTTTTGTTTTAGTTTTTTTGGTTGGGTTTTTCGTAGTGAATGAGAGAGAGTCGGGTAGGTACGTACTCGTACGTACCTACTGTTTTTGGTTGGAGGTTGAGCAAAAGGGCTGGCAGGCATTGCTTGATATAGCGCGGGTTTGAAAGAATGGGTGGGAATGTTAATGAATTCGTTCATTCGATTATTGTACTCTTCGTAATGTTGATGCCGTTGTTAACTTCGATGATGTCCGTACGGAATGAGGCTAATGAGTGAGCGATTCAACCTTCACTTACACGACTTGCTTAGTACATATAGCTCACTACTCCAGCATCTGACAATTGGTATGGGCGGTGTATCTGTTTTGGACTTCAATGGCTAGATTTTTCTTCTCCTGCCTGCTGAACGCTTGAACTGAATGCACGCCGGATCTCCCTCTTTAATAAGACGTACGTATGTATGCATAGACCTTGGTCTTCTACCGTCACAGTGCTCCTAAGTAGGCGAAATTGATTTCCTTCCTGGAATCCTAATCTTATTGGACCTGACCCTTCTTGCCATATAGCTACAATATCACACCAAAATCAATCGTGCCTATTATTCCCGTTGTAACACCACCATCAGACCCATTATTCCCAGCATGACTTGCTTGAGCCATGGGTTCTCACTGAGGAGAATAGTCACGTATCCCACGAATGGGACGAATCCCACGACACTCCCGATAACATCTTCTTTGCGGTTGAGGAACGATTGGCCGCGAGCGTAGAGCTCGGTGTCGTCGGCCAAGTTGTTGTCACCCTTGGTGAGGAGCTGGAGGGGAGTTTCACTGTCCCAGAATTAGCATTGTATCCTGCCTTCCACGAAACCTGCGAGCGAGTCCCCGGTGCCATAGTCATGTCCTCCAATAATTATAGAGAAATAGCTTACCCTCCGCCGAACCTCCGCACCACCCTGTGCACGATGGGGATGTTCTTCCCCTTGACATTATACACAACAATCTCTCCGACCTGTGTGTCCTGTCCCCTGTTCCAGAGGAACAACAAATCGCCTCTCTGGAAAGCTGGCTCCATCGAGCCCGAAAGTACGACCACGATTGGCGACGGCGAGTCCGTGACGACGGAGAGACCCTTCCATAGCATGAACGCTGTTGAGAGAACGAGTGCGAAGTTTAGTATTTGCGCGGCGAGTTGCCGCGGCTGGAGATTTGCGAGGCCGAGCATTGCTGGTGTTGTAGACTGGTTCGGAGGGGGGAGGTAGGAGGAGGAACACCGGGGCGGGAGCGAGAATGCGTGTGTCGTGAAGGGTTTAGAAGTGGAGGGTCGTGTGAACCTTTTTGGTTTTTTATAACCACTGCTCGGTGTGAATTTTAGCAGTCTTGAAAGCCGCTGACCTTTTGCGGCGCGTGGTTGAGGTCAATTGTTGTTGGAGTTGGCTTGCTGGGATAAGCTTGAGGTGTTGATGCCAGATGTTCTTGAATTTGGTGATTGGCTGCGCGTCGGACCTCCGTCTTCGATGACTAAGCTGTCGACCATTTTGGTTATATAGACTTCGCGAATAACGAGAACCTCAATGACATCTTGCTATAGGTGAAATATGCAACAAAATGACTGATCTTCTTGTTTCTAGCGGTGAGATTATCCCGCTAGCGTTGTACACCGTCAATTATAGAATACTTCGTTCAGCTTCACCTCTTCTTCTCCACACTCGAACCATGAAATCCGGAGCAGTTATCACATATGTCGAAGAACAACGTCTTCAACAAATAAGATCTATCAATCTGACTCTGGACAATCTCATTTGATCACTATTGACCTCGAGAAAGGGCCAAGCACGTCATACCTATGAAAGTGTCAACTCAACTAACAACCTCAAACTCTCCATTCTTCTCTATCCTCAGTCATTCTCGAATATATGGACGCAAGTGGCTTGCCTTCCCATCTCCAGCATGACCTAAAGCTTCTCTAATACTAATATTTATGGTCTTAACTCACAGTTCTTATTGACGAACCAATATAGGTTCTACTTACCAGAGATCATCGACCCTTTGTTCATTCTTTACTACAGACCTAAGCCATATCACCTCGAAGACCCGAGTCCCCAAGCCAGGACAGTACTCGTTTTGAGATGTCCACATTATCATATCGCCGAGGGACGTACGTAATTCACCAACCATACAAGCCCGGCCGGCCAGGATGGCCCGCCGTGGTAATTGGATACCAGGACATTCCCAGCACTATCCGAAACTATAGAAGCGAGATGCTCGAGGTTCCAATCTTGTTACTGCACAAGAACGACATGTAAGTACATAGAATGAATATACTCACTTCTTCGTTCTGACTGCTGTAGACGGTGGGTAAATGATGACGAACTGTCGCCATTTCGCTCTCAGACCTGGACCGATGAGGACGCTTGCAAATACCCCGGACTACGCGAAGCATTTCTGACTATGATAAATGGGGTCGCCGATGGGCTTGAAATGGTGTTCTGGAGGATCCTCATCGAGAATCGCTACGACGAGGAATTGCCTCCAGACACTGACACTGCTCACGCGGATCATCGTACCGATCAGAGGCTCATAGAGGCCCCACCAGTCCAGGATCTCAAGGGCAAAGGAAGGACTGTCATTGGAGACTCGGCGACTCCCTCTTCAATATGGACGATGTCGGTACGGGATGGTGGAAAAGATCTCGTACCTCTCAAACGCTCCTACGACCGGAGCTTCTCGTCGGATAACTGCCTGTACCCTTCCAGTACAAGTAGAGGAGAATCCTCGAAGAGAAGGGGGGGATTTCCAAGTGGCAATGAGAAGGATGACATTAATGCCTCACATAGTTTACAACTGAGGACCGGCACAGCCGATTCTGCTAGCACTTCATACAACGAGGTTAGAGCTGGGTACACAGTCAGGTCAGAGCAGTTCAACGAGATGTAAGATTCATTGAAATATGAATATCCTCGATACCTAACCTATCACTTCGCAGGGACGATGATCCGGAGTTCGTTAAATTCCCAGTTGGCCCGAACCGAAAGCCGTTCTACATCCCACTCCACGTGGTTCGTGACAATGGCTTCTGTAGCGCGATCCAGGGAGATAGCATCGTAAGGAAGAACGGAAAAGGCTGGATATACGACCGACCATCTCTATGCAGGGTCCAGCCCGACGAATTCGAATTCGTTGCCGATTTCATGTACAACAAGGAATTCGGGCTCCGCCAAATCGGCAGTGAGGAGGAAAAGGCGAGATGTTTCGCCGAGTGTGCTGGAGCGTGGACTGCAGGTGAGGAGATCGGAATCGAGGAATTGCTCGACCACATCGTGGCAAAGTTGCCTCAGACCGCCCCCTGGAGCGACGTGGGCTTGGAGATTGTGCTGTTCTTCGCTGCAAGGGTTTGGGAAACCTCCGGAGAGCCCTCTCGAGCGCACAGGGACATGAAGGCAATGCTGAGTACGTTCATCGCTGACCACTTTTTTGAGTATGTCTGTGCACACTTCGGAGACTTCAAGAAGCAGTTGGATGAAACGCCCGAGCTCGCCGCGGATATCTATACGATCATGGGCGATCGAGCAAGAGCAAAAGTGGGACTGCAAGAGGAATGAGAAAGCTGCTTGCGAATCAGTTCACGCGTGATCACTTGGTTTTCATATCTCTCATCTGGTCCTCGTTATCTCTACAAATATTTCGAATCTATCGACATAACTAGGATAGCTAATGGAAAGATGCATAAGGGATGAATGTATGCATTTCCCAGCTACTTGATTTGTACTGGTTCATGATCGTCTTATTGTACCATGCTTGGGCCGCTGCTTGCTGACCAAGAATCATTTCTGGAAGCATCAATCAGCCCAGGTATCGACTCTTTCCCGCAGTCCCTTGAAACCAGTGTCTCCCGACTCCAGATCGTTTAGCCAGGTGACGATGTGACTCATGTATATGTAGTCATCGCATGTCTCGACCGCCAAGAAAAAATCTCTCAGTCGTTCGCTCGATTGAAAGACTTCGACCCATCCGGGGGCTAGCACTTTCATCTCCTCAAGGAAATATCGTCGGAGCTGCGTGAGCTCCCAGTTAGTCAGGTGTTCCCAATAGAGCTCGTCTACATCGCCGTTCTCATCCTTCCGGTAAATGTTCTTGTCGGGCTGCTTTTCGCTGTCATGGGAGTGGAGAAGTAGAGGGTATTGGCAAGCAAGCCATATAGGAGATAGTGAGATGCATTCCCAGTCCACGACAGCTGTTAGATGGCCCTCTTCACTGACAAGTGCATTATGAAATGATAGATCTTCATGGAATAGCATTGTAGGCTCGGTATTCGTTTCATTCGCTGGGAAGAAATCGTCCATGAGTGATCGCAATCGCGAGATGATGCTCTCGGTTTCTTCCAAATCCTCAAGATCATCTTCGTCATCGTCGTCATCGCCGTCATCGTCGTCGTCATTGCCGTCACTTTGGTCGCCAGTTTCGTATATCTTCCCAGCTACGATCTCATTCTTCGATTGCAACTTTTCATTTTCTGTGCTCGGCATAGCTTCGATGTTACTGTTGGCAGTATCGTTTTCGTTGACTTCGTCATCCTCGATCTTCATACGTTTGTATTCTCCGAATTGGATTTCGTGCTCATTTCCGACTTTGAACCTCTCCGTCGGTACATGTTCGCCTTCGATACCCTCTACAGTCTGGTCTCGTGAACAAACATCTGCAGGACTGTTCTTCTCTTCATTCGTGCCCTTTGCCTTTGCACGGATGCGTTCGATATGTCGAGAGCATTCAATGTGCACTAGATCTAACTTGGCTGATAGCCACTCCTTGCTAGTAGAGAAAGGTCCTCGGTTTACATTCTGGTGAATGCGATCTTCCCAGAAGAATCCCATCGATACAATACGCCCAACTTCGAAGACAGTCCCAGATGCTCCAGGTAGCGAGGACTGATCGTCTCCGTCCCCCTTCGAGGGCCGAGTCGAAGTAGCTGACTTTCCTTCTGCCAGTGAAAGGCCTCCGATTTTCGTGAATTGATGTTGGAAGCAAGCGGCACAGAACGTGGCCAGTTGACGGACAACTCCTCTTCTAGCTTCGAAACTGAGATCGCGCCATACGTCTCCCAGTGGCTTCCCAGGCATCTTACTTAGTCATAGCAATCCATTCGAACCCGATGGCACTCATTCGGTCCGCCTGGAAGGCGAAAACTTCGGGGACTGGCAAATCGGTATGCTGCGAAACCCATTTCAGACTGGCAACCTCGCACATAGTTTTCCATTTGGGGTCCACTGGCAAGGTGACTCTTGCCACAAGCTCTCTGTCGGCGGATTTGACGACGAAGACTTTGTTCATAGCACCGGAAGCAAGGAACTCGATCTCGCAAGGGTAGACCAGGTTGAGTGCATCTCGAATGGTGCTTAGGATTGCTTGATTGTCAAGCTCGATAGTCCAACGCGGTTCTGCGCCCCAGATCGTAGGTCGTACCCACTTCAGTCCTACAAAGTCAGACAGCTCTGCAGTTGGTGGTTGTGCCATTGTTGAAGTTGAGAAAATGCAAGTGATTGTATTTATTCCCCAAAAACTTCGCTCCGGTGGACGTTCCTAAGTAGTGTCCCACTCCTTCGGGTAAAGGTTGAATTCGAATAGGCAGCCACTCAACATAATGAGTGAATGAATTGGCCTGTGCGGCGAGTCCCAATACAGTGATAAACTGAGAAATTTGGCACGAGCGTCCGTCCAGTCGGGAAGTCATGATTTGGGATGAAGGTCACGTTGATCAAATTGAGAAGACAGACCATGTGACAAGCAGCGCCTCTTCCTTTGTCGCTGACTATGTCGCTCTTCGGTTGCTCTTGCATACTTAGGTACTTGCACAATACTTCTCTATCGGGGGTGGACCACTTCTATGCATGTTTCTCATATGTGACATGATATCTACACAGTAAGTATTCCAGTAGTTATATTGAATCAAACGTAGCAATTTAGGCGATTTCATCAGCTCAATGTTAAAACTCGCGCTTTGGGTACATACTGGCAAAAGGTTTGGCGTTTAGACGGAGCCATTCCATTGGAAGGTCCATTTTATACGATGACAGGTTACGGGAGAGTTCGTAAGAATCATGCAACCTTGGCGTTGTTTACCTCAAGACCATGGATGATAATGCGGTATTAGCAAGTAACTTGCTTTGATCGTGTAGTCGATCGCAATTGAGATATGTTTATGCCTTATTAGGAAAGATTGGGTGGATAACTCATACATATACCTTTACTAAGTCTCACCTCCACCAAAGGTTGGGATTGCATATGCCGGCTTTTGATAACAATTCTAACATGCTACAATCCTCTTTCGGAGTGATAGAAAGTAAAGATGATGCCTCTTGTCGGCGCGCTTCGAGATGCATGTTTGAAGAAAGTGGCGGGTTGAGTCTACCAATTGAGTGGAACGTGACGTCTCAGATTCCGCGGCACCTAAGGTTTAAAACGTTTTCCGATCGTTTGAACAGACGTGCCTGAAATATTACAGAATGACGACGCCTGGGCTGGTGAGTCGCGAATATGAAATCCTTCATGTTCCAGGCTAGACTGCAATCAGAATTCGCCAACCTTTCCACTATCTTGCATTATACTGTACCATCAATAAAACAAAAATGTTGGATATGGAAATTATCATATATTCGTATGTACCAGCTCGACTGGCTTAATGTGCTTGTTGCTTTATTTTATATAATAGAATTTATCTTCCATCCCGTTCGCTAGTGCTGACAAGCCAACTATCGGGTTGCCAAAAGCCCAACATGACCTCCGAGAAATAGATATACCGTAAAAAAGAGTGTTTGATTGCTTTGGCGGCAATGAATTCCAATAGTCATACTGTATACAACTAAACAGCCACGGCATTGTTTAGAGCATCAGCATCGCGACGGGAGAGCGATCGGCGGACCATTCTGTCACGCTTTCGTTGGTTGCGGTTCAGCAAGTTGGCCAAGTTTCCATTGGCAAGACCACCCGCTCCACCAAGTACATCACCAAGAGGATTGGCATTGGCAAGTCCTCCAAGAGCGTTGCCGCCAGCTTTTCCTGCGCCCTCTTGGTTGTTACCGCCGAGAATGCCTCCGAGAAGACCGGAAAGGATTCCTCCGTTGCCGTTGCCGTTGCCCTGTTGGTTCTCATTCTGGTTCTGGTTCTGGTTCTCTTCTGCGTTCTGGTTCTCGCCGGCATTCTTGCCCTTGCCCTTGCCCTGTCCCTTTTCTCCGTTGGCAAGCTCATTACCCTGGTTACCACCAACCTCTGGCTCAGTGGCATTGGCAGCAGCTGGTGGAGCAATCTCTGTAGCGTTCTTTCCAGCTTCGAGTTGAGCCTGCTGCTCTTGCTTCTTCTTCTCCTCTTCAGCCGCCTGTTGCTGTTGCTTAGCCTGCTCTTCGGCGGCCTGCTGTTGTTGTTTCTTTCCTTGCTCAACTAGATTCGTCAGTGTCTTGTTTGTGAATGTCTGAACCAAGGTATTGCGAACCAGCCTGGGTAGCCTGCTTCTCCTTCTCAGCGGCTGCTTTCTGTGCTTCCTCTATGGCATGGTTAATGTCTGACAACACGGTCTGAGTGTACAAGCACTTACTAGCCTGTTTGAGCTGTTGCTTAGCCTGCTGGACATTTTCATCAGCTGCCTGCTTTTCTTGCTCTGCAAACATGTTAGCATGATATCATTTTCCGAGGGATGGCATGACATACTAGCTTGAGCAGCAAGATCCTCGCCAGCAGCAGCATTGGGGTCTGCCACGGCGTTTGGATCGGCTACAGCATTCGGATCCTGCTTAGCATTGGGATCGGCTACGGCGTTTGGATCCTGCTTAGCATTGGGATCGGCTACGGCGTTTGGATCCTGCTTAGCATTGGGATCGGCTACGGCGTTGGGGTCGGCGACAGCATTAGGGTCCTGAACAGCGTTAGGATCCTCTGCTCCCACAAGCTGTGCATTCTGTTCGGCATTGTTGTTCTGGTCTTTCTTATTGTCAACAAAAGTAGGTGTAACGGGAGCATGAAGCGCTTACTCTCTTGATTGTTGCCCTTTCCTTTCTTTTGCTTGCCCTGTTGGGCTTGCTGGTTCTGTTCGCCCTCCTGAGCCTGTTGGTTTTGTTCACCCTCCTGCACCTGCTCAGCGAGCTGCACACCTTCCTGGTTCTGCTGTGCGAGCTGTTCCTCCAAGTTGGCATTCTGGGCTTGGTGCTTGTTAGTCTATGAAGATTCTTAATGCAAACGCTCACTCACCATTGGCCTTCTGCCCCTGTCCTTGGCCCTGCTCTTCGTCGTCGTCATTATCATCGTCGTTGTTGTTCTGCTGGGCTTGGGCTTGGGCTTCTTGGTTATTGCCCTTGCCCTGGCCGTTACGTGCGATCAGGAGAGCATCTCGAAGCTCAACGGCCCTCTTGCTGAAATCCGCAATCGCCTCTCCCCGTCGACCGAAATTAGTATTTGGGATGACGACATTCTCAGTACCGGCGGTGACAACGGGTCCCGGCTTGACGAATGGAGCTGGGGCAGCAGCGACTAGCGCTGTGGAAAGGAGTGTGAGGAGCGGGTATGCGGTCTTCATGTTGACAACTGTGAAAATTCAACTGAATCGATACACAAAGTTTTGAAATGAAAGGACCAAGAGGAGAGCAAGTCAAATGTTAGGGAAAGTAAGAATTGAGCTCAGCTCTTTACGAAGAAAAGAATAGAATAGAGAGGTAGTGCCCAGCACCAAAGAACGAACTTAGGACTGAAGAAACTGGAAGAGCTGAAAGCGTGCAGGACCATAACTCAACGGGGATTCACAGCAGATTTATACGGATCTACTATGACCACTATTATTGGAAGTTTTGGAACAGAAAGCCAAACCTCAGGGATGTGTGCACTGCACAAGGGCGCAAAATGGGGAGTTGTTTTCGTTGCCATCCCGTGTCTCTGTCTATCTTACGTTTGGTGTTGGAGACAACCCTGAGGCTGCCAGGCTTTCGAGAGGAAGACATCGAGATGCCCCACAACTCTCTCACAGGGACGAAAAGCTTGGTTCGCCTGTGGAGCCTGAGTCTGTTCGACTGAGGCCTCGAAGCTGGAGGGTTGGGACCAGGATGTAGTAAACGGACAAATCAAACGCATGAAAGCGATTTTGCGCAGATCGATGACGCGAGTCAATGCCTGCGTTGGCCAATATGGATGGGAGGTTCGCGACTCCTGTCACAACGTCTGATGTTAGAGACGGTGTTGCAGGTGGACCGGGGTAGGTGGGAGCTAAAAAGAAGCTTAAATCAAACGCACTGGGGTTGAGACTTGGGTTCAGTTACTGAGTCTGACTGAGGCTCGCAGGCATCTGGTGCAAGGTACCTGAAGCTTGTCTCGTTTCAGAGACACCCATGACGAACACTCACTTTCCAAGAACACCACACTGCTCCGGGCCCTCTCAAGTCTCTTACCATCGATCGGGCCTATTATGATCCTTAAGGCATCATGAAGGCGGAGTTCGCGCAGTTTCAATTCACGCCTCTCATTCGGGACGAGAGCAAGCCGAAGTGGTATTGCAAGAGTGCCTACCTAGCTCGCTCTCAACAGTTGGGGTATTGATCTGTCGTGCCAGCGTGCTCTGGGGAACAAGGTGGAGAGAACTCGGCGACAGACAAGTGGGCGAGTGGAGCTATCGTTTTCCTTTCATTAAACGCCATGCAAATGTAAAAATAGAGAAAGATGAGAAATAAAAAAGCATTGCCGATGAGGAGGAGCCGCGGTATATTTCTCCTTGTTATGGGTGGGTATCAAAGATGAAGCCATGGCCATGGCAAACGATGCGGCGGCGAGTGATTCGTTCATTCTCTCTCGTGAGCGCACGCACATTATCCGTAACTGCATATACAGTACATGTACATGTATGCACATGTCATGAGTATGATACCGCGATTGTCCGTTTGTAGTTACAAGTATGACAACTTTGACAACTTTGACTGGCGTGAGCCGGTGGAAGGATGTCCGGGACAGCTTCCTACGGCCCGTTTTTCGGTTAAGTCTCCCTTTCGTCCCCCTGGTATCATTGGGGTTGCGCCGTTGCGGCTTGATACAAACAGGAATGTGTGGTACAGTAAGCACATTATCATTGCTCGCGTCCTGAGTCTTCCATTCTGGAGAAGACCGATTCATGCAGGTAACTGTTAGTCCGACGAATATCTACGTACTATCTACCTGCTTGCTTACTTGCCTTGTGGCCCATTTGCCTACAGTGGAACAAGTCAGCAGTATGTACATAGGAGCAACGGCCTCGGAGGGATACGCGAGGGATCTTTATAACATGAAATGTTCAAGATCTTTTGCATTATTGTTCGATCACTTGACAGGAACATACGGCATCTTTGCATCTTGGTTTTTTTTAACAAGAGTGACGGCTATGGAATCCTCGTTCTTCTGCACGATAGATGATCTGGTCGGAATGAGACGAGGACGTACCCGATTATTTACCATAGGCACGCATTTGGCCATGAGCAGACAAATTTCCGTCTTTTGCCATCATCTGCCTCAATTCCATAACTACGGAGCATAATTCCACTCAGCAATGTTCCTTTATTCTATGTAAACCCATCTCGACATTTCCGAAATGCTCGCATGTGCAAAGTTAGGGGCGAGTCATCGAGTTGGCCAATGATAGAGCCGCTGTTTGTCTAAAGCCATGTTTTTCCGCTTTAGCCTCGGGTTGCCCCCAAAAATTCATTGGCGCAGCGTCATCGAATTGCTTCCTACCGAGCTTGTGAAGATAACCCAAATGCTCGCCTTCGCCCGCGACTTTGCTCTCGCCCTCGAGCCCGTTCCCACATAATGGCTTCCAGATCAATTCCAACGTCGCTGTTGCGACGAGTGGTCTCGACCCCACAATCCCACCGAATCGCTTCATCTCGAATCCTCGCCCGCGTTCCAAAGTCTTGTCGCAATCCGTTGCAAGCCTACCATCCTGCCTTACGAATTGCCGGACAAAGGAGGACGATATCGTCGACGGCACGACGGCGCCTGGCGGATGTGGACGATGCATTCGACCCTCGACAACAGGAACGCGAGAGTGACGAGGTTGATGTGTGCATTGTTGGTGGGGGCCCCTCCGGTCTCGCTGCCGCGATCAAGCTCAAACAATTAGCCAATGAGGCTGGCAACGAAGACTTTCGTGTCTTGTTGCTCGAAAAGGCGGGAGAATTGGGCGACCACATCGTATCTGGAAATGTTATGGAGCCCGGTGCCCTCAATGAGCTTCTTCCGGACTGGAACTCGGAGGACAATCCCGACCGATTCGAGCACACGACCCCAGCCAAGGTCGACAAGATGAAATTCCTTACCAAGAACAGCTCCATCCCTCTTCCAAAGCCACCGCAGATGAACAACCATGGCAACTACATCCTGAGTCTGAATCAGCTGGTAAAGTGGCTTGGGGAGCGCGCGGAGGAAATCGGAGTGGAAATATACCCCGGGTTCGCAGCTTCAGAGATTCTTTACAACCACGAAGGTGTTGTCCGGGGCGTAGCTACCAATGACTTGGGAGTTGCTAGAGATGGCACGCCCAAAGATTCCTTCGAGAGAGGGATGGAGTTTCACGCCAAGGTGACATTACTTGCCGAGGGTTGCCATGGTAGCTTGTCAAAGCAGGTCATCAAGAAGTACGATTTGAGGCGAGACAGTTCACATCAAACCTACGGATTGGGCATCAAGGAGATATGGGAGATTCAACCGGAGAAGTTCGAACCAGGCCTCATTGTACATTCGATGGGCTACCCACTGCCATCGGATACTTATGGTGGTGGCTGGATGTATCACTTTGGTGACAACATGGTCAGTATTGGTCTCGTCGTTGGTCTGGATTACCCAAACCCCTGGCTCGCTCCTTATGGCGAATTCCAGAAGATGAAGCACCACCCATTATATAAGAACTACCTAGAGGGCGGCAAATGCATCTCCTACGGCGCTCGAACCCTGATCGAGGGAGGATTCCAATCGATACCGAAGGTCGCATTCCCCGGTGGTGCCCTCATAGGTGACACGGCCGGATTCATCAACCTGCCCAAGATCAAGGGCACTCACACTGCCATGAGGTCAGGTATGCTTGCCGCCGAAGCAACCTGGGATGCTCTCCAGGCCAATACCGATGGCGGTACTGTCTTCCTCTACGATTACGAGGACAAGCTGAGGAATTCCTCGATCTGGTCCGAGCTCAAGCAAGTCCGCAACATGCGACCATCATTCCACACCAAATTGGGACTGTACGGTGGTGTTCTTTATTCAGGACTTGAGGCCTATCTTTTCCGAGGCAAAGCACCCTGGACGTTAAAGCACGGAAAACCCGACCATGCAGCCACGAAGCCAGCAGACCAATGCAAGAAGATCGAGTACCCCAAGCCTGATGGAAAGATCAGCTTCGACATCCTCACGAGCGTCAGCCGAAGCGGGACGAATCACGAAGAGGACCAACCCGTTCATCTTCAGGTCAAGGACTGGGACAAGCATGCGGAGATGGAGTGGCCAAAGTACAAGGGAGTTGAGAACCGATTCTGCCCTGCAGGCGTCTACGAGTACGTCGAGGACGAGACTAAAGAACTGGGAGTCCGCTTCCAGATCAATGCGCAGAAGTAAGTGTTGAATGTTTGTGCACTTTGATAAGGTTTGCTCTGTCTAACATTTTCCCTAGTTGCGTTCACTGCAAGACATGTGATATCAAAGTTCCCGACCAGGATATCAACTGGGCGACACCACAGGGCGGCGAGGGACCCAAGTATGTGCTAACATGATGAATCGATAGTATGGTGGGATATTTGTCCATATAAAACCTTGTGCAATTTTTGGAGTTTATCGGTGATACCAGTTCGAAAACGACAGGGAATGTACATTAGCCGAGGTTGCGAAATAAGTCGTTAACAACGATGGTTAAAGCAAAAGCGACAAGCACCGCGACATCATTATACAGCTTATTGTATTAACTACAAGTAACTGTGACGTGAGATCTTTAAGAATGATATTAAACAAGCTGGAAGGACCCGTGTTATCCTAATGTTATAGTACGGCATCAGGCTGCAAACGTGAAGTTATGAGTACTTGACTTGAGCACCTCGGGTACAAAAGCCCCATACTCGCCATCCACTGACTCCACATCAACCACGCCCGAGAAAATGAGCACGATTTCCCGACGCAATTTAGGAACATTGCTTAACAAACCTTGCGCAAGATGCATGAAATCTACCACCTTTCCTAATCTATCGCGGAGTAACTAGATATCTCACGTCAGTCTGTGCATAGAGGTGATTGTAATGACGGGAGAAGAGACTAATTGATACTCACCTCTATCTTTTGTTCCACCTCATCCTGAGTGAACATTTCTTCATACCCTGTAGGATGCTCATCGATCTCGCAATGTTCAATAGCGTATGTTGCCAGTTTGAGAAAGTCGATGCATCCATTCAGTGCCCTGAGCAAGTCATTACCATTTCTACACAGCTTTCCCAAAAACTCTATGAAGGATCTAATCGATGCAACGTCGTTCTTTGATTCGGGCGCTTCTGGATTAGATAGTATACATGACAGTAGCAACAAGGTAGCGGCAAGCGGGTAACATAGCAGTTCCCTTAAGAAGAAATGAGCATAGGTTCACAATGACTAGACAGAGGGAGGAATACGGACCAGATCTGCGCGAACGGCTGCAGAGACAGTAGTTGAAATAGGTTCATGGTTTCCAAGGCGGCATTGCGCGCCATAACCATGTCGAACGATAATCTTGTATTTGAGGTGTTTTGTCCAGGCGTGTTGCTGGTAATATCTTCCAGAGCTGGAAAACCGAATAGTGCGCCTCGGGATATATGTGTGTATACCTTGATCGCACAGCTGAAGTATTTCATATGTAATACCATGACCGAAACCGCAAAGTCATGCTCTTGTATAACGTTTGAATGCTGAAGATGGTCTGGGAGACTTTTCCTCCATCCTTGAAGGTCGTTGAGCACGGATCTGGCAGTCTCTAGCACTCCGCCGTTGGTTTGTCCCAGAGATCGGCTCGCTGATAATGCATTATCAAGGCGACATTGTATGATACTAATCTCCGCTAGTTTTCTGTAGTAGCCAGGCAGTCCGTCGCCAATGTCGACTTCTTGTGGTAGCGGGGGGAGCATCTTTTCGCTGTGTACGGGCGAGGGTACATCGTACTTATGTAGTATGTCCGCGTTGAGAAGGTAAGTTGTCCAAAATAATCGCCTGTAGCGTTCGACTTCGTTCTCACCAACGTCAGAGTCTAGACACATACTACGGAGATCCAAACAATATGCCAGATTAGTCGCAGCGGCAGTAAGCTGCAATGCGACGCGTACGTCAGCAGTTCCGTGCATGAACATAGCCATAGAGACTAGAGCCTCACAAGCAGGCAGTTCTGAGGTATGGATGACAAGTTCTGGGAAGACAGAAAATGCATTTTTGAAGTAGCCCCAGATCATTGGGGATAAACCCTTGAGTGAACCCAGAGCCGTTTTTAGTCTCATCGCATTAGCAAAGAGAGAATTTGTTAAAGCCCACTCAGGAACCGATGAGAACTCGTTTGATCCATCTGTAGTGAGGCCAGGCGGATTGCAAGGCAGATTTTGAAGTAAATCTCGTGGATATAATATGCTTTGTAATGGTAGAGAAGGCATCGCTTGTAGTATCAGGTCCAAGACCAGCAGTTTAACGGGAAGTTGAGCGAATATTTTCCACTGGAACGGGCCTCTGTCTAAATCTCTGCGGGACTTTTGGACGTTGTTGTGGACTTCTGTTGCAAAAGTTGAGAAGATCTGGATGCTGTTCGACGGACCACTCCCTGAGGACGGTAAATTTTGGTCGAGTGGAATCGCATTGCTGTCACCCTCCGAGGCACTCGCGGGCGCTGGACTAACTCGTTCAAGGTGACTATTCGTAGTTTGGATGAATGGATGAACTGCCAGGACGTCAAATACGATGACTATTATGCTTGAGTTATTCAGGCACTCACTTTGCGGACCCGATGGAGCAGCCTGATCAACTATGGAGTGGTGATCTAATTGTGTTGCCGCTTCATCCAGTGCAGGTATCTCTTCGGTGCTTTGCTCCTTCAAAGATGCTTCTATCCTCATCAATCGCTCCTCCAGCATAGTCATGTCATTTTTGCTGGGAGAAATCAGTAATTGTAGAGACCCGGTCCGTTTCAATAGACCTTACCGTTTTGCAACTCCTCGGCCTCTCCGCTCGACGTATTCACAGGGTTTGTTGAGTTTCAAACAATGTTGACAAGAAGGCTTCAGGCCGTCGCAACGCCTCTTTAGTTGCTGACATTGCTTGCAGGCCTACATACCGAGTTACTGGGTGTAGAGGAGGAGGAGATCTTGACTTTACATTTGTGACTCGGATGCGGGCCCTTCCACCGCGCTCCGCTGGTGGGCTTACAGAGACACGATTTCTCGTAGTATCAGAGTTCATCGGGGTAAATTTTTAATGCGGATTCTCTCGGTCCACATCACAACGGACGGAATGCAGTGTTCACTACTAAATCATAGGGGTCGAGGGTACGGCTATTATACATCCGTTGTCCGCTTGCGGCCATCTGACCAATCAGAAGTGACATAACCATAGCGGATGTGCGGATGTATAAACACCAGTTTATCAGAACTGTCTAGAGATATGTCAGCGGACAAATTCGACCACAAGCAGCTCGATAATATAAATCCGTGTTTATTGAAAATTATGGAGAGTAGAGGATCAATCTCCGAGGAATGGTGACTTTTTGGTGTGAATTTGACTCTTGAGCCTACCAATGTATTGCTTTCTTATGGGCACGCAATTCAAACCGTGCGGATCGTCAAGAGTGTCCACGGTATATAAATTGAACACCTCACCCACGTAAATTTAAAATAATATATCAAGAAGTTCACACACGATCATATCTTCATATTCCTATTCATTATTCATATACCTGCATTCTCAGCGGTATAGACATTCAAATGGCGAACTACAAGAACGTTGCAGTTGCCGGTGTAAGTTCTGCGCGCTGTCTTGATACAGCTTGGTCCAGTACACTAACTATAGATACAGAAAGGGCTCTTGGGCTCAGCGGTTGTTCTTGCTCTCTCTAATGCTGGCTTCAATGTAACCGTTCTTGGGCGCTCCGAGAGCAGTGAAAGTCTTCCTGACGGCGTCAAACGTGTCGTGGTCGACTACAACTCTGCCGATAGCCTTGAGGCCGCTTTCCGCGGTCAGGACGTTGTTGTATCAACTGTCAGTGGAGCGGGAATATTTGTGCAGAAATCTATGATCGATGCTGCGATCAAAGCCGGGGTCAAGCGTTTCATCCCAGCTGATTATTCGTCCTCGTCGACGGATCCGGCCGCTGAAACACTTCCCCATTACGTACCAATGGTTGACGTCCAAAACTACCTCAAATCCAAGTCAGAAGCCGGCTTGATCGAATACACGGTGTTTGTCGTCGGTGCATTCACCGAGTACCTCGTTCGATTCGGGTTTGTCATCGATTGGGCAAAGAAAACTGCAGAGGCCTGGAAAGGAGGCGACGTCATTCCTATCAGCACTACCAGCGTGGCTGGAGTTGGAAAGGCCATCAGTGGTGCACTGAAAAACGCGGACGCAACGAAGAATCGGAACATCTATGTGCATGAATTCGTTGTCACTCAGAAGTACCTCTTTGGCCTTGCTGAGAAGCATGGTGCCCCCAAAAGTCAGTGGACGTTGACAGATATCGACGACGTGGACACCGAATTTGAGAGACGAAAAGCGTTGGCGACTGCTGCGCCCGAATTTCCGAATATCATAGCTCTTCTGAGAGCACAGATGTTTGCTGGTAAGATCAAAGTGCACTTCGATCGTGTGGACAATGATCTGGTGGGTTTGAGGCAGCTCAGCGAGGCAGAGTTCGATGCAAACATTGCCAAAGATTTTGCTTAGGGGACGAATACTACCCGCATCTCCCCTCCTTGTTAAGGATGATAAGTTGTTGGAAGATTGTGCCGACTGGTGTGATCCTAGATACATCACGATCAATCAGCGAGTTACTTGTCTCAAGGATGGGATTCTTCATGAGATATGTTGTCTCGTCATTGTATCTAATATATTAGGATGAAAGAAGGCACGCATTCATTTATTCTAGTAAAACCAATCAATCAATCCTATTGTTTCCAAAATATTGCATTGAGAACAGTGTGAAGGGAGATAAATAACATTATTGCACACGTGACAACCCTGACCAATCGTAGCTCGGATGAACGAACGTCTTGCATTATTGTGCCCAGGTCTTCATTGGGAGGGTTGTGAATGCTTGCTGATTTGCTTTACATAAATTGTGATGTATTAGTACTTAGTAGTGTTCCTTAGAGTAGTAGTTCTACTCTCCAATCTCGTAGAGCGCATTTTTTAGGTTGGTATATCGTATTACCCGAGAAGAACCGTCATTCTCAGAGATACTTCTATCCTATAAGAGGAGCATTCGGATTGCGTACTTTGTAACTGATAAGCATTGCCGTCCCATGATGTCCGCCCCATGTATTGTTAGCCTGCCCCTTCACAAAGCGCAAAGTCGCATCCCTCATTTCACGGTCTGTGAGACGAATGATGTGTTTTGATGGACTATACGTACTCTGATGCAAGGCTGTAATGATCGGCAATGGACATGTAAAGGATATGGATTAGTATACTGTGGTAGTTATGTGCTATAGCGTCACATGTGAGGAGGTGATTTGAGGAAATTGTAAGGCTAACAATTTGTGCCTGTATGACCACACCTCGTACCGGTAGATCTGACACGGCAAATGCTAGGTCATCTTCCGTACTTTGTGCGGCATCACATTCACGAGTTGCGACCGGCTGAGCTCGGAGAGGGCTCTGGGCTTCTGTTGCTGCGCCCACTTGAAGTCCGCCCCTCGAGCCGACGCCCAGTTAGAAAGCGGCCACGTGACTGTCTTAAGTGAGGCAAGCGCCTCTTTGCAGATTTAACCTCGCCTCACCCCAACTCACGACACTCGCTCTACCCACCAACGCCAACCTCTACCAAGGGTGTCCCAGAACGCCCGTCCACTTTATCTCGCATCTCTATTCCATCGCATCCCTCCTTGCTACGGGGTCAGGTCATATAAAGCTTCACCCAGGAGACGTCTTGGGATAACACGCGCTCTCACCCAAGCAAGCCTTGCGCTCCATCCATTCCGCTTCCGGTACGGTCACCCCTCCTGTAGGATATCTAGCCTCCCAGTTGCGATTCTTCCCCAAGGCCCTTGAAAAGTTCCCTACATTACACATCAAGCGCTGCTTCACAGGCCCTTCCCAGCGAACCCGCGCTGCCCAGGCATCTATCGGCATCTGACAGGATGTCTTCTCCCCATCCGTTTGGCATTGACTTCCTTCCGTTCATCTGAGGCCCTATGATTATGCGACTCACGCTCACTTCCGTGTACCAGGCTAGGTCACTCACGTTCAGGACAATCCCCCGCCGTCACAATGACTGAGGTGTCATCTACCCGACTTTACCTTGGGAATCTTCCCCGCACTGCCACCAAGGCAGACGTAGAGGCCCATTTCCAGACACATGGAACCGGCGAGATCACCGAGATCAAGCTCATGAACGGCTTTGGCTTCATTGAGTACAAAGACGCCATGGACGCCCGCGACGTTGTTCCTGGTAAGAATGCATTATTCGCAATTTACTCAACATGGCTAACTTATCGGCAGCTTTCCGTACGTAACCCATCCTGGCACCTCCGTGATATATTACCATGCGCCTAACCAGAGAGAAGATGGCTCTGACTTCATGGGCGAACGGCTCATTGTCCAATTCGCACGCGGATCCCGCCGTAACGAGAACTTTACTCCCCACGAGCGGGCGGCCCCACGCCCTCGTCGTACTCCGTTTCGGATGAGAATCAGCAATCTTCCGGTAGAGACCAGCTGGCAGGTTAGAACCCCCGAATCTTGGATTTCCCCTGTATCGTCTTAGGGCCAATGTTCCCGCTCCCTGGATTGTGGCTTCTGTTTCGCGTCCCAATATCCCTTGTCACTGCGTTACTGGACTTTTGGACACGGCTTAATATCGCTTCTATAGGACTTGAAAGATTTTGCCCGCCAGTCTGGCCTTGATGTCGTTTATTCCGAAGTCGGCCGCGAACGTGACGGCACTGGGTAAGTGATCAACTGACAGATGTTTGCAATTTCTGTACTAATATGTGTGTAGATTCGTTGAATATGAAACTGCCGCGGATCTGAAGACAGCCGTCGAGAAACTAGACCGCTGCGAGTTCAAGGGACAAGAGGTGCAGTGCACTCAGGACGTCAGTGACCCACCTCCTCCTCCCCCATTCAAACCTAGGGCTCCCTACGGCGCTGGGCCCGACGATAGAGGACGTGATAGGTACCGATCCCGCTCTCCAGGTGGACGCCGTGGCTACCCACCAGCGCCTTATGCCGATTACTATGACCGCCGTGGCCCTCCACGTGATTATAGCCCTCGCCGTGACGATTACCGACGTCGGTCCCCACCCCGTGAATACTATGACAACCGTGAGAGATACGGCCGCTCTCCTCCACGCCGGCCTGTCGATGAATATGGCGCTCCTCGAGCTCGCTACCCTGAAGATCCCTATGACGCTCGTGGTCCACCCCCGCGCCGTTATGATGACCCATACGCCAATGGACATGGCGGTGGTAGGCCTTATGAGGGGCGACCACCCTCTCCCGGAAGGCGCCCACGAAGCCCCGGGGGCCGACCAGGGTTTGAGGAGGGAGGATACCCGCCTCGTGCCCGTTATTGGTACTGTCCCCTCTAGCTTTCATATGACCAGAAGCTAATTGCAGCAGATTGTCCCAGCAACCTAACGCTCATTACAATTAATCAGCGGAATGAACCTTCGGTATCAATTGACCTTCATAGTCTAGCGTATTAGGGTTCTTTGGGACGAATACCCTTCTTTATCAAATTTGCCTGCTGCTCGAACGTTGTACTGACGCTCTACATCTTGCAACTTTGGGTTTTTCTACTTGATCTCTGGGGGGTAATGATTTTAGTTGTAATCATGAGTCATGGGCCTGTCAACTTTTCGTTGCGGTCCAACGTACCCCTAGGCGAAGTTTTTCCTTCTCAGTAACAGGGTAACGCGTCTATTTGGGACACACAAAATGGGTGGGCTTGTTAACACTTTCTTTCCTATCCTATGTAGTAGTCTTTTGTACAACATAGTCGCCTGCCATAGCAATTAGTACTGAATTCTTGCAAAGAGAAATTCTGTGTCTGAGACTTCATATGAATCTGTTATCTTTTGGTCACGAAACATACTTTTAATTGGCGCCGAAATCTTTTAGAAAGTATTATCTTACGCCAATGACACGTCGTTTCAAAGTTAATTGATGCAGTACCCATTATATATTGAGTGTCCAAGTGTTCAGGTGTTCAAGAAGTGTACTTCGAAGGAGCGGGAATCGGTGGTTTGACCACGCCGACCTGCGATCTCCCGCCTTTCGTATTCCTCGCTTTCAGGGTTCAATACCATTGAACATGCTTTCAACAGCAATACTGATCGGGTGGTGTGATGGTTGAACAATACAAATACATGTCACTGTTCTTCAATAATATTGATCAGACCTACGCTACTTTGCTATTTGCGATCGACTTGTCTTCTATTTTTGTTATGCAATAGCACCCCCGTCATTCCGTTGCGGACTAGGGATTTATCTATCACAATATATCACAATGTCTTCTTCGTTAGCAGCCTCGGTTGATGGGGCCACGACCTCAAGCAATCCTACCCAATTGGGAATTGTAGTCACCGCCGTTAACAGCCAGGGTGAAATCGTCATCTCTCACTCCTCCGGCAAGACCAGCCTCAAACCAGATGCAATCCCCATCACAGTTGGCTCTATCTATCGACTCGCCAGCGCAACAAAAATTATCACCAGTATTGCAGCCTTACGACTGGTGCAGTCTGGCAAGCTCTCACTAGACGATGCCTCCCTCATCGAACGGCATCTTCCAGAAATGTGGAGTCAAGAGATATTCACGAGTGTCCCTGGCCAGCTGCCATTCACGTACAAAAAGCGCCAGAATCCGATAACTTTGCGTCATCTGCTTTCGCACACCTCGGGAAGTGGCGCCGACATACTTGATCCACGGCTGATGGCCTGGAGGAAGGAAAGAGGGGAGCAGTGCATGACACTTACCGGCGCTGTCGTTGAGGGAAACAGCACGCCTGGGCTCTTCGAGCCGGGAGAAGGATGGAGCTATGGCGGAGGCTTGAACTGGACTGGCTTGCTGATTGAGCGTGTTAGTGGCGTACGACTTGGCCAGTTCTTGCGTAAAGAGGTTTTCGATGTCCTTGGATGTGACGAGCGGATTGGGTTTGAAGGGGAACTAGAAGGGAAGGAGAAGGTGATGTTGGTCACGAAGGCGAAGAAGGGGGAAGCGCTGAGGGAGGTTCCTCCCGTTCCTGTGAGAGCTGAACTTGGGGGTGGGGCATTGCTGTCTTCTACAGCCAACTTCGTCAAGATCCTGCAAGACATCATCAATCCAACGTCAAAGTTGCTCGAGACGAAGTGGTTGGATGAGCTTTTTGCGCCACAGCTTCAGTCGGCGCCCTCGCTCAAGGCTCTGCAAGGTTCTGTGCCCATGTTCTCGCCTCTGACGGGGCCGTTAACCTCCTCTGTCCCGTTGTCTGCTGTCAACCACGGCCTGGGTGGACTCCTGATCACCGAGGACAGCAGCGAATTGGGAAAGACGAAAGGTACCTTGGCTTGGGGCGGAGCCTTCAATTGTGTATGGTTTGCCAATCGACAGCAGGGCATTGCGGGCTATTATGCGAGCAGTATTTTTCCTCCAGGTGATCCCGAGACCAGTGGTTTTTGGGCGCAATTCGTCCGCGAGGCCTGGGGCAAGGCTGGTGGCGGCCAGTAATTATACTCAGTGGAAGTCTAGAAGATGGAAATAGTATAGGCACTTAGGAGAGAAACCCGTGTTGGTGTATTTGATAAATGAAAGAAGGCGACTTTGGCGCTGCAACATCCTCCATGCTAGACACCAATCATATCTAACTATTTATCATAGAAACTCGCTTGACGCGTAAGTTATGCTCACAACCTGAATGTCAAATAGAACAGAAATGACCCAAGTCCCCATGCTTGATATAGGTCGAACGCCAAGACACCACCCATGTTGATGATAAAACAATATGCAAGAAATGATTTAGGAGCTTATCACTGTGCGTGATTGATATGCTCGAAGGCATGCTTCACAAGAGCTGCAGTCTTCTGTACTTGTTTCTTGGCAAGTTCCCAGTCCTTCTTCAGTAGCGCGTCTCGTATAAAAGGGAATACCGATCCCTTCTGTCCGGAGTCTGATACGTCGGGACCGAAGATAACGTGCCGGAATTGGTCACGACCAGGTAGCTGCGGAAATTAGTACATTATCCTCACTGGAGAGAGTATTGAGTCCAGAAACAACTTACACCATGGGCGGATTTGTCCTTCATATCCCGAGGGACATCCAAAAGCGACGTCTCTAGTCCGGCCATCTTGTTATTGTGGGCCATTCTCGACACAGTGAGACTTGGGCTTTCGAAGCCGCCGGTACCGTAAACCTGACCATACCAGAAATCTTCCCAATCATGGAAGGTCTTTGCCTGATCAGTGGATGATGCTATAACATCGAATAGAGGCTGGAAATTCTCGCGCTTGAAATCGCTAGCATGCTTCTTCGACCAATCGACCAATTCATTGGCTTCGTTTTGCAGAGCGCCAGTGTAATGCGTCAGCTTGAGGGGAAGGATTGGCTCTTGGGCAAGCTCGAGGATCAGCAAAGCCCACATCTGAGCAAGTAGGTTATGATAAGCAAAGCCTGGATCAATGTACTTGGAAACCCAATCAAAGGTCTCATAACAGCTGTGATGCATGTTGCCGTGATCCGGGCCTGCAAACCCAAAGTCAATGGATGAGCAGCCAGCAATGTCCTGAAAAGCGAGGTAGTCTCCGTCTGCGCCCAAATTGCCAAGGCTACGGTTGTCAGCATCCCATAGTTCACGGAGGGTCTTGTTTTGTCGGGGATCTTCCAGTCGATCTAATACACGCTCCCATGCTTGTCGAAAAATGGGTGAACCATTTGCCCATAACTTCTCGCCAGTCACCCCAACATCGACGTTGATGTAGGCAATTGCGTCCTTGCGCAAATTTTCGAGGTTCGCTTCGACGTGTTCGGTCGACCCCATCAAATTGTACTCCTCGGCATCCCAGGATGCAAACTCGATTGTACGCAGGGGACGCCAACCCTGAGCACGAAGCTCTCCTAGAACACGAGCGACTTCGAGCATGACAGCCGTGCCACTTCCGGGGTCTGCTGCACCGAAACACCAAGAATCACGATGATTACCGATGATAATCTTCTTGGCCTTGTCTTCGATACCTATGAAGGAGCCAAAGACATTTTGGATGAGCTGTTGTTCGACCTCGTCTTGGAAGTTTTGCAGGTTGACCTTGGGAGATCGGTCCGGGTGGCCGGAGAACCATTGGTCTCCAACATCTGGCACAGCTCCTCTCCAATCGGCAGGCACTTCTTCGCCGACTTCTTTCAGTGATTGGAGAAGCTTCTGCGCATCGCTCCAGGAAAGAGGCAGACTGGGAATGGTAGGCAATGCAGGATTTTTGTCTTTCGACATTCGCTTTGCCTCCTTTGTGCTTGGTTGTCCAGGGGTGAGAGGGTCTCCGGCGATCCAGTTGGTAAGCGCAACGGATCCTCTCTGAACTCCGTCTTCAGGTCTCCATCTCCCATGTGGCCACACTTTTCCTTGTACGAAGCCATCGTCAGCTGGATCTGAATATAAAAGTACACCGGCCACACCAGCATCTTGTGCGGCTTTGACTTTTGTTGCTGGGTCAGACTGGGTGCCATAATAACGTATGAGCGCAATCGTGCCCTTCACGTCTACGCCTTTGTCTTTCAATGTCTTGAAATCCTGTTCGTGCCCATAGTTGACATATACAAGAGGTCCCGTAACATTTCCGGAGGCTGAGAGCCCATGAAAACTATCTGTCTGAGACTTTGGTGGATTGTAGGCCGAGCCTTCTTGTAACTTAGCCTCCCAGGCTAGTTCCGTTGGCTCAACGATCGCTACACGGCGTCCGCCTTTCTTCGGGAAATTCATATACACGTAGAATCTGTAGATAGTTTAGCAATCCGACAGAAGAACTTTACGAGTCACTACTCACTCCTCGTGGGTGAAGGTATCCATATGCGATTCCTGGAATTTCCCTTCAATCCACTGTCCCAAGAAGAAACTTCCCTCGCTTCCACCAACATGATCATAGGAAGTGATGTATTGAAGGTTTTCTTGTATCCGCCAAGGATCCACATTCTGTTGTACCTGCTGTCGAACCCATTCCGGATTAAAAGGCTGCCCGAAGCCGCCACCGCCCATGGGCATGATCTCGCTGACCACCAGTAAATAAACCAAGGATATGATCACTACCAGTCCAAAAAGGCGGGCAAGTATAGCCCATCCCGGTCGGTATTCCTCCGGTATCGAGGGCAGACGGGACGTCAACCATTCGAAGCTGATGGATGGCCATCGTAACTTTGGAAGGTGGAAACTAGAAAGTGTGTCCGTGATCGAATAGAACCTCTTCGAGAACCTGCCTCTGAGCCTATTACGCCTTGCACCTCCACTCTCGGCCGACTCCGGATCCAGTATTTCCATCTCTTCCATGATCTGCCTCGAGTCCCCTTCCTCGCTGTCGCGAACCAGACTATCCAGGTCGCTGTTATCGTCCTCATCGCTCACGGACTGAACTGATGGCTGTTGGTAGTATCCATTGCGTCTCCGTGATCCTGAATCCGTTGCCAGATCGTTTCCTAAGAGGCCCTGTCTCTCAGCATCGTCGCTAACTTCTTGTGGACCGCGGCGCGAGAATGTCCGTGAAGATGTCGCTTCTTCATACGTAGGAATCGGAGCATCTTCTACGGCATCGTAAAGATGTAGGTTCTTTTCGTCACCCATTTGCAGGGTCGTGGGGTGCCCTGCAGCGCTCGGGGACAGCTGCTCGAGGGCTGGTTAGGGGGGGCAATTCGCCAACTCGCTCCCGGTGGAGGCCGCGTCAATGAACAGAATGGCTATCGTATGCGCATATACATAGTGAAACACAATATAAATGAGCGGCGGTGGTATAGATAAGCAAGTACTGGGAGAGGACGACGTATGATTATGTGGCAGTTGATGGACGAGAATGGGGTTCTAGGGTCTCAAAGGCGGAAGTGCGGATGCCGAGGCGTGCCTCCCAAGTCTCGAAGCCTTGACATTTCTTGTCATCTTCCCGATCATTGTGACACATATCGATTGAAACCCAGATCATCAAGTTTTTAACATTCATTCAATTTATTTATATACAGACACCAAAGCGCAGTGCTTCATTTTCAGCTATGCAATATCACCGCGAAAATACGATTCCGAGACCAGATCTCTACATATTCCTTCCACCCGTTACACTAATGGTCTGCCCATTCACATAGCTGAACAATGGACTTGCGACTGCGAGGATCGCACTGGCAGCCTCCGAGGGCAATCCCGGTCGTCTCAAAGGAATATCAAGATGTTGCTGTCCAGCACCAGGTCCACTTGCCTTCTGGGCTCCTGGTATTCCTAACGCGACCTTCTCACCGTCGGGTGTTACGACGAATGCGCCCTCCTCCTTCGCTTGCGTAAGACGAGTTAGAATATGACCGAAAGCGATTGTGTTAGCACGAACGCCAAACTGAGGACCCCATCTACAATGTGAAGATTAGCATCTGGCGAGGTATACGAACGAAGTAGGACATATGGAACAACATACTCTTTGGCAATGGTCTTGGTGACACCAGTCACACCTGCTTTGGCCAGAGCATAGTTGATTTGGCCAGCATTTCCATGCAACCCAGAGGTTGAGGAGATGTTGATAATGTTCCTGGGCTCGCCATCCTTGACACGGAAGTAAGGCGCGGCGGCGCGGACAATCTTGAAAGGTGCAGTGCCGTGGAGGTCGACAATGGTATGCCATTGCTTGTCGGTCATCTTGTGGATGACGCCATCCCATGTGTACCCAGCGTTATTTACAATGATGTGAATCTTGCCGTTGCCGAATTCAGCAGCCTTCTTGATGAGCTCTTTGATGTAGTCATCATTAAGCACGTCGCCTGCAACAGCAATCGCAGAGCCACCGGACTCGTTGATCTTCTGAGCAACATCCTCGGCCTTCTCTGGTCATTGTTAGTAAGGTAGAGCATATGACACTTCCCCTTCTATTGCAAGAATATGAAACAATCATGAATGGTAATGCAGAACTTACTGGCATCAACATCAGCCACCACGACCTTTGCACCCTCATTAGCAAAGAGTCTGGCTGCCTCAGCACCGATACCCTGTCCCGAACCAGTGATAATAGCGACCTGGCCAGCCAACATACCCTTGGGGTAGTTGAGATGGCCAGCAATCTGATCAATACGTTTTGAAGTAGACATTGTAAAGAAAGTTACTATGTATTGTACTGCGTCGCCGACGATATGATTGAACTAGAACGGTCTGTTTAAAGGACAAATAGAAGTCAAGTGGAAGATTGTACTACCGAGCTCTAGATATCATTTCTCTAGGACAATGCGGAGTTGCGGTTACACTGTCCCGCGGTACCGAGGCTGCGAGGCTCGGGGTTTTGGGAAAGCTAGTCTATATTTGGACGCGACTGGCAAGATGTCATTACTGACTCGACAATAAAAGAGAGTGTATGCTTGTGGAAGATTATGGATTATGATACATGAATCATTGTCTAAGGTCTCCGTTCATATATTTCATGAATACATTCGCCTCTAGCCTTCCACCGAAAGGCTACATCGTGGTTTGCACCAATTTCATTATTAAGGTGTTCTGTAGGGAGTTAGTTCAGCTTGGGTGCTTGCTCAAATGATGAGATATCACTATCGAAAAGACACCCCATAAATTTCGACAAGACGCAAAGGATACTAATCTATGTACTTGTATAGGCCTAAAATTTCTGTTAGTTGTTATCGTGGATTTTGATTCGGGCCAACGTGTGCTGCTGCGAGTCTGTTGTCGCCGTGTGATCAGCTATATGATGTCATTTGCGACTACCATAACTTCATAATTATGATGACAACGAAGCAAGATTGGAACTGGTCCTTACCTGCCGGCACTTCCGTCTGACTGAGTATATAGCCTAGCTTTCCCTTAGATATGCATACTCCATACAATCCTCACTCAGCCTCAACTCAAATTTCTCAATCATCGAACCAAATATTTTCAACCCGCGTTCCACAACTATCACAATGACTTCCGGATCAAATACTGGTGCTGGCCTTGGAGAAGCTATAAAGAAAGGTGTTGGTCTCGTACATGTAAGTTCATATCAATCCGCCGTAGTAGAACTATGACTGACACTGTAAAGGGCAGCGGTGAGGCTATTCGTGGTAATTTTAACGCTGCAGTAGACTCCGCGACGGGGGATCGCGAGAGCGCCGCAAGGCATCAGGCCATTGCCAGCCACGGCGCCGATGAGATTGACCATGGATACCATCATCAACAAGGAACTGGCATCGGACTGACTCCTGTCGACCAAGATCACAACAAAAGAGCTGTTGGAGGTCCTACGACTGCTACTTCAACTAATTACGGACCGCACGACTCAAACATCGGCAACAAAGTTGACCCTCGCGTTGATTCTCATGGTCCTGGTCGATACGCGTAGACAGTTACTCCGGTAGCACTATTGAGCCTATGAATATACCCTTTGCTATTCGTTTTGTAACAAGATTTTGAAGTTGATCTTTGACAACAACCAGAGATCTAGTGATTTATATTAGTCGCTTCTACTGATTCTAATCAACTCGTTTTACAAATCTAAAGAACAATTGTGCCACTGATGCCCGAAGCATGCCCCTCAGTTGATCATTGCTGATGTTGAGAATCGTTTGTGCTTATGAACCAGCCGACCTCTGACCCAAACCGCTACTGTGTTCCTGTCATCTCCGCTATATACCCATTTCTCTACTTTCTCCTGCCAGCTCTCCCATCCGAAGACATCACAAGGTCCATCACTAAAATCGCGTTCAAACGCCTCTTCAGCGTCGCTGCCAGGCACTTCGCCGAGGTCAATCATTTGCGCATCCCACTCTTTGCCCACTTCAAACCCGCCCACTTTATCTTGAAGTCCGATTACTTCTGCACCACCCCTGGTAGCCAGGAAAAGGGCTTCGTTGGTGGAAAGCTTGACATTGTCGCCCTCTGACATGGCCAAATGCCGCGATACCCAAATTGCTTGCCTGCAATTTTCCAGTATAGAAGGAGAGAACCCCCCAGAAACATCCGTACCCAGGCCAATTGTATGTCCCTCGGCTAATAATGAGCGAATTGGAGCACATCCAGATGTAATGGCAGTATTGCTGGCAGGGCAGTGAGAAATCTTGCTTTCCCGAGCGAGTATGACCTTGCGTTCCTCTGGGGTGAGATGCACACAATGAGCGAGGATCGTTTTCGGGGTGAGAAGACCAGCGGTATCGTAGACATCGGCATAGTTCTTACTGTGGGGGAATAGCTCTTTCACGAGCTCGATCTCGCCTTTGTTCTCAGAGATGTGTGTTTGAATGTGCGCATCTGTGTCTCTATGGAGGGCACCTAGTGCAGAAAGTGCTTCAGTAGTACAGCTAGGAGCGAAGCGCGGAGTGATAATCGGCTGCACGATCTCGCCTTTGGGATCTATCAATCTGATGTGATCGATTGATGCTTTAGAATCGCGAACTGCATCTTCAACGCTGGCATCACGGTAGTACTCCGGGCTCATGGTGTTCATGCATACGCGTCCCACCAGGGCTCTCTGCCCTCTTTTCAGGCAGATGTCGGCAAGGAGATTGGTCGCGGGCACGTGGACAGTGGCGTAGTACGCAGCTGTCGTGGTTCCATGGCTCAAGGTCCGGGAGACGAAGTTGCTGTAGACGGTTCGTGCCTTATCAAGCGAAGAGAGACTGGCTTCCATGGGAAATGTGTATGTTTCGAGCCAGGAGAGGAGAGTAGTCTTGCCAAATAGACCAGTGTTTGGGTGCTGGGGAGCGTGCGTGTGGGTGTCAATGAAGCCGGGGAAGAAGAAGGCATTCTTGTTGGTAGGGATGACGATTTGTGCATCTTCGTAGGAAGAATGCTTGGACTTAAGGTCTGTTATCGAGGAGGTCTCCCTGTCGACAAATTCGATGACTCCATTCTCATTCACACCAATGGCGCCGCTTTCGCAGATATCAAGGTCCGTGAGAGATGTGCTGTGAACGAATGTACCTATGTAGATTCGTTTCGGAATTGTGGCTGAGGCGGCCATATCTTTAAGATCTGGTGCTGCAGATGCAGGCGTGGGATTGATCGATTCCGGGTTCTTGGTAGGGTCAAGGTCACGAAGTAGACCAGGGTTTGCAGTGTGCTGTGTAGACCTAGAATAAGAACAGCGACGGCACCAAGCACCTTTTGCTCAGGGAAGGCACAAATTCAAAGGGATATTTGATTGACTCTTCAAACTGCGTCTCGGGAAACAAGATGGAAGCCCAAACCGAACAACAAACAACAGTGGGCGAAAGCTGTCTTTTTATCTCTCCTCTACAACCTTACTTCCGCACATCTTAGTAGCTTAGAGGGGCAGCATCTGGATTCTGTGGCTTGTCGTGGGTTTTGGAGCAACGCTACTGGATGAGCTGACAGATAAGGCTAGCTAGAATCCCGATTGGGCACTTAACTCCACGTGGGCCGCGGCCACGGTTTGCGCCGGGCGGCGAACGCCGATGCTAGAGAATCAGGTACATAGCAGATGTGTACCATACATAGACAGACAAATATAGATACTCATCATGCACGGTAACGTAGATCTACAAACATGGACTAATATGCTGTTGAAGATTCTACCAATAACCTGTCATGACTCCAATGTCCCTTTTCTGAAAGCGCCGTTCTCCACCTAAGCCTGTCCCAAACTCCGCAACACGGGGTATAGAAAATATCCGCCTACATGCCTACAAGCTATAATCATGTATGGCAGTTGGGCCTTGGTCGTTGTAGTCAGGCCTCGTCATATATCCTTTGTTTTGGCCTTGGTCCACAACGAATATGACCTTAGCTGCGACCTGTGCGCCGAGGAATGCAGCCTCATCATATCCAGGTTCCTTCCACTCTGGGAAATACTCAGGTGGCTTCACTAACTTAATACTGGTGGGTGTCTGTCCATGTGAAGAATGTTGATTGTGCGAGTTCATGCCCTGTAGGATCGGATTCGCGCCGGGGTGCATCAGATGTGGATTTTGTGCGGTAGTAGCAGCAAGGAGGAGTGGGTTCACCTGCGATGAACCACCATGAGGTGCGGACTGTGGCTGCGGTGTATTAGCGCCAGTGCCTGCGGGCGTAGAAATGTTGGATGGGATTTCGGAGGTGAAGATTGTGGCAGATGAAGGCGAGATAACATATTTCGCCTGTAGTGTTGCTTGAAGCGCATCTTTGAAACCTGTGCATGAACTTAGCAAGTTGATCTTAGTCCAGGCGAGGACGAATAACTTACCGCGGAGTCTGGAACCGTTACCACACACAATCAACGAATCCCACAATTCGCTGCGCTTGTTTACCTCGTCTACAGAGGAGACGCATCGATGAACTGCGTCCGCAATCTTCTCCAGTGTACCATTGCTTGCTGCTTGAAATCGCTCGACGCCAACTTCTATTTCACGTCTTATTCCTCCGGATTTGGCCCCTGGGGCTCCACTACCTTCGCCTCCTTCTCGAACTTCCTCTTCGGTGCCATCTTGAGCCTTTTTGGAAGGGCCTTCGTCCAAGGCAGCGTGTGCCTCTGCGAGCCCTTTCTCGCCCAGATTCATGTTCTTAAGGTTATCAAGCAAAGCATGATCTTCATATATGAAAGTGGCCTTCTGCTTCTTGGAGTTAGGCAACCTGATAGGCTTCGCTGTATTAACAGCTGTTTCGATGCCCTTCTTTTTCGCGTCTGCTCTGTCCTGCTTTTCTTTCTCCTTCTTTGCAAGATACTCGTCCATTTTGCCACCAGCGACGATGCTCGCTACGTCCAGTACACCTTCATTCTCATCGCCAACTCCTTCCTCCCCTACCTCGGTGTCTTCTCCGGGGCCAAGGGGGGCATTGCCTATAGTAGTGGCCGCAGCAGGTCCAGAGCCTGGTGCACCAGTGGAGGCAGCTGACGCAGGATTCGTAATGGTATCCAGTTCTCCGGTGCCACCGGATCCTGGCAATGGTGTTCCAGCAGGCAGAATCTCACAGATATTTGACGTCTTGAGCTGCTCGCACATGTCTCGATTGAAGCCCTTTGCTTTGAGCAAAGACAGCAAGCCCTGTGTGAGAGCTTCTCCACCACATCCTGGAAGTGAGATGACCCGGCCCTGAACGTGGGGAACAAACTCGCTAATTGCTGTAATGTCCACTTTGTCCTTTCCAACATCGACAACTGTTGCGGTGTGTACTCCGAATGCCCAACTGGTCGCAAGGGCGGAATCCATAAGGCTGAATGCAGGAGTCTTGAACTTCTCGAAGAAGAACTGCGTGAGTTTTTCATGTTCGCGCGGCGTCCAGGCGGGCTGGGTGATTAGAAGGATTGGGGTGTGGAACGGTGGGTTCATGGTATTGTAGACGTGGGTTATGAGCGCAAAGAAGCACGACCAGTTCACAATTCTCCCTTCGCGTATGGGCCATACTGCACCCTCCTCTGAGATGCGATCCTCTTCGTATATGATCTCTTCTTGCTCGCTGCTGACGTTCTTTGACTCCTCACCATCGGCGGCGCCATTCTGATCTCCAGTTGGCTTTTCCGCAGATTGTTTTCGGCGCACTTTGTATGGTTCCCATTCTCCTTCTTTCTCCGCCGGGAACATGCGCGACCGCACGCGCGTTTTCGCGGGGGTGAAGGACTCGGGCAGGCCAAGCTGTGCGACGGTGGTCTCAGAGCCCGGGGCAATGATCTAGGTGAAAGTGAGCACATCAGAGGTAATGATGGGATGGCTGCCTGTCACGTACAATTATTTGCTCATCCTTGAAGGGAGGCATGGCGGGCCAATGGGTGGAGCTCTATACGGCGCGTTGTTAAAGGTGAAGCTCTGCGGCGCGCACGAGGAACCAGGCGAAGTCACGCCAAGCATTGCCCTGGTCCATTACGTTACCCGCTGGCTACCCACATGCCCGCCATTGCCCACTTCATGAACTCCACCACCGACTTTACAATTGCTCATGATGACCGTCCCATTTCTCGATCTTCTTGAATGCACTTTCGTTTGCTTAGCGGAGGGAGCACCTCCTTGATCAAAGAAAGAATTTTACGAAACGAGCTGTTGCTTTTGCTATTGTCACTATGGAAGTCGCAGCAGCAATCACCTCTGCGGCGAACAGCTCTGCTGTAGTCGCCGCATCTGCTGTACAGGAATCGCTATCATCTCTGAAGGCCGCTGAGACCGCGTCCCCTACGACATTTGGCCTCCTCGGTCGTGTCATCCTGACAGTTTTGCGCATAATTCCAGGTCTACTTTACTGGATAATCACTTTTACCACGATCTCTTTGCCAACATGGCTCTTTACGCTCTTTTCTACCACGTTGACCTTCACGATGAACTTCACGACCCTGTGAGTGAGCATCACTCGAATCGCAAATGTGCACTGACCCCTTTCAGTATGCTCATCCTTACGTTTTTGGTTTCTACAGTAAGCTATCTAGTGCGCTACCGGTTTATGACCATGTATACACGATTGCCACCGGAGCCACAGCGTGATGAACCCCAGGTGGAAGTCTTCCCAGAAAGCCAGGAAGGCGACTCAAAAAGGGCACTATCCAACTATATTGATGAATTCCTGAGCGCCATCAAGGTTTTTGGCTATCTGGAGCGCCCGGTCTTCCATGAATTAACACGAACGATGCAGACTAGGAAGCTCATCGCCGGGGAGACTTTGTTGCTGGAAGAAGAGAAAGGATTTTGTTTGGTAGTAGATGGTGAGGTTCAAATCTTTGTGAAATCCAACAGGGATGGGCCAGACTCTGATGACGATGACGACGACGGTCACGGAGCTGCATCAGGAGGCGGGCGTGGCCACCAAGGCCATAGTCAAGGCTACCAGCTCCTAACGGAAGTCAAGAATGGCGCTCCGATGTCTTCGCTGTTCTCCATTCTTTCTCTATTCACTGAGGATGTGAAATTGCGGCACGAAGACGATGAAGTAGGGTTGGAGTCAAGCAGACCTACGACACCTTATGGTATGGACAGACAATCGCGGCCAACTATCACACGGGATAATAGTTTTACGATGGATAATTCGCGTCCAGATACTCCAAATGACGTGCCTGTCTTGCCAGGCCAAGGAATAAGGCATCAGAGCACCTCTACACTCGCAAGTCCTACGGCAGATGGCCACCTCCCGAGTGTTCCGCCTTTGACATTGGACACAAACGGTAGTGCTGATGAACATGTGCGACCCAAGTCCCACAAAACCCAGGCAAGATCACGAGCCCCAAAGTCTGCCCACCCCGATATCGTAGCTAGGGCAACCGTTGATACCACGATTGCCATTATTCCGGCCACTGCATTTCGACGACTGACTCGTATCTATCCAAAAGCAACAGCACATATTGTGCAAGTAATTCTCACTCGTTTGCAGCGTGTCACTCTCGCAACTGGCCATGCGTACCTTGGTTTAACGAGTGAAGTTTTGAGGACAGAAAAGCTTATGAACAAATACACCAACTATGATCTACCTGGCTTTCTGCGAGATGCGCCTCTCGAAAGGTTGAAAGAGAAATTTGCTGCCGAAAGAGAGCGTATTGGCAATGAAGAGGGCATGAAGGGCATCGCGCTGCATAATCCCGGTGCAGGTAAACGCCGAAGAAGATCGAGTGCTACACTCAGGAAGGGAGCTGCTGCACAGGCTCGACTTGCAGCAGCACGCGGAGCATCAATGGACATGACGAGTGAGGCCCTTCAGCATATGGCGTCTCCTAGCCTTGATAGAAATGATGGCATCAGTGCAGGCGATTTACTTACTAATACCCATATACCTCGTGGGCAAGACCGACGTAATCGATATAGCTTTTCCCAGCCGCTGCACCAAGAAATTCGTCGAGACCCAAAAACACCTTTGGATGTGGGCGCTTTTAATCCATTTAATTCGCCATTGACTCGCCCTACGACACTTCAGCGCCAGGAATCTGTCGATGAAGCCATGCTTTTCAGGGATTCCGTACTCGAGTGCATGTTCAAGGCAATTGGGCTCAGTAATCTGGATAACCCTACGGCTAAACTGGGCTCTGTGGATCAATCGCCTCGTCTCGTCTCCTTCGATGCTAAGAAGCAGAAGGCTGTATTCTCCAATGTTTTTGGCTTCATGGATCCTTACGAAGCTTCGCGAGACGGCGATACCGAGTCTGTCATTTCAGCATCAGCGTCGGCACAGTCAGCCTTCAGCTTTGCTGGTAACCAAAACTTGCTTGAGGAAATCGTAAACGACGTGGAGATTGTCTTCTTTCCGAAAGGGGCGGTGCTGGTTGAGCAAGGCGAACGAAATCCTGGACTCTACTACGTTATTGACGGTTTCCTCGATGTGAGCGTTCCACTAGAAGAAGATCACTCGGAACCCAATGTCTTGGGGACATTGCCAGTGAATCCTAGTGTGGACGAGTCTGAACTCTTCGGCGGTCCACGAATCAAACGAGCAGGAACATCTGCGTCAGCACGCCATGGTGCGGAGGGTAATAAGAAAAAGAAAACGAGAAAGAGTTTGTTCTTGACCAAACCTGGAGGTCTTGCTGGTTACTTAGGAACTGTATCCTCCTATCGGTCTTTCATTGACGTTACAGCTAAGACCGACGTGTACGTTGGTTTTCTCCCACGGGCTTCCATTGAGCGTATCGTAGACAGATACCCGGTCGTGCTCCTTACGATGGCCAAGCGTCTGACAACTCTTTTACCTCGTCTGATATTGCATATCGACTTTGCATTAGAATGGGTTCAAGTGAACGCTGGTCAGGTCCTCTACAACCAAGGCGACGAAAGTGATGCCATCTATATCGTACTCAATGGACGTTTGCGGGCGATACAAGATGGTGAGAATAATGACATGAAGGTGATTGGAGAATACGGACAGGGAGACAGCGTTGGCGAGCTCGAGGTTCTTACCGAGTCTGCACGACCAGGCTCTCTGCACGCTATTCGTGACACTGAAGTTGCCAAATTTCCCAAGACGCTGTTCAACAGTCTTGCATTGGAGCACCCTGGCATTACCATAAAGATCTCCAAAATCATTGCATCTCGCATGAGAGCCCTAATGGATGATCCGCTACACGAGCAGACAAAGGAACGAAGAGACAAGGCAACCCGCAGCAAAGTTTCCTCAACTGTGAATCTTCGTACTGTGGCCATACTTCCCGTCACCGCAGGAATCCCGGTCGTTGAATTCGCCAGCCGCCTGATGAATGCTCTCTCGCAGATAGGGATTCCAAATGGTGTAGTATCTCTAAATCAAGCCGCCATTCTCAACCATCTCGGCCGACATGCATTCAATCGCATGGGCAAGCTCAAACTTTCACAATACTTGGCCGATCTGGAGGAGAAATATGGATTGGTGCTCTACGTGGCCGATACAACAGTCAAATCGCCCTGGACACAGACATGTATCAGCCAGGCCGACTGCATTCTTCTTGTGGGGTTGGCTGAAGGCTCACCGACCATTGGCGAGTACGAACGCCTTTTGCTGACGACCAAGACCACTGCACGCAAAGAGCTGGTGATTTTGCACTCAGAGAAATTCTGCCCTCCCGGTCTCAGCCGTAAGTGGCTTCGCAACCGTCCCTGGGTGAATGGCAGCCATCACCATATCCAAATGTCATTTCGGACGACTCCCGAACCGGTGCACCCTGCTGGGCGCCGCTTCGGAACTGCTCTGAAACAGAGAGTGCAAGTACTCCAGGCCGAGATTCAGAAATATACGTCCCGCCGTGTGCGACAAACCCCGCTCTACTCTGCAGAAACGCCATTCAAGGGCGATTTCCATCGACTCGCTAGACGTCTATGTGGCAAATCTGTCGGGCTGGTACTTGGCGGAGGGGGTGCTCGAGGTATCGCTCAGATTGGCATTATTCGGGCTCTGGAGGAGGCCGGCATTCCGATTGACCTTGTCGGTGGAACATCCATAGGTGCTTTCATCGGTGCACTGTATGCTTGGGATGCAGATGTTGTTCCGATGTACGGTCGTGCTAAGAAGTTTGCCGGCCGTATGGGCAGTATCTGGAGATTCGCTCTTGACTTGACGTATCCATCGTAAGTTTAGGCAAATGCATAATTATCTCGTTGCAAACCACTAACATTCATACAGGGCATCATACACTACCGGACATGAATTCAACCGAGGCATCTTTAAGACATTTGGTAATTCTCAGATTGAAGATTTCTGGCTTGAGTATTATTGCAACACGACCAACATCAGTAAGAGTCGTTCAGAGATACACACGAGCGGGTATGTATGGCGGTATGTGCGAGCGTCCATGTCTCTTGCCGGGCTGCTCCCTCCGCTGTGTGATGGTGGCAGTATGTTGCTTGATGGAGGCTACATCGATAACTTGACGGTGACGCACATGAAGTCATTGGGCGCGGATGTCATCTTCGCCATCGACGTGGGATCTCTAGATGACGACGCGCCGCAAACATTTGGAGACTCGCTTTCCGGATTCTGGGCATTTTATAATCGATGGAATCCTTTCTCATCGTACCCCAATCCGCCAACTCTGTCAGAGATTCAGTCGCGATTGGCGTATGTGTCAAGCTACGAGGCGCTAGAGCGCGCCAAGAACACGCCAGGGTGCAGGTACATGCGTCCTCCGATTGACCCCTACGGAACGCTTGATTTTGCCAAATTCGACGAAATCTATCAGGTGGGGTACCAGTACGGGAAGGAATACCTGGGGCAGTTGAAGGAACAAGGTGATCTACCGGTGCAGGAAGAGACTGAGAAGGAGAAGAACCTGAGGCGGACAATGGCACCCAGGCGAGCAAGTATCTGAGAGGGCATTTTCTAGGGGGAGCTAATCGGTGCAATGAGCGACCAACTATAGAAATGGAGGGTCTACGGATAGATAGTTAGAGATTCGGAAGTAGTCATATCATCATCGAAACGCCCTCTCCCCATGTAGTGTGTGGCCTACCCTACCCCACAGTAGTGATGATGATGATGTGATTAAATTGAGATGCGCTTAAGCTAGCTGCCACGTGAACAACATACAAGCAAGACAAGGAGGGGACGAGAAGGGGTTGACGATAATGAGGTCTGGGTTTTCTGTCGCTGGCTAGAGAACGAGATCGGACTATTCTGGTGCGACGTGCGGAGGACGAGGGTGGATATAATGAGGACTACGGCTCCACTGCCTTTTACTGTGGTGTGGGTAGGTAACTAAGGTAGATAGGTGTAGGAGGTATCTATTACTCCGTAGTTAGCTCGTGGCAGTCTTTTCTGTAACCAACGGAGACTCGGAGTACTTGTACTTTGTATAAAATTGTTAGTGGACAGAGGTAGATATCGGGTGTCGGATGGCTGTGATTGGTGCAGATGCCCGTTCCTTTCCCTTCTGCTTTGAGCTGGGAAGTGAACCGGGATTGAAACCGAAAAACCCCTGCTGGATGCCATACCCCAAATGGCTTAGCCTGTCCCTGATCCTCCCAAAACCCGCCATTGCAATGTACCGTCGTTATCCGGGCTCTTTCTTCATTGCGCTCATCGATAAGCTCACCGACGGGAAAATCCTCCAAGATATCTCATACTTTCCCACCATCATCGATAATACAATAATATCTAAATAAAACTACCTTGACTCTGCTCTGCTCTACCCTTTTTCCTGCTTCTCTCCAATCCCTCTCTCTCTTCCTCCTCCTCATCTCTCTCCCTTCATTTTCCTCTACTTTTTTCTTTCAGAGAGAGATCTTTACCCCAACCAGATAACGTCACCGATCCATCTCCCCACCTAGCTTGTTGGATTTTTTTATTCCCCCAGTTCCTTCCTCCGAATTGACCCTTTCTTCCCCACCACGGTTGCATTGGCTTCCTATATAACCCTTGATCCGTCCGTCAGGGCACCTCCTTCGCCTTTGACCCGTCCACCACATAATTCACAATGCGCACAGCGTGCCTCAGAGCAGCAAGCTCCGCGAGCAGGCTCGCTCGCTCCCCCAGAGCAACTCCCCTGACACGTTTTCGCCCGACTCCATCCCAGAGTGGTGTCTGCTCTCCCCTCCAGAATGCTGCTTTCCAGCCATTGAGGCGCTCCTTCCACGCTACCACTGCTGAAGATGCCCTCGAGAAAGACCTTGGGTCTGACAAGGCCCACGAGCCATTCCGCAACCTCGACACCTTCCCACGCCGACACATCGGTCCCTCTGCCAGCTCGGTCAAGAAGATGCTTGCCACTCTCGACCCTCCGGCCAAGAGCTTGGACGAGTTCGTGAAGCAGGTCATTCCAGCTAACGTTCTGTCCGACCGGACTCTCAAGATATCTGGAATTGGCAAGAACAGCAACCGCGACTTCGACGAGGGCATTGCCGAGCGAGACCTTTTGACGGCTTTCAAGGAGATGATGGACGAGAACAAGCCAGGACACTGCTTCATCGGACAAGGCTACGCAGCTTCAAAGGTTCCTGAGGTGATCAAGAGGAACGTGTTGGAGAACCCAGCTTGGTACACAAGCTATACCCCATACCAACCAGAGATCAGTCAAGGAAGATTGGAGTCATTGCTCAATTTCCAAACTGTGGTAACCGACCTCACTGGTCTGTCCATTGCGAACGCCTCCGTCTTGGATGAACCCACCGCTGCCGCCGAAGCCATGACGCTATCCTATGGCTCACTGCCAACTTCCCGACAAAAGCGAAAGGGCAAGACCTTCCTCGTGTCCGACACTTGTCACCCCCAGACCATCGATGTCCTCTACTCCCGAGCTGAGGGTTTCGGTATCAACATTGAAATTGTCGATGTCTTGAAGGACAACAGCAAGAGAGTTGAGGAGCTCGGCAATGACCTTGTCGGTGTCTTGGTTCAATACCCTAACACTGAGGGTGGTGTCCAAGACTTCAAGGATCTATCCGAGAAGGTCCACAAGAATGGCGCTCTCCTCAGTGTTGCTACGGACCTCCTGGCACTCACTGTTCTTACACCTCCTGGAGAGTTCGGCGCCGATATCGCATTCGGCAACGCCCAACGTTTTGGAGTGCCATTGGGCTATGGTGGTCCACACGCCGCCTTCTTTGCTTGCTCTGACAAGTATAAGCGCAAGATTCCCGGCCGCATCATTGGTTTGTCCAAGGACAGGCTAGGAAACCATGCTGCTCGTCTTGCTCTACAGACCCGAGAGCAGCATATTCGCCGCGAGAAAGCCACAAGTAACATCTGCACCGCTCAGGCTCTCCTTGCAAACATGAGTGCCTTCTACGCCGTATATCATGGGCCTAACGGGCTTACCGATATTGCCAGGCACGTCATTGCTACTGCACGTCGCGTTCAAGGGGCGATTGCCGAGATTGGCTTCAAGACTGGCCAGCGCGGCAAATTGGACAACACCCCAGTGCCATTTGATACTCTTGTCGTAGAGACTGGCTCTGAGACTGGTGCAATCATCAGTGCATTGGAGAAAGAGTCGGTCTATGTTCGCAAGCTCGATGAGAACCACCTCAGTATCACCGTTGACGAGACGACCACTATCGAATCAGCATCCAAGCTCGTCAATGTCTTCGCTGCCCAGAAAGGAAAGCAGGCACCTTCTCTTACCACCCCGACTGATGCCGACACTGCATCTGCCTTCAAGAGAACTAGCCCCTTCCTCACCCACCCGGTCTTCAACTCTCATCACTCTGAGACCGAGCTTCTCCGATATATCTATCATCTCCAGTCCAAGGACCTTTCTCTTGTGCACTCAATGATCCCCCTAGGATCTTGCACCATGAAGCTCAACGCGACCACTGAGATGGTTCCAGTGTCATGGCCAACTGTAGGCAACATGCATCCGTTCTTGCCATTAGAAAACGCCAAGGGCTATACGCAAATGATTGGAGAGCTGGAGAATGATTTGGCCAACATCACCGGCTTTCACTCGGTCTCGCTCCAGCCGAATTCGGGTGCACAGGGCGAGTTCACTGGTCTCCGTGTCATCAGGAAGTATCTCGAGCAACAGCCAGGAAAGAAGCGAGACATCTGCTTGATTCCTGTCTCTGCTCATGGTACTAACCCTGCAAGTGCTGCCATGGTCGGCATGCGCGTCGTCCCGATCAAGTGCGATCCAGTGACGGGCAACCTTGACATGGCTGATCTCAAGGCGAAATGTGAGAAGCACAGCGAGGAATTGGGCGCCATTATGGTGACTTACCCAAGTACCTTCGGTGTTTTCGAGCCAAAGATCAAGGAAGTATGCGACCTCATCCATGAACATGGCGGACAAGTCTACATGGATGGAGCCAATATGAATGCACAGATCGGTCTTACCTCACCTGGCGAGATTGGTGCCGATGTCTGCCATTTGAACTTGCACAAGACTTTCTGCATTCCCCACGGAGGAGGCGGTCCTGGTGTAGGACCTATTGGTGTTGCAGAGCACCTTGCACCTTTCCTGCCTGGTCACTTGAGGGGCGAGACCGGTGGTACACAAGCAATTGCACCCGTTAGCGGCGCACCCTGGGGTAGTGCCAGCATCTTACCCATCAGCTGGGCATATATCAAGATGATGGGTGCCGTCGGACTGACACAAGCGACCAAGATTACTCTCCTCAACGCCAACTACATCCTCGCACGCCTCAAGCCTTATTATCCTATTGTCTATACCAACGATAACGGCCGCTGCGCTCACGAGTTCATTTTGGATATCCGACAGTTCAAGGAAACGGCCGGTATCGAAGCCATCGATGTCGCGAAGCGTCTTCAGGATTATGGCTTCCACGCACCTACTATGTCCTGGCCTGTTGCCAACACCCTCATGATCGAGCCCACCGAGTCCGAGAGCAAAGAGGAACTAGACAGGTTCTGCGACGCTCTCATCTCCATCCGCAAGGAGATCGAGGCAATCGAGAAGGGCGAGCAGCCAAAGGACACCAACGTGCTTAAGATGTCACCCCACTCACAGCAGGATCTCATCCTCGGCGAGTGGAGCCGTCCTTACACTAGGGAAAACGCTGCATATCCCTTGCCATACCTGAAGGAGAAGAAGTTCTGGCCTGCAGTTACCAGACTTGACGATGGTACGTCTTACCCAATTCTTACTGAAACCCATGACCATCAATTGAGAAATTTTATCATCATGACTAACTCTCTGTCTTAGCTTACGGCGACACCAACCTCTTCTGCACGTGTGCTCCGGTCGAAGATGCAGAGGACATCACCGGAGCTGCTGCACCCAATCCGACCTAATACCTCCGTCGCGTTCGACACACCCCTATACCACATTTCTTCGACCTTTAATGTACATAATGCATTGTAACGCCTGACGAAGACATCCGGAGAAAATCTCTCCTTTGTCCATTCCATTCACATATAGTGCGCACATCATCTTTCAACACAGCACGTCCAACATTTATTTCCCTCTTCGGCGAGGAGCTCGGGCAGGAAAGCATCCAGGCATGGCGTTGAGAAATCGTTTTTACTTTTTGATCAGCATCAAACAATCCCCCCCATTTTCAACAGAGGGGCGGCTCCTTGCTGGGTGGTGTTTTTTTTTTTCAATTTTTGAGATTTGATCTACCCTTTAAATTCATTTGGGGGAATTTCTAACATCGTTTTTTGATGCGAAGAATAAAAGTCTAGAACAATAGATAGATCGAATTTCATCATCATTCTAAAGATACTTTCATTTAAGCACCTGGTACACACTTATAGTACCATGATAATAGTAGTACGCAGTATATATTCCAGAAGGACGATGAACATACACACACGAACCATCTATAGGACAGGGAAAAAAGCCCTCTACTGCGCATCATCGAAGCCTTACCTACTTACCTAAAGTGGTATTTAGCGGGCGGTCTGATTCCCCAGCCAATGAACTCGCTTCCCTGGGTGCCTGGATGATAGGAAGCCGGGATCAAAAATCGCTAAGCAACAGAAAACAGAAATGACAATTATCTTGTTTACACAATAGATTTCCTATGCCTTTAGCAACTAATTGGGTTGTAGTATGTAAAAGGGAGAGTTGAACATGTCATGGCTTTGGACTACTTTCATACACTAACTGGTTATTACAAGGACACAATTGATGATGGGCGGAAATGATAAGTCAAAAGATTCGTTGTAGGATATAATTTTCTCTTTTCGGACCACTAGTTACTATTCTAAGAACACATTGGGTACCCCTCGCTCTCTCTGACCCTACTTTTCCGATCCGGATTCATCATGGTTCGTAACATCATCGCCCTGGTATACGCCTTCGGCCCCACGCCTCAATGATTATTGTATTTATTTATTTTTTGTGTTTCGCAGGTCAACACAGTCAATGTGCTTGGAGGGATATAAATTTAAACCTGGCCGGCGGTGTAGAAGTCGTCGAGGGCGACCTTGACGCGCTTGGTCATGGTCTTCTCACCCTCACGGACCCAGACACGGGGGTCGTAGTACTTCTTGTTGGGCTTGTCCTCGCCATCGGGGTTGCCGACCTGGGTCTTGAGGTACTCGGCCTTGCCACCGAAGTAGTCACGGAAGCCGTTGCTGTAAGCCCACTGAAGATCGGTGTCGAGGTTGACCTTGACGACACCGTAGGAGATGGCCTCCCTGAAGTCGTCGACGCTGCTGCCGGAGCCACCGTGGAAGACGAGGAAGACGGGCTTCTCGGTCTTGGTGTTGTGCTGCTGCTTGACGTAGGCCTGGTGCTTCTGGAGGAGCTTGGGCTGGAGCTTGACGTTGCCGGGCTTGTACACACCGTGGACGTTTCCGAAACCAGCGGCGATGCTGAAGCGCTCAGGGGCGACGGCAGTAAGGGTCTTGTAGATGAGCTCGATGTCCTCGGGCTGGGTGTAGAGGGAGTTGTTGTCAACGTCCTCGTTGTTGACGCCGTCCTCCTCGCCACCTGTGATACCGATCTCCATCTCGAGGAAACCGTTAACCTTGCTGATTATGCTGTTAGCCCAAATATTCTGTCTGAATTGGGTGTGTTATATTGGTCTTACCTGAAGCGCTCGAGGTAAGCCTTGGTGGTGTTCAAGTTCTCCTCGACAGTCTCCTCGGAAAGATCAATCTAGTTAAAATGAGTTAGCATTATTTCAGTGAATTGTAAGCCACTGCGCCTGGATCTACACTGCGTTTGAGGCGGTCGTTGAACGAGAAATGCGTAATTCAAGCCGCCGGCGACCAGAGGTGTCCAGGCGTGAACACGGTCTCGATGGTAGGGGTAATCTTACCATGTGAGAGGAGAAGAGGGGCTCTACAAAGGAATTAGCTTAATCAGAATGATAATTGGAGGAGGGTATGCATACCGCCATGCTCCTTGTAGTAAGCCTCATCGGCGTCGAGCATACCATCCAACCAGGGAAGGAGCTTCTTGCTATGCAATTGTTTAGCGGTGTTTTGTACATCAATGCTTGAATGAGTAACAACTTACGCGCAGTGGTCGGTGTGGAGAACGACGGGGACACCGCTGTAATTCTCAGTCAGAATTTGTCAAACAAGGGTAGGTCGAGGGAGCGCATACTAGACGGGTGCGATGGATCGGATGTAGTGAGCAGCGGCGACGGCACCAGCAATGCTGGCCGTTTGGTCCTTGTTGTCAACGCCCTTTCCTACACGATTGTCAGTTATTGTCCTTGATAATCAACTCAGTCCCGAATTCGTCAATTGACCGATGTCAGCCGGGGACTGCGGGGTTTCCGCAGTCATTGTAGGACACGACTTTGAGTAAACGGGGACCGAGATAGGAGATTTTCCGGGTCAGAAACGTACCGGCGAAGCTGTTTGTATTCGTTAGATTTGAAGAATGTAGACAGATTGATGAGAGAATACGTACAAAGCAGCTCCACCCTGGGAGGTCTGGAGGATGATGGGGGACTTCTGGTCGCGAGCAGCCTCCAAAGAAGCTACAACGGTGGAGGAAGACTGCGGGATTGTTATTTTGGGGGATTCCATGGCATTGCGATTGAGTGGATTATACTAACAGTGACATTGATGGCGGGAATGGCGAAGCCCTTCTCCTGTGCGTACTTGAAAAGAGCGACGACTGAGCGGGGAGGAGGAATGTCAGCATGTAGAAAACATCGGGGATGGCGGATTGCAGAATGACGTACCATCGTCACCGACGATGACACCGGACTTCCTCTTGAGAACGTCTTGGACACCCATTTTGATGATAAGTGGTTCTAAAGAAAGAGTCTGTTAGTTTGGTTCTGGATTTGGAGAGTAGTAGGCCGAGCTCGGACAGTAGGGAAGAAGAGTATGGTATGGTAGGGTGAGGGGGGAGGAGGTAGGAGGAGCGCACTCTTAAGTTTGGAATTGAGTTGTAGGGAGATGAAAAAAGGAGTTGAGTAGGTGGAATGAGGAATAGAGAAGAAGAAGAGGAAGAAAAAAGGTTGAAGTGGTGGGCAGGTATGAGTTGATGTAATAATGTTGTTGGGAGGGGGGAGGAGAGAGGCCGAATGAGGGATGAGGTCAGGGTGGGGTTCAGAAGCTGCAAGTTCGCAGTTTCACCCCACCACGCCCACCTGCGAATCCACACATTCGTCGCATGTTCCAACTTCCGACCAAAGAGATGCCATCCAATAACCCATTTGTTTAGACGTTTTGCAATCCGAACGAGATATCGCCCGTCTGCGTCTGCAAAAAGTAAAAGCAAAAGCAAAAGAGCCTCTTGGACAACACATCCATCCAGGTCTAGCCAGCTCCATCAATTGGCCTTATCCACCACCCCTCCCGACTTCCGTGCCATAATGAAATTAGGTACATACCTTTTCTGTTCGTTATATCGCTACGAGAAAAACAAAAGGTGAAATGAAGATATTCGCGAGAGAATTGATCAATGGATGGAAGGAGGGGGGGGCGTGGGATATAAGTGACTTTTATTTTAGAAGAGAAGAATTTGTTACACCCGGATACCTGGATCATTTGACATACGAGTGAATACTACTATGAGGACTCCGTACTATTACCATTACTACTAGGGTACTAAGTTGTTCTCCTTCACGGCCGCGCTCCTGAAGTCATTCGGACAATCCCCCGCGACCACCTTTCTCGGCATGAGATGGCTGCACCACCATCACCACCATTACTATTACAGCTACAGCCAGTAATTGCAGCTACGATTGGACTGGACAAGTATTCAATTAGTACAACCTAACCTCGCCCTGAACTTCCTTCTGTCCCTCCCTACCGCTTTGCCCGAGTCTCTCCGTAAAATGCGCAGGGTACGCAGCCTTCCGCACGGCTGGGCTCACGTTTGCCGGTTTACCTGGTGACAATTCCCTACGGATTCCTTCCTGCGCCTGTCACGCCTGTTGCGCCATAATGCTTCATCGCGGTGGTGCTATTGTCTTCCCACCAATCACGCCTCCCTTTCGGCCTCGAATGGAACAGACCCCAAGGCTATTCAAGGCTGTTGTCATGCTCCGACTAACGGCATCACCATGTGCATCTCCTGTTTTCCGAGGTAGTTACCGCAATTCGTCGGCATATAGGTACATCTCTTCTTATTTACAGTATCTGTTACAGCAATTGCGGCGGGAACTAGTCCGAGGTCTTGGTCTTGGTCATTTCTACACAACACCCCCAAATTCAATGCCATCATCCATCTCAACCCTTTTGTGGATATAGATTCACTCTTCCCATGCATCATCGTCATCATGTTTCTTCATCCCGGAACATCAAAACATCATGACACTCTCATTCCTTTGCCCGGATCCTGATGCTCCTTATTATAGGCGCCTCAGCTCCAGGAACCGTAATTTCCACTTTGAATTTACCAAGCTGCTTCACTCGTGATTCGTCCCCTTCCGCATGTCCTTCAATGAATCGAATATCATTCTCCGTTATGATCACGCGAGCGGCTTCGTCATTGTGCGAGAGCGCTGCCCTGATGGATGCTACAACATCTGCCGTCGAAACCGACCCATAGATTCCATTCGCAGGTGTCTTTGGCTTATTCGACATGGCAGCGGCCGTGAGGATGTCTGCCGCGCCGGTGGCTCCGTATCGGGGTTTCGACAGGACCTGGTCTTGATCGATCGGTTGTCGGGTGAAGTCAATGGTGGGAGGAGCGAAGGTAGTGAGCAATTCCATGGCTCTTTCGGGCTGTAAATGGGTCAGTATGGGGACTTCACGTAGTTTCTGTGACTTCTAAGAGAAAATGCCATACCGAAAGGACGTCGATCTCTACAGGCCGGACGTAGGGCTTTGCCTGGACGTTTCCAGATGCGTCCTCATCTTCGACCGGTGCGCGGTACAATCCAAATTCTGTATCTCGCACCAGGGACACTCCTTCCGCCTTCAATTGTTTCAATTGAGTAAATGGGACATAGTCAGCTGTTCGGCTGGGGAACCAGCGGTTCCTCATCATCGATCTATTAACGGGCACATATGATCCTGTACGAAAATTAACCTTATTTTGGTCCAATAAAACTATGCTGCATACCGCGCGTTGCTTACCTGCAGGTCCAAATCTGTTGATGTCCTTCAATAGCTTGACCACGATGTTCCGCTCTGCCTCTTTCACAGCCTTCGAGACATTGCGCACCTGCTGCTGGGGTCTCCAGGCATCCAAGCCCAGCTGCGTAATCCGACGCGTACATGAAGTGCACTGTGGCCGTAAAGCTAACCTCCCTAGGGATGCCATTGCGAGTGGATGATGTTTTGGCAAGTTGCTATCCTCCAAGAAAAATTAACCCACGAGTGGTGAAGCCTGGGATGCATCGAGAATAAATGATAGGGAGCAGGGGTCCGCTCCGAATGCGCCCGCCACTTTTAGCTCCCGCTCAATGGAACCCACGAAAGACGCGGCATGACTATGCGACTCTGACTACTCTTTCAGGCAGGTTGGAGACCATGGACATCTGTGGAGAAATATCATCTCTGACCCCTCATCCATATCTCACTTTCCTTTGTTTCCTGTCACCTTCCCATCTCCTGTCGGCCGCGTCGATCTCATAGCCGCGGCTTCGGCACTCCGTCGCCGATCCGCCATGCCAGAGAAACTTCCAACGGTCGTAGCCTACGCAGCTGGAGCTTCTCTTGCTGCAGCGACTCTCATATACGTATTTGGGCCGACATACTTCCTCGATGACGAAGGCTCAACCACACGAAAGAAAGGCGCCATCGGCCTGAGCAATGCCGCCAACGACTGCTTCATCAACTCCATACTCCAGGCCCTCGCGGGCTTACCCGATCTACGCATATACCTCATCCGCGAGACCCATCGAAGGAAGCTAGATGGAAAGGAAGTTTATGAGGTGGACCCTGATCAGTTGGACAAGGATAATCAGAAAGTGAGGCCATGGAAACTCGAGGGACTACAGAAGGGTCTTGTCACATCGGCCCTTAAGGAGGTTCTGGACAAGCTTAACGAGCGCCCCATTCATAGGAAGGTCATATCTCCACAGCCCTTCATTAGAGCGCTAGAACACGCCTTCAGCACCAGGATTAGCCGCCAGCAGCAGGATGCACAGGAGTTTCTACAAATCGTCACCGAGCGACTTTGCGACGAATATCACGCAGGGGGAAAGGCTAGGCGGCAGGCACAAAATGCAGGATTGGCTCTCGTAAAGGGAGACTCTGCTTCGGAGAGACAGGAGATTGTGCAGCAATTTGGCGCAGCAGCTGTTGCATCGACCGAGAACAAAGAGCAGGGCGAGGCCGAGACACCAGAGGACGAGCTCCCATCGACTGAGGACGGTTTTCCGTTTGAGGGCAAGATAGAGTCTCAGATCGAATGCCTAACCTGTGGATTCAAGCCGAAACCGTCTGTGTCGACTTTCGTCACCCTGACCTTGAATGTTCCTCAACAATCTTCCACGTCGCTAAACGCCTGCTTCGATGGCATCTTCAAGGTCGAACATATCGACGACTTCAAGTGCGAGTTCTGTCGACTGGACCACGCGCTCAAGTTCAAGACACAAGAGCTTGCTCGTGCGTCAAGTGACGACGCAAAAGAGACGCTGGAATCAGACATGGCGAAGATCAAACAGGCGCTCGAGCAAGACCCCGAAACCCCTCCAGAAGGTGTCGAACTTCCAGACGCCAAGCTAGCCCCTCGGCGACGCATTGCGCGCCATATGTACATTTCCGCGTTTCCCAAGGTCCTTGCCGTGCATCTGTCGCGGTCCATGTTTGCTGCCGGAACCGTGTCAACCAAGAATTTGGCCAAAGTGGCTTTCCCTGAAGCGCTGCCGCTTGGTGGTCTTTTGAATAGGAAGAACTACAAACTCCGAGGAATGGTTACCCACAAAGGCAGCCACAACAGTGGACACTACGAGTCGTTCCGTAGACAGGTGCACCCAGTACCATTCTCAACTCCCCACTCATTTGGAGTCGAAGGTGTGTACAGTATGCAAGGTAGTCCCAATCCTTCTGCGGTGCAGAGCCCTCGCATGTCCACCCTCAACCTTAGCAGTGCCAACGGGCATGGATCACCCGTCCCATCTATCCCGACCATGGACTCACCATCATTACAATCACTATCTTCGCATTCATCACAGATCTCACGTGGGCCTACGCCGACTTCCACACCGCGCGATGACCCACAACCAACCTCTTCCCCTTCGTCGTCCTCGCGGCCGAAGTCCCTGCGCGGCTCTATCAAGGAGAAGACAGCATCCGTCGCCGAGCTCCCCCAACAGATGAAGCGCAAACAGAGACAACGACCAAATAGGTGGTGGCGAATCAGCGACGACAAGATCAAAGAGAGCAAAACAAGCGACGTCTTGAAGATGCAAAAGGAGGTATACTTGCTTTTCTACGAGCTGGACCGAAGTCCCTCGTTCCTTTCTCAGTGAATGCCATATATATCTCTCATCTATCTTCCTCCATTGGACAGATCAGGCGTTTTTTGAAACATCATTTCATTTTATTGCATTTGCATTGGAGAAAAAGGGGCTCCGTAGGGCAAACTTGTGGTCGGTCATTAGACTCATCATGCATTCTTTTCTTCCCTCTCTGGTCCCTTTTCGCATCTACACAAGGTTTAGGAAAAGGAAACTCGGTTTAGAGTTTAGAGATCTAGAAAACGTATTACTCGTTCATGTACTCAGGTACCGAACGACCATTCGCAATTTTGCATCTGTATATACTTGCACTCGCATTAGGAATTTCTTAATTGCATTTAATTTTATTCAAGTGTTGTTTCGTTCCGACAGCTAACTTACCAGCTTATCAATTCTAGCCGAACCATTGGTCGATCTTCCCCCCAACTCTCCTCCACCACCTTACGACTACTCCAACATACACTACAACGGTACATTTCTCCCACAACCCCGCGACCCTTTGAGTCCCAAAGTGTACTTGCCGACCAATAGCAACTAAGCCGGCCGTGACAATCATACCTATCGTTTACCTTGGATACGACCTACTCTCGACGTTACTTCAGAGTCGCACTTGGGTCTGCGTTGCATGTCCGTGACATATACCTTGGCTATCAAATCTGCGGGGTTAAGACGTATTTAATGAAGAATAATCCAAAGGGATTATATTGGAAGAGATAAGATAAAAAGGGAACGATAAAGACGAACTTCTGATATCATTTATCGATCTTTCTTCTTCTGATATATTTATCTTCTACCTACCTACCTTACTTTGATCAGTGTTCTAATTCAAAAGAAACATTCGATTGAACCAGACAATACTTCGTTCAACTCTTCTCTATTTAAACCAGAATAAAACTCCATTCAGGAGTCCACAAACTCGCAAACACCATCAATGTCTGCCACCACATCATCATCATCACTACCACCCACAATGAACGGCACCACCACCACCACCGGTCACAACCACAACCCCAACCCACCCTCCCCCTCCCCAACCAAATCCTTCCTCAGCCCCGTCTCCAAGCAAATCTTCCCCAAACCCCCTCGAATCCTAATCATCGGCGCGGGCTCGCGCGGCACCGCCTACGCGGAAGCCGCCCTCTCCTCCACCAACAGCCTCGTCGCCGCCATCGCCGAGCCCCTCGCCTACAAGCGCCACGACTTCGGCCGCAAATTCATCTGGGGCCCTTCCTCTTCCCCGTCGCCCGGCCAGGCGTTCGCGAGCTGGCGGGACTGGGTCGCGTACGAGGTGTCGCGGCGGGAGAGGGCGAAGGCGGGGGTAGAGGAGGGCGTAGAGGAGGGCGTGGACGCGGTGTTCGTGTGCGTGCTGGATGAGATGCATGAGGAGGTTGTGTGTGGGATTGCGGGGCTGGGGGTGCATGTCTGCGTAGAGAAGCCGTTGGCGACGAGTCTGCGGGCTTGCGTGGCGATGTTTAAGGCTTTGAAGGGGGAGGGGGAAGGGCGGGGTGGTGGGAGGAGGGAGACGATTTTTGGGATGTGCCATGTGCTGAGGTATTCGCCGCATAATATGCTGTTGAGGCACTTGGTCAGGGAGCAGGAGGTCGTGGGTGATGTGCTGAGTGTGGAGCATGTTGAGCCGGTTGGGTGGTGGCATTTCTCTCACAGGTATGTATTACTACGAAGAGTTTATCGTGAGTGACTACGGGGAGATGTCTACAGGGAGTTCTGAAGTTCAAGTTCTACATGGATGGCTACTGACTGGGAACGACAGTTATGTCAGAGGCAATTGGAGGAAAGAGTCGACTACAGCTCCTTCGTTGCTGACGAAGTCATGTCATGATATCGACTGGCTCCTGTGGATGCTATGTTCCCCGGCGAACGATGCTGATACGGAACCGCATCTCCCATCACATATTACATCTACTGGATCGAGGAAGTTTTTCAGGAAAGAGAGGAAGCCTAAGGCGGCAGGGGATGCTACGAATTGTCTTTCCTGTGCACATGAACAGGATTGCAAGTATAGTGCGAAGAAGATCTACTTGGACAAACATCTCAAGGAAGGTATCACGGACTGGCCGGTCAAGATTGTCAATCCAGAGATTGAGGACTGTTACAACACCCAGGGCCTCGAAGCAGCCAGCAACAAATTACTCGATAACCTGCGTGAGGACTGGCCAGCAGACATGCCTACCGAAGAAGTTGAAAAGCGCCCTTGGTTTGGACGTTGCGTCTGGGAAGCAGACAACGATGTTTGTGACGATCAGTGCGTGACCATCACGTGGGATGACGACCCTCTGGCCAGCGACGACGATGGCAAACCGATACTGAGACATCGCGGTGCCAAGACGGCGCAGTTCCATATGATAGCATTCACGGAGAAACAATGCGAGCGAAGGGGCCGAATCTACGGCGCGGACGGCGAGATCGAATATGATAGCAAGACGATCAGAGTCCACGACTTCTCCACGGGGAGAACGCAAGTTCACAAGCCATATCAGGCTGGGGGCGGACATGGGGGCGGAGACGAGGGCCTCGCCCGACAGTTCCTCATGGCGGTAAACGCCGCGGACAGTCAGGAGATGCCTACAGCAAGAGCGCAGCGCAAATACCTCGGTTGCGACCTTGAGGAAGCATTCCTAAGCCATGCCATGGTCTTCGCAGCAGAGGACGCAAGGACGCGGCGCAAAGTGATCGACTGGAGGCAGTGGTGGAACGATGCGGTGGAGCCGAACTTACACCAGCGGTAAAATGAGCAAAGCCCCCAAAAGAAAGAGTATGAGGGTGTTGGATTCTCTTCCGGGCGCATCGAGAGGGCTGGAGAAAGACTGGGCGCGTACGGTAGAATAGGCATGACGGAGTGTAGTTCATCTCATTTCCTTCTGGAGATCCTCAGATCATGTTGTCCCGAGATTCATGCTGAGCCGATGATGAAGCGTTCGAGGTCGTACGTAGCACCGTAGCATCATAGCAGCCTCCCTTAATACAGTTAATGACACGAATCCGGTACAATTAACGGGTGTTTGAGACTCCCGTCGTCGGCATTAATCGTCCAGTTTGGGATTATTTTGGGCATTGTTTTATGTTGTGTCCCCAGGCTAATAGGTCCCGATCAGGAGGTTGGGCGCTTAATGACCCACGTTAGGGAGTGAGCATGAGGCTCTATAGGCAATTTCTTGGCTTCCTATTCGCACCTGGATATGAAGCTGACGGGCAGCCTTATCATGCCTGGAAGAGGCGCGTCCGCATATTGTGTTTGGACAGAGGCCGGACAGAGGTCGGCGCTTGCGAGGGCAGGTGGAAAGTAGCCAATGGCGAGCGCGGATTTGCCATAGGGAAAACGAGCACAAGACGGAGGACGTTGGGCATGGGCCGATCTAACATGCGCAGACAAAGGGAGGGCTGGTCGGGTGTAATGGAGTGATGACAGCGCTCAGATGGTCGACAAGATGCAGGCGTCAAGCGGCGTAATGTGGAAGTTGTGAAGGAAGTTATGGGTGGTGGACTATAGTGGCCATGGAGGATGGTTGTTCCTGTGGGGGATGCTCAAGACCCTGAACTTGTAGCAAATCGACAACGCGACAACAACGCGCTGGTGGATGAGGGAATTGTCGAGCGTGTTGTGCGTGTTATAGTCGCGATTTGAAGTGTGATGTGGTGATGCTACCAGTATTCCGTACACCGTACCTACATACTTAGTATTCTGGATAGTGGTCGCCCTGTGTGAGTCACACATGATGGATGGGGAATTTGTATGCAAGATGATCGCTGCAGCATGTCTTTGATGGGTCTTGGTGTCTTGGATGGACGTTGAGAAACGAAACATCTGTGTCGTGGACCAATGGGAGGAATAAGCGTCGATGACTCTTAACGACGTGCATCTACAAGTGTCAGGGGACGGGAAGACAGCGTAGAGAGGGACCTCACGGACCTGACTAGGAAGCATAAACTATTCCAGGTGTTGAGCAGTTCCAATGAGGAGACTGGATGAGAGACTTTGACAGTGAACAGATGGGCTAAACCTTACAGGGCTAGACCAAGAAGACTTGACCTATACAGGCATAGAAAGCTGACACTACGCCGTAAGTGTACAAGGCTGGGTATACGTCCACGTCTTTACGGTAAGCTAGTGGACCGGCCCCACGCTCTCGGATGGCATCAACCCCTGTCCTTCCTTCCTCTTCCCCACCCACTAACATCGCGAAAAGACGACCCCCAAAGCGCTACACCTTGTCAACTACATCCATCCATTCGTCCCTACGCGCTGCCAACTTCAAACTGCCGCTCTGTCTCTCTCACGCCCTCACTCTCTCACGCTACAATAACGTATGTAGATACTTTGTGCTGTACCACATCCACCTTCGTTATACGGCGCCGACACATCCCGGTTTCATCTTACCCAACCGCCCCAATATTGCAAGCGCTTCGCCATCCTCTGTCCGCTTTCGTACTCTCTTATGCAACTATCGCCTTCTACAACCATTCACAGTGATGCCCACCGTAGACGCCAGCACGGATCCAGCATCCGCCGCTCTGTAGAATAGCAATATACGCAGACTAGAACATGTTCTGCGGTTGTACTCGCCCACTCTCGCACTACGTTTCAGGCCCCATCTGAGGAAGCTCGCAGAAGCCCACTCTGTTGTGATACTGCCGCCAGACCGCCAGATATCTGCCCCAGGTCTCGTTTTTGGCCCTCGATGAATCGTGTTTCAGAATGTTTTAGCGCTAGACTGAGATCGGATCCCGCGTCATGGGCCACTCGTTCTGCTGGCATCGTGCCCAAATGGATAAGTATCGATAGCTTCGCCGCATATCCAGTCTCTTCTCCATCAGTTCATCAGTCCGTGGCACTGCCTTCAAAGAGTCTTCCTCTCTCTCCAACCTTCTCCTTCTCTTTCTTTTCCTTTGCATTCATCTTGTCTTTAGACCCAAGGGAGCTGGACTCCGTTTCTAATCGTTACTCTTAATCACTTGCTATCCATTGCTGGCCAACCATCCCAAATCCTACCATCCTCATCCATTGGATACCATCACTTCGTCTTGAACTTGTACTGCGTTCAGTTCACTACCTAGTCTCTCTATCTCCATTATCACCTCTTCACAATGTTCCACCGTCAGACCACACCACCATCGGTGCCTTTCAACTTCATGCCTGGTAGCGTGGGTTCGTCACATGATGGAGCATTTTACTCCAACGACTCCTCGCCCGACTCTGTCACCACGAACAACACTTCCCCACCGCGATCTCCCATTCGTCAACATGGTCCGCTTCTGCTTCCCAAGGTCCGCACTCAGGATCAGATCGCCGAACCCACAGGTGGCCCAGTGAGGCATCGTCGAAATACCTCTACCTCCAGCATCGGCTATGCCTCCTCTTACTCTCCCTACTCGCGACCAAGCTCAATGGTACGAAGGGGATCTAGCCCTTTCAACCATAACATCCACAGTGCTGTTACCTCGCCCTGCTCTGCATCTTCCTATGACATGAGCATCAATGCCTCCACTCTCAACTCTCCAATTACATTCACTCCTGTTGAGGCAAGGCGACCATCCATTGCACATTCCCGATCCCACTCTGCAACAGGGCTCAGGAGGGGACATTCCCGCGCTGGTTCGGCGGGCAGTATCGATGAATCAGTAATCAGCCGCTATGGCTTCCCTACCTACCGCAATCTCCCCAGCTATGTTGCCTCCTCAAGCGCATCGCAACCTAATCTGAACCTCGTTACCTCTTTCCCTCCTCCTACCTATCCCGCAGCCTACACTCAAGTCCAAGAGGTCGCACAATATACTGCAACTACCACTGCAGACTTCTCCATTCCCGACTTCGAGCCGGCGCCTGCTGTACAGAACCCCTGGGCCGCGGACCTCAACTTCGATGCCTTCCCATCCGACTCGACGTCCTCTCTTCTTGACTACCTCACTTCCCCTAACCCATCTCCTCACTTGGTCCGTCGCATCACCAGTGTCACTCGCGGTCTCAACAACCACTTCTGGTGGGACATTCGCAATCTCCGAAGCTGGACTGACTTCAACATCTCCACTATCACCGCTCTTCCCTCCGTGTTAGACCTTCTTAAGATCCCCATTCCCTCTAACATGTTACCGGAACCCACGCGGTCCTCCCTCCAGCCCGAGACCGAATCTGCACTCCATGACATTTACTCCAACTACTACGCCACCAAGGTCAATGCCGCCCTCGAGGTTGCTCAGGGCAGTGCTCACATGGTGATGCGATCTCTCAAAACCACCCCTGGAGCGCGCCAGCAACCGGAGTTCGTCGCCAACTACACGAATGATTACGACAAGACCATCTACGGTGACAGCCGCGGTCGCGTTGTTGGCCTCGTCAAGTGCTACGACCAGTGGAACACTGGCATGCGAGGCGAGTCACCGCCCAAGCAGGTCCTCTACCTCCAGGGTCTTGCACATCTCCACCGCGTTATGCGTGAGCACGGATGCCGCTACGGTTTCATCATGACTGAGATTGAGCTTCTGTGCGTTCGATGCGGTGGACCCTCATCTGCTACCACTGTCGATCCTACGACCGTCAATGCCAAAGCCGGAACCCCAATCTTCGGTTATCTCGAGGTCTCTGCGCCAATCACCCTCTCTACCTCTGGTCTGAATCCATCGACCGGCGATATCCAGATGACTGCCGGCATTGCTCTGTGGTATCTGCACATGCTTGCCAAGGAGAACCCATTCGAGGGAATGGGTACCTGGAGGATGGAGGTCGGCGGACCTGCAGCCCTTTCCAGGCAAAATTTCCTCGAGAAAGATACGTGGATCCCCAAGCCCAACCTGAGCGAGAAGAGGGAGGCGAAGAGGGTCAGGGGATGGGTGTTCCCCGATGAGCCCTTGAGCAAGAGGGAGTGCGGACGGGGGAAGAGGGCGAAGAGTCAAGGATAGAACGAGGAAAATACGACGAAGAAGCGCGAAGCTTCGAACGCAATGGGTGTAATATCTGGGCTTATTGGCTCACAACAGGTTAAAAGCAGGAGGATCACTTGAAGCTGCCGGTCCAGCAACGGTGCTAACACTAATAGCACGCGCACTTTTACTTTCTATACACTCCCTCCCCGCCGTGAGTGAAAGCATTTGTCGGCGTTACATTGTAGCATTTTTAGTGGGCGTTTCTTAATGTTCTCGATTTATTGTTCATCCGTCCATTCCTTGGCGGCCCTGCAATTGTTGCGAGGGGTCAGTTGCCTTATAGGGACTATTACTTTGTATGAAGATGAAAAGACGCCACGAACTGCAATATAAGACAATATCCAATTACCATCCCCATGCTCCCACCATCTGCTCATGTGACAATAAAATGGTCAAAGTAATCATTTGACATGCATGTGCGTATAAGTAAGCCTGGCCAATAGATATAACGATATCGATGCGCACATGTTGTTGGCTGTTGTTTGCTGCCATTGAAGCCTCCTTACAGAGTGGAGGCGAGACAGAACGTCATCTCTCGTTGGATTCCAGTCAGTCTGGGCCAGTCTCATGATCTGAATGTTGTGCATCTCTAAGACTATAAACAGGACCGTGTCTCTGGGTGTGACATCCGCTACCACGTGCAGATTGGAGACTAGCGCTTTCCCTTGCTGGTTACGCGCGTGCCGTGTGGCATGCATTGCCTTGTGTGTGCCTTGGTATCGATAGTTAAGGTTACCGTTTGTTCGTTCCTTCCTTCCTGCCTTCACTTCGTCTCCTCATTCACTCTCTAGTTTAATGTTAAATAATCTCCCTACCTACTCGTACCCTCCTGCCTGCTTTAAATTATTACCTGTAATCGGCACTGCTCTGCTTCTCCTTCTCTCTTCCCCTCTCTACATCAACTCTCCTCCTCGCATCTCACCTCTCTCCTCGTCGCTCGCTTCTCATTATTCCTCTACAGCAGTGATTCTCTCGTCTCGCCAAACATACCCTGATCGTGATTGTGACTATCCTCCATCCATCACCCGTCTCCAACGCGCGTCATCCACCGTCATCCCGACAACACTACATCACATCACACCACGCAACCAAACCCACCATGGCGAACCGCCACAAGCCCGTCAAATGGGAATGCACCGAGCCTAATTCCGAAAGCGACAATGGCACTTCCACGGATACCTATAATGAAGAGCGCACCGTGTATCCTCCCGAACCGACGCTACCAGCCATGGCGCTTCCTTCGACAGCAACGTTGAACGCTTTGTCGATGCTTGATAGACCAAGGCGCCCATCACCGCCTCCCAAAGGAAGTCGGGTCAGAGAGCCAGATTCACCCACCTTATTGGCGAAGAATTGGCCTTCAACAGCCACGTTGAATGAGCTGTCTCGACTGGATTCCCTACTCCCCCAATCACTCTCGTCCCAGCAAGCTACACAAGCCCTGATCGACCATGTGACTGATCGGAATGCACCTGGAAATTCCAAACAAGGGCCCAACTTTCCGCCTGTGAATGACAAATCCGCGAGTCCTAGCCACAAACAAATCAAGGGAGCTGGGCAAACAGGAAGTGATTGCAAGAAATGAAAGATGATGACTGCTCATGTTCTCACAATCTCTTCAGCCTGGGACTCGGTGATAGAAACACTATAAAGAGTGCATGGAGGGAACATCCATGAAAAAGCCGATGTGGCCAGCAACACGCTCATATTGACGGGTACATGTACGGCCACGGTATGAAGCTGACCTTTTCGTTGGGATATGCAAACAGGCATTCAGCAAGCTGCGTGCTTCGTTCTGTGTCTTTAACACAGACCTAGCCATTCATCTTGGAAGTTTTGGGAACACAAACCGCGGTATCAATCAACAAACCTACCGAAACACATCGGCGGGGGACTGCGACCATTTTCGCAAGGGGCACAAAGCCGACTTCCAACAATCTCATACGTACACACACTATAGCAATTTTGCGATCCCACTTTTACATAGCACAGCGCTGCTAGAACAGTGATCTCCATGGGAAGTGATATAGTGACATGTAAGAGTCACGTCTAGTTACAGTGACAGTATACATTAATACGATGAATGCAATGCTCGAATGAATCACTGGGAAGACGCAGTTTTGTCCATTATTATATTAACGTGGTAGCAGCGCTCAGTCACTCTCATGGTCGCAGCGTCAACGCACTTCCACTTACACCGGTCATAGACATTCCAGTCATTCTTAGACTGACGCAGCCAACAAATCGCGAGGTCGAATGGTATACGCACGAGCTCTACTTCGATCCTATCGTCATATCGTACTGTCAACAACCCTCTATCGTAACCTATAGCCATAGAAGCAACAGTCAGTCTCTTTGTCACAAGGACCACTCCGTCAACAGTGAAGATGGAAAAGCACGACCTTTGCTGCGATCTTGACTGTCCCGTCTGTCCTCGACCATTTGTTTATAATTCTTCCTTGTATTTGCATAGTCTCCACCGCTATCATAACCTCCATTCTTTCAAGCATTTGATTTATATTACCCACAATTGTCAATGTCCGAAATGCCTCACAGCAATCAACCACCCTCTTCGGTACCAAAGGAGGGACTGTACAAATTATTTCCCCCCCAGAATCCTCAAGAAGAAGAGAGGGGCAAGGCCAGAGCAAATCGAACCGTAGACCGACCAGATCCTGGAGCAATTGAGCCACGAAAAGGGAAATGGAAGGGAGGTAAGGTTTCGTCAATCACATCAGAGTCACACAGCCATTAGCTATACTGGCCAAACTCTGGTAATGGTATACCATGCAACGGCTGCCGACTCCAAGATACTACTCCAGTCCACTGCTTACAATTCCGTGATTTTAGGAAAAGGTCAACTCCCAATTCAATCGATCGTTGAGAAGTGCGTACCATCGGCATCCAAAGGTCCAGAAGAGTCAGGCCATACGCAACCACCACCAAGCCGTGGATCCTCCGCCCTCAGGGAATTCGACTTCGATTTCTCGGAATCACAACCCTCGGCTGACGATGCACCACCACCTGCCCAATACTTCTTCTTCTACGGAGAACTAGACGACAACGAAAGGGTACGCCTCCTCTTCCACCGCTTGAAATGTGCCGTCGAACTCCAATCCGCAACACTTCACGGCTACGAGACAGTTACTACCCAGCCGCCGAAGTTCACTATCACCCTGGCATCCGGTAAGACTGAAGGTATTAAAGGCGGCCTGTACAAGATCAGAAATGAAACCGAACTAGAGCTCCTGGAGATCAAAAGCGCCCCGTACTCTCGCATCGCTGAGGTCGAGGTCGAGATGGATTCGAACATGTTGGATTGGGGGAAGAAAAAGAAGAAGCAGTGTGCCTTGACTTTTGTGGCGAATTCGATCTCGAAAGCTGGGCTCAAGCGTACACCATCTGGCCGGCTCAAGATCGAACATTAGGTCTGGTGGATCGAGGGACCTACCCATAGGCACATTTGAATGACACCATAGACGGGCACCACGACGATGAATATAAAGTTTCAGAGGAGGGGGGAGGCAAGACACTAATCAATATTCAAGCATATACTTAGATTTGATACATAGATGGCTGGAAGCATAGGATAGACATGAGATACCCTCAACCGACATGAATATCACGAACATTACTTAAAACGCATACGTTACACTTTCATTCTTCCTTGATGTGATGATTCTATCCTTCGATGGACTGTCACCGTGTTTTTACTCAGTAGCATACACACTGATAGATGTATAGCCCTGTCAACCCCCACTTTGGACCTAGAAGAAGCAACGGGGTGTCATTGTTATCGAATGCTCTCAATTCCATCTCAACCCAGCCAAAGGCCAGACAGACGTTCCTACAGATAGAACGATTGAAACTTATTAAGGGATATGAAGGATGTGCTTGTGCCTACCTATAGGTCGATGTACTTTTGCGACATGTCACTGTTTTCGGAGCAAGTTGAAGAAGTCTTGCCTACCACATAGAGGAGGGACTTGGAGTTGAAGACAGGAGTGAGTTCCTGCGAAATCGACTCGAAGGTGGGACGGCAATGTGATACATATGGGAACCATAAGTTCGAAGGACACGGTTCCTGCATGAGTTGACAGTCGATCCAACAGCCCTTCCTAGGACGTTGATGGTATATTTAGACTTCATATTCATTACAATCAGATTGCGGCAACACACTACCGAAAGCGCACTACCGGATCACCACCAGCCGCTCAAGGCTGTTGAACTGCTGCAATGTAAAAAGTCCAATCATGCAGGTTCTTCCCACCTATACAATTTCGCACAAATAGGGAGATCAACCGAAACCGTCCCAGTCCAAGTTCGACCTGCACAACGACTCATCGAGCCGTGACATCGCAGTGCCTTGTAGATCTCCCTTCAAATGAATCTGTAACCTCGGGCCCATATATCCGAAGTCAACGTTACCAACGACGGCATTCTCTCGTTCCATGGCAATCGGAACCACAATGACGAAAAAAATGCCGAGAGAACCCTCTCATTATTCTCTTGGGAAGTTAGAACTAGCCAGGCATGACGATGCCCGCCGACCTAATGCGTTCGGAGGGGCACATTTCTTGCACAGTACGAAATTGAAAGGGCCCCGCGTCTATGTATCTATCTAATGCTTAAACTGCCATGGCATGGCTATATGTACACACGATTGCCGAGAGATCATTTAGAGAGAGCGTCTTCGGCGATTTTTGATACTTGCATGGTTCCAGGATTGAATATATCTCTTTCACTTTGGCACTTTCTGTGGGGCGGGTCTTTAAGATGGATGGGTGGATGGATGGGGTCTGAATGGGTGGTTTGGGGAAAGTTCATGCTAAGTCTAGAAGAATGGTTGTATGCTTTCAAATGTTATACCGGCGGGTATACAGTATGTAACTGGAACGATTTGAAGAAGCGAGGGAAGACTTGCGTGGTAAGATACTGTAATAAAGAAGTACCTCGCTTGCGACTGGTTGATTTGCGAAGATTCCCAATTTCCCACGTTCAAAAAGCCAACAACAGCTGACGTTGTTGGTTGAGGAGGGATGGGAATGTCGGCGCGGGAACCCGTGGGACCTGGACGTTTGTGGACGGGCTTCCCTGGACGGGGGGTCCCGCAACCTTTCAAACCTTATTCCAGCCATCACAATATGTCCCCAGTCTTATAGTCAACGACGCTCATGGTAGATACAATATTGGATTGCAATTATCGCTCTGGATTTGCTAAGTTCCACCAGGAGAGAGAACAACAGCAACACCACCACCGCACCTACTTCTGTATGGAGTAGAGGCTAGGCGCGGGTCCTTGTTGAATCCTCATTGCTTGCCTGCATTTGCCCCCGCATTGCCGGAACTCGAGCCTTTAGGCGAATTAAGCACACCCAGGCCCTCTCTACTCTTCCCATTCCCCGTCCATCATCTCCCACTGCCGGCCGGTTCGTTGCTGCTGGGGTGTTGCAGTTGGATGGATGGTATGGTATGATTCCGGCACGCGGCACAGCCAGTCGAGCCCATTCAAGACCCTGGCGCAATGCCCCGAATGAGGACATGCCTCGATATTTGCTGACACTCCACGGTTAGCTGAACGAACGGTTGGGGGTTCTCTGGTTCGTGATGTGAGGGCATTGAGAGTGACCCTTCGCGATTACTTGCATCAGCACACCACACCATGCCACATACCATGCCACCTCTCTCCATCAGCAGGCTAGAATAGAAGGGAACACTACACAGTTGATGTGTTGAGAAGATAATGGAAAGAGCGGGGAAGTGGGTCGTAGACTCGTAGCATGAATTTGGAGACCCAGGATCAATACTTGCGCAGCCTGCCCGTGACCGCATAGGGGAAGATCCATTGGCGGGCTAAAGGTTACGATGTCCTGCTTTGAGGTCCAGCGATAGAGAGAAGAGAATGAACGACCAGCAAGCAAGCAGCCAGTGGTGGCGGCTGAAACCCCAAATGGCGGAAGGTAAGGTATAAAATACGGGTTGATATAGGGGGTCCAGAGCCTGCCCGTCCTGTGGCCTATGTGCTTTCCCCTGGCCACGCTCGCCCATCGCATGTGTACAAGGGACGATGATATTAGCCAGCACTGTCCAACGCCAATCCTGCGAATATGCTGAATGTTGCACTGCACCAGATGTATGCGTCGTCCAGATGCGGGGAAGTGATCATGGGATTCAAGCTTTTCACTTATTCAAATTGTGTTGCTGCGCGAGACTTATTTGAAGACCGTCTGGCAGCATACATCTTCTCTCCCAGACGTGATATGATCTTCCACCAAAGTCGTTTCAAGCGATTGTAGAGGAAAACCGTTCGTACAAACACGTTCTAGCTAACTTGTCGACCACACGCCTTCCGCTCCTGACTCATGAACCTTGCCGACGGATTAGGCCAATGGTCGATCATCGAAATTGTGACAAGCAAATCCAATACCAGGCTGTATTGTATAGGTAGCTTGCTACTCGCCCCAGATCCGCCCGTATAAACGCAATCGAGACCCCGGATGCACTCCCTCGGGTCTCTTCCTTACCCACCCAGACTATCGTCACCAACTCGCGTCAGTCGCGACGAATCTGTCAACAGGACGTGATCATGACGGGCGCGTCAGGAACAGAAGGAGGTGGAGGTGGAGGAGGTAATGGTGGTAATGGAGGCTTTATGCTCAAGGCGTATCACGGCGACATCTGCGTTATCATCGCGTTCGCTCTGACGAGTCTATCAACAGTCGTCGTAGCTTTGAGGTTTGTCGCAACAGCTCACCCATAATTGTAATTGGTTACTGATCTTATATAGGTTCTATGCTCGCTATTATCTCGTGGGCAAACTTAGTTCATCGGACTGGATGATGCTCTTAGGCGTTGTAAGTGGAGAAAGTATTGTTAATGATACAGATTGCTAAGTAATGGTAGATCTCAACATGGGGTTCTGCTGTTGTAAACTACTACCAGATTCTCTACACGGACTATACAGATGCCATTGGGGTACGATTCGTATGAAAGCAACACGTATTGTGTGTACTGACAATTGCACAGAATATGCAAAGATGGAAGGAGATCGTAGTAGGATCGCTCCTGTCGTTCTGGATCTACCGAATTTTCTACATCGTCGACTTGTTCTTCATCAAGATGTCTATCCTCCTCTTCTACAACTACGTCGCCTCCGCTCACAAGTCCTTCCACTACATCGTTCGCACCTTGATGGTCGTAGTCTGCACCTCAAGTTTCGGCATGCTGCTCGCCGCCATCCTTTCATGCAACCCGCCTTCTGATGCCTGGTCTTTCGAGGTATTCATCCAGCCTTTTTACGGAACGTACGCCACCCAGTGTTACAATCCTACCATCCTGTGGTACTTCAGTGCGGGATTCAACCTCGTAACGGATACAGTAATTTGGTTCATCCCGATTCCCTTCGTCCTGAATCTATCTAGTATGCCTCTTCGACGGAGGTTCGGTCTCGCTGGCGTTTTCTCGATCGGTACCATGGCCATTGCCGCCTCTGGAGTCCGACTTTGGATCTTGATACAATGGTCGTCAGGTTGGGAAAAGCAAGGAATGAACACGGCGAATCTTCTCATCTGGGGTCAGGTTGAGCAGCACGCTGGTATTTTATCCGCCTCGATACCGTTTCTTCGACCGATTTCCAGAAAGATCAAGGCCATGTTTACCAACTGCAAGCGCGAACAACCCTCTCCCAGCCCGGCTGCCAAACTCATCGCTCCGCTCTTTGCACACGATCCCAATCCGTTGCCACCTAGAACTCCCATCATACCAAGTCCCTCGCCAACTTTCGGATCGTCTGGAAGCGAGCCATCTCGTGCTCAGGAGGCTCCAAGACCAGTCCAACCCATGAGATCTGTGCTCGATAGCGGCAACGCATATTGAGGACCTAGCAATGCCGCGATCTCCGAATGCCACCAGAACCAGCGAAGTTTCAAGCTCCGAAAACATGAATCGTAGGAGAAAGGCACTTCTCCCCGGTGGTGCACGGAATACAATGCGAAACAACAACGGCCATGCAATTGAAGCACATGCCCCGGATTCAGGAGCTGCGCCTGCAGAAGAGGAAGCCTCGTGGAGATCTGACACCCAGGGGATCACCAGAAAGTGAGAAGATCGACAGGTCTCCCCACTGGATCCTTCCCAAATCATCGTCACGATCTTCACATTCGCAATTCGGCATGTGAATGGCTGAACCGAAGCGACGGCGACCTTCCCGCGCATGGGCCCTTTCACGATCAATCCAAGTTCCGTTTTCTGAACAGATCCTAGGAGAACGGCAGTCGACCCTGTCGGTCGGCTAAAAGAGTGAACGGGGGAGGGGACGGAGGGGGCCTGGCGCAAGCTCGTCTGCCCCCAAGCACTCTCCCCAGACATGGAGTAATGCCTTGCCTGGGACAAGTAGCATTAAACCAAACCACCATCAATCACGATATTTCACGAGTCTACAATGACCCTTTTTTCTCTCTCTCAAAGTTCAACACACGTTTTTGCCAGAACAATTGTAATATACCCGACACGACTTGCATCACTGGCGCTATCAATATTCTCCTTTTCTTCCTTCTCACAAAGTTGTTTCCCCATTTCGGGATGTATCATAATATTGGGAAGGTGTTGAAAGGTATTTCCAAAAGGTTATGACTATTATAACCACCGGGAGGCGCACAACGGGTCGTCCCACGTCGGACATGGCCATGTCTATTATGGGTTGCAACTCAGAATTTGACCAGGGCGCAATTAAGCAAAGGGATTTCTAAATACTACTTTCTTGTACTGTTCTCAGGAAATCTACCAATTGAAAAACCAATAGCTCCATTCGAAAAGTTTAACTACAAATGATGTGTATATCTCCGCTGCAATATCCAAAGCGTATTATCAAAACAGGCGGTCTACGCACCGGACGCACATACGCACACGCACGCATATGCACCTGAGCACCTCCCCCTGCCGCAACAACTGCCACTAACCCCCTCGTAAAAATCTCCTACGCAACAAGACACAACCACGCTCAAGCTCGTAATCGCGTCCTCGCTCCCATTCCCGTTATCTACACCCATCCACTCACTCGTTCACTGACTAGCCCACCTGTACAAACGGCGTGGTAAACGTGGACATGAAACAAGGGGCAGCCAACAACGACATGTTTATCTTCATGGTCGACATGCATTCGTGTGAGATGATTCCACAGTATTTGGTTCATGTCCTCGTATGTAAAGCAAAGTAAACCTGTCCCTGTCTCCTTATGCAGCTCAGCTCGTCCACTTTTGCTATTCTCACGCCTCGAGAGATGGTCCTCGCTCTTGCAGCGCCCCCCTTGTCGGCAGCCTACATCCCCGGTTCCTGGCAGTTCTCGAGCCGAGTGTGGGAGGAATCTGACATGCATTGTGAAATGCGTTTTGTTCGACGGGTCTAGTCTGGGGGCCGGCTTTCGTGTATCTCGTGTTTGTGGATTGAGATGTATTTGAGGATGCTTTCGTTTGAGGATGCTTGGAAATGCGATTGCGTTTCATCACTATAGAGGATCATTGTAGGACTGTTGCGACGTAGTCGCCATCCAGGCAAGGTCACAGCGTAGGGCAGCGTAAGTAAACCATTTCGACAAAATATATCCTACAGTATATATGCATGGACGCCTAAGCGGGACCTCCGCTACGCAACCGCACCTGCACCCGCGCCCGCACCCCATTCCCACAGGCATGTTTCGCCAGAATGCTTTACTCTACAGAGAATTTGGCAAGAAAGGTGTGTCGTCTCGTCTCGGAAAAAGGGGGAAAGAAGAAGAAAAGACTTTAAGATCCATCCATCATGAGGTAAATATAAGATTAGAACAAAGAAGTCCCCTCCCTTCCGACGCCATACTTTTTTCTTCAGACGCAAAGTCCCCATATGAAAAAGAATGAAAAAGAAAAGACCAAAGCTGATGTCACCCTAATCATCCCATTCCCTGAGACATGATAATCCAGAGAGTAAGAAAGAGAAGTAACAGGAAGCTCCTTGCAATGCAAATAGAAGTGCCAGTCAAGGCCCGATACCCTTTTACGCGCGCAAATGCATGAAAGAATCGAAGCAGATATTAGGCGGGGCAGATGACAGCTAGTCACGTTGCGTGATACGCGACTAGTGAGATTATTGAGAAGTCGTGACGGTGTGATGTCGTCTAGACGAGGGGTTGTGGGCTTTGCTGAGCATGTGTGAAGAGAGCGTTGAACAGGCGCTCGACCTACATAGATGTTTGATTAGTGATGGAGTCTAAGGATAAGAGAGCAAATGAAAATACCTCAGGAGCAGCTTTAACGAATGGCAAATCCCAGAACGCATAAGTGCGGTTCTTCAGAATTTCCAAAAGTGTAATGATGAGTCCCCATGGATGTGGACGGTGTACAAGTAGGCGCTCAAGAAGCACCCTTGTGATTGTTTGCTGGACTTCGAGGATTGTAGCGTCGCTATCAGGGGGACCGAACAGATGAAGAAGCGCGTAACTGAAGTAATGCGTGTGTGCATTTGGCCAGCGGAGTTGATTAGCGATTGCGCTGATGAAATGGAACCTGGCCTCGGGATTGAACTCTTTGGCTAGGCTTTCGAGAAGCTTGGCTGCAGGAGCCGTAGTCTCAAAGTTTGGTGCTTTAGAACCCTGGGCTTCCAATGCCGCGGTACCGATGTAAATAACAATAGCGTGGATCAAGATGGGATCGGATGAAGTTGGGACCAATTCGAAACCAGCTGCTCTGTTTTCGGCAAACTGTGTGGCATTGCAGACCTTTTCAATATCCTCGGCTTTAGGTGTAGAAGTCTTCAGGAGAGCATCAATGGTGTCCATGATCCCGGCGTCGACGAGAAGCTTGTCGATATCCGCGCGAATAGTGGGAGATTGTCGAATCTCATCAACCCGGTCAACCTTCAACCCTGCAGTGAATGGGTCGGGCATGTCAATAATGTGTGAGGGATAAGCGCTGACGATGAGATTTCGAAGCTGAGTGCAATGCATGGGGATGCTGTTGCAGAACCGGAAATGATGCTCAGCCAAGAACTCAGGATAGTCATGGTGGATGACCAGGAGAACACGGAGGACGCCACGGTAGAAGTTCTGGCCCATGATCGTTTCGCCAGTGGGCTTGATGAGCTGACCGGTATACTTGAGGAGGGTTTCCACTAAGCATGCATAAAGATCCCACCTCTTGTCTTTTGTGTTCGCCATCTGCATGTTGCTTTCCAACATGGCAGGCATAAATATGCGATGAGAGATCAAAGTCAACCATGAGAACGTGAACATTGGATAATGCTGTGGTTGCAAGATGAGGAAGGCACGCGCTACCGCAAGGTAAATTTCGCCCTTCGACTCAATGAGAGCATCATCTTTCACGGCTTCGTTGAGCTCGAAAAGGATGGAGGAGAAAAGTCGGAAGAACACCTTCTGGTTGAAGCGGTCACCTCGAGTCTTGTGGTGATTGCCGAGGACGAGGACAACGACGAGAAGGATGCTGTCAATGTATTTCGCTTTGCTCTCTTGAACAGCGCCATCTGACTCCCCTTGGTAAGCAACGAGGGAGACAATCAACTTGCCCAATGCATCGACCTTAATCGTAGCGGTGTCCAAATTTCCTGTGCCGTAGGGAGCAAATTCCTCATGCTCATACGCAGCCACCGAAGCATCAATGCAGATGCGAATGAATTCAATCGAATCCGTAGGGGTCTGCATGACCTTGCTCTGATGCAGCTGATAGATGAAGGCTCCGATGGATGTCTTCGGGGTATCGGGAAGCTGCAGATGCACCCACTCGTCGAAAACGTATTCCAATTGATCAGTCTTTCCGGTTGCCGGTGGAGTCAGTGCCTGTTCGTTCGATGGCACATGAAGTTTCGAAATGAGTTGCTTGCCCAACTCAAGATTGGGGTCCTCTGCTAACCAGTTGGTCAGAGCGTCCACAGAGAGTGCAAAGTCGGCACGCAGGGCAATGGGGTGCTCGTTGAGCAAGACGTCATCGAGGAGGTTGGAAAGCATCTCAATGGCAGCGACACGGCGTTGGGAGATGGCCTTGGCAATGACAGTATTGAGCCTGTGCATGTCCATCAAGCCAACGTCGATGAGACAAACCATGACTGTAGCGTTGAAAATCCTATCGTCATCGTGCATCGTAGCCAACCACATCAAGACTTGTCTAGAGGTTTGTACTGACAACTGGCAAAGGTCGGCAAGGAGTCGGGTCATGATCTCAATTTCCAAACGCCGTAGCTGCTCGGAGAACAGGTAGTTCACAAGCTGGCCAGCAATACGGAAAGCGAAGTTGTCCTTCTCAAGGCCTGCATGCTCTATGCTAGAGATGAGGCGGTCGAAGACACCGTGAATGGGGCTGATAGGTCGGAGTTCACTTAGGCGCTCCTCGGGTGCTTCCTTGACAACACGGGTAAGTTCGACCCACAGTTCTTCAGCGGTACGTTGGTCTCGGTTCGGGCCGGACTCTAGATAGCCATTTAGCTGTTGCTGCGGGCCTGGAGTAGGCACTCCTTGTACACCCTGATGACGTGGTTGCTGCTGCGTTGTTTGTCGTGGTTCGGCAGGTGCCGCTGCGGGGGTTGGCAAGCTCGGCACTGGAGGAAATTGGTCTGACAGTACATCAGGAACCTGTCGTCCACCATCCTGCGAAGTATTATTGGCATGGGGAACGCCTCGGGATTGTCGTCCGAAATCCTCATATATGGCAAGCTGGTCGGCGTTCAATCCACCAGGGGACTGCTTGTAGGGCTCTGGGATGTAAAATGCCCAGGGGCTAATGTTTGCATCCTTGAAGGGCTCGTTGGGTCGTGTGTTACGGAACATTCTGCGTATGCGAACCGACTCCTCAATCTGCATGTCAATCTCGTTCATAGATGCTTGCTCCGCGGCTTGTTCCACGTGACGACAAACGAGGTCCAGGTTGTCATTGACAAACATCAGAACGTGTCCCTCAGGAAGAGCTTGTTCGGGCAAATCGCGGGCCATGACTCGAATGTTGTTCATTATGCTCATACGCAAAGGCTCCTTGCAAGTTACCAGGGCCAAGGCACCAGAGAGCGATTTGACCACAGTATGTGCTGCGTTGCGGAGTTTCTCCTCATCGGGCTCCATGGCGAAATCCTTGTTGATGAGCTGTGACGTAGAGATAGCTGCAATAGTGACAGATCGCTCTACAACGGGGGCGATAATCTCCTGGATAGCCTGGGAAACAGCACGGGCAAAGATGGCCTTGAGATCGGTGGCAGGTACAGCATTGCTGCCAGCTGGTGGGTATATGAGCTGATTGGAAAAGTTCGGCAGAGCTGCGGTGATGGCTGCGGAGGAGAAACGCTCGCTAGGTCCGCGGGCACGATTGAGGCTCATAATAGATAGATCGCTGAAAGGTTCCAATCCTTCAGGTGCCAAGGGTCCTAGATACTCTTCTTCTGCATGCTGCCTTGATCCAATCACATTGGAGGCTTCGATTGTTTTGTGGTCCAGATCTAGCCCTTTGCAGAGAACCTCAATCTCGAACTTCTGATTGAGTTTCAAGTCGGCGCAGTTATAAAGTTCCATCAAGACTCGAACGATTTCCATCAACCACGGATTAGGTGGCTTGAAGACACTCGACTTTGCAGCTTGGACCAACACCTTACAAGTGAAGGGAATAACAATGAGGAGGCGATCGGTATCATAACCTTCAATGAGAAGGTCCTTGAACGAGATGTTGCGGAACTTGATCGGTTGGTTGCGAGCAATAGTGAGCGATCCCAGCCAGGCACCCAAGTTCTTCAAGTGAGTCCTTTCGGTAGAGCCCAACTGTCCGTCACTGTTCAGCATCCGATTGACCGTAACATATGTCTCACGGAGAACCTCGGCCCAGAGAGTCTTGTCGTTAAATAATTCCAGCATATCCAAGTACAATTGTTGGAAATTTGGTTGCATTTTAGCCCGCTCCTCAACGAGGTAACCGGCGAACCATTGGTGATGTTTCTCTTCCACAGCCTCCATCAGGTCTTTGATTTTATCGCGCAGGTTCCTTTCGGATACGTTGTTGAGAACGAACAAAACCTTGTCTTGAACCTCTTCGTCGGGCTCCTCGTATAATTCTGGTCGAAGTGGTGGGTCTACGTGAAGGCATGAGAATTTTGGTACCCCTGTTTCGGTCTGAAGTATCTCGTCTACCCCATTTCCGTTCGTCAGGCCAACTCCATTCTGTGAATCACCGTTGAGATCGTTTACTTGACGGCCCACGACTTCCTCCGCTTTGGCGTAGATCTCGGTACCTTGTAGTCCAGGAACGATCAAAAGTTGGTCACAGTAATTTGGCCATTCGGGAAGGCGGGACGAGAAGTGGAGGAGGGCTTGGAGACCAAACTTGTACATCGAATCCTCGGGTCGATAATCTTGAACGGCCTCGAGTACCATTGCCAAGCCGACTTGCAGAGCGATACGGGAGAGGAGGTTGTAGTTGATGATGCCGCCAAATAGTACTGCGGTGGTTGCTAGAGCCTCAAGCGGGTATTCGCCGAAACAATTGTACTCATCAAAAAGCCCGTGGATCATGCAAGCGAAAAGGTCCTGTTCGGCCGGGTCTTGGGACTCCTTGTACTTCTTCAAAACGTTGATGATGTCGCGAACGTCGCTCTCGCCAGAATACATGTTCTTAAAATGCTCTTGCATTTTCTTATCAGCATCGTCGGGCAGTTTATTGCCTGACTTGCTGTTAGCGTCAATGATATCATCGACGCCTTCACCATAATTGATGAGTCGGGGATAAGATTGAATGCAGTTCCGCTGTAGTGGAAGCAATTCCTGTTCGGGGAGACCACATTCGGCCAAAAACCAAAGGAGCGGGTGGACAGTCTTCACCGCTAGTGGTAGACTGATTGGGTGATGGTCGTCTCTCTGTGTCTGTTGCTCTTCGGCAGCTCTTGCACTCAAGAAGTTAGAAAGGATCCTACGGAACAGAGGGCCTGCCTGTTCAATGGTTTGCTGTAGCCAAGGCTCGATTTCGAAAAGTCCGCGGGCGTGTGCCTGCGCAGCGAGGTCGAGACTGATGTCCGTGTTGCTTCGAATAAGGGTCTCCAGCCAGCCGTGCGCTTGAGCATGTTCCATGATCAAAGACAGAGACATGAGATCTGCGTTGTAAGAATCGACAAAACGGTCGACAAGCCATTGTGGGTCCTGCTGCCAAAGACCATACAGGACAAAGTCATAAGCTGCCAATTTTTTGGTGAAGTACGGCTCGAACAGTTGCTTCAATGCTTGTTCCTGCAGAGCACCCCAAGGTTTGGGTACTGCAACGGCAGCAATCAGGAATTCTGCGGTATGAGGATTGATTATTGCGTCAGGAATGCCTAGAAGTTGTGCCTGGTGATAGGACTCCGAAGATCTGAAAATCATGCCGAATAACGCTGTCGTTGCTTCGAGGGAGACGTAAGGGTGCTTGGCTGCGCGAGCTCCCAATTCCTTGATCTCATCGGAGGCGCCTTCAAAAGTCTGCCTGCTGAAACTCGCCCGCAGTCTCGGAATCTGGGAAACATCCAGCTCGTCCGGGGTGCATGACAGAAAACACCACAGGAAAGCCAACTGGGTCATCTCGTATTGCCACACTCCTCCCCAGAGTAGTTGTATGTCGAAACTCTCCACTTCGTTCGCGATTGGGAGCAAGGCATTATAGATCGCCAGAAATTGTTGCTTTGCGATCCTTATGCCGTCACGATCAAATGCATGAACCACATCCTGCCAGTCCAAACGCTGACCGGTGCGATGCTCACGCAAAGCTGCCACGAAGTTCTTCAGACTGTATCCCTGGTTTTCCTGCGTGATAGCCATGTATAAGAGGACGTTCGCAACTTGTTGATAGCTGATGTCGCGTGTCTCTACAGTGGAGAGCATCTCTTTGCTGGCTTCCACGGTCGCGGTTGCACGAGGCCCGGCACGCTGTACGAACTTCACCAATGTGTGGGACCCATCGGTAAGCTCTAGGAGTCGCAACACAGAGTCGACCTCTGCGGGGACGGGTATCTGCAGGCTTTGTTGGTATCGCATGTGTGCAGCATAAGGTATCTGCATTTTCTTATCATCGTCCCAGTCGCGTGGTGGGTTTTCGAGCAGGCGTTCGAGTATGGTTACTTCGAGCTTGAGCGGGAGGTCGGTTTGGACTGGGGAAGGTCGTGCGTATGCCAAGAGAAAAGCGTCAACGGTGTTTGCCAAAATCGCGTCGGCTAGTTCAGGTTAGGTTCAGTGATTGCAAGTGAGGGTGATAGTGAGAGACGTACCTTTTGTTTTTAAATCAGACTTGTTCGCCACACGACATTCGAGTGCAAGTGCCGTTTTCTCAATGGGATCAAGTTGGAAATGTGATACGAAGGTAGACAAGTCGAAGTCACGGAAAAGGTCACCTTCATTTGAGTCGATAGACTCTGCTATCCGAGCTGCCTGTTCGGGATCTTTGCGAAGCTTTTGCATCTCACTAACGAGGATTTGATAGCTCCCGTTCGGATCTACCGTTCTGCCACCGGTAGGAAAAACCTGCGCTGCATTGTTTTGCAACAAGCGCCGAAAGTACTTGGAAAAGACCTCCATTCCGTTGGAGTCGACCAGCTAGTGATGGTTAATACACGACAACACACGGGATGGCAGCCCACTCACTTTTCGAATCTGCTCCGTCTGCGTGTCCCACTTCGCTTTATCCTTATCGTCCTTCACAGCGCCGAATTGGCTCAGTAACAGGAATACTTGCGCGATGACAATGCGAGAGAGATTTTGTGTTGGCGCGCTGCCGGCGGGATTGGTGGATGCGTTGGGCGATCCGACGGTACTCGATGTGGAGAGGGAAGGCGAGGCTCGGGCTAACTTTGAGGCCCCTCCGCCGCTGCTCGAAGTACCACCACCACCCTGCGATGCAGTTGGTAAGGCTGCGGCGGAGGATGCCAGGTGTGATGAAGACTGCGGTGCTATGATTCGAGCCCTTGAGGACAGCAGCTGGCTGGCCGGGGGCTGCTGTCCGGCGTTTAAGGGTGAGAAGGGCGAGGACGTGGACGATGCGGCCGAAGACTTTCGACTGCTGATGTTTCTGGCTGTAGCCGAAGGAAGCGAGGGGAAGTTGGAAGTAATGGGGGAGAAGCCTTGACGCGAAGCACTGGGTGAGGGGGTGTTGCGTTGTTCTTGTGCAAATGCGGTGGATATGGGATCAAGTCGAGGATTCTGGTGCTGTCTCGAAGAGCCCCACGGATGTTGCTTGCTCATCTAGATGATGTTTCCATGGGAGGCGCGTCGAAGGCCCGGGTAGAATGGGGGTTGAGGGGATGGGTGGTGAAGATGATCTGGATGACTTCTTGGGATGAGATACAGAGCGAATGTCGCCCTCGCGGCTCGAGCAAAGCAGATCTTGGCGGGCTGGCACACACACACGTTTGGCTCGGACAGTTGCAGCCACTGCAGTATCTACCTACGAGGACTAGTACGAGTGGGTAGTAGGTCGGTATTGAACCAACTAGGGAATTTACTCGGAAGTCACTGAGAGCAAACAGGCGCTGATACGGAGGCAAAACTACGAGAAAGAACCCATTCATTCCCATCATACGAATATATCACTATCATTACTTGCGGATGGTAGTCTGTGGGCTACACAGTGCTGTGTAGACTGTTGTGCAGGGGGAGGATTCCTTATGCAAACCACAAACTACTAACGGCATTCACGAATCACGGGGCAGCCTCATCATACTGTCACGTGAACACATACATCACCATCCTTTGTACGAATAAGTTTAGGGTCAAATAGAAGGGCGGGCATGTCTTGTTACTTGTATGTATAAGGTATTCAGGCAAGATCGGATGATTCCATTACATCTCATGTCTCTACAGTTGTGTACCTAGGTACCTTGGGCGGCATTCTAATCTCATCAGGTTTCGATTGGTTTGGTACGAGCACGTGAGCCGCTCGTCAAAGTAAGAGCAGAACGGGACACCTATATCTACCCAATATACTGCGAAGATTTATCAGATGGATGCCTTGGGTAAATATTAATACTTTGATGTGTACGGGGTACCAACAGCAGTATCAAGTCTCAATTCTGTAATAGACCTACGAGTACAAAAATGTGGCTTCTATGAAGGACATTGACCAATCAGATACCGCGGATCCCTGCATTTTCACTGCCCAACCCGCTCATGCCTGCCCCGGATTATGTCATCTGCTCGTTGCTCCGTGAAACGGGCGTCAACACAATATCACACTACCAGCTACGACAGCCCACCCTGGCTCATGGTCTCCAACTTCAATTCTGGAGCTGTATATTCTAAACTAATATCCTATCCCATATACTCACAGAACCTTCTTTGTTTAACAAAAGTCGACTTTCATCCTTTGAGCGGCCAACGTTCGCTTTGTTGTACTCGCCCACAACAAACACCCGTTCACCAACAATACCGCCCGGCAAGATGCCTGGGATGGCGGCAACAGAGCCGCCCTCAGTCACACTCTCATGTATGCAATCACTATGAACCATGGCAGTCAACAAGTACTAATATTCTCATAGTTGCGAACAATTTCTGGGGCAAAGATGACGCCGGCGTCGGCCCCATGCTCGATCGATTGCACAATGCAAAAGTCACATCAGATGAGCTGAGGTCGTTTTACGCAGCCCGAGGGGCCATTGAGGAGGAATATGCTCGGAAACTCCTAAATCTTTCACGCAAATCGCTCGGTTCCTCAGAGTCCGGTACACTACGTCTCTCGCTCGACATCGTCAAACAGGAGGTCGAAGCCATGGGCAAGGCGCATCAGAGCATTGCCCAACAAATGAAGACTGAATTGGAGGAGCCACTGACTGCATTTGCCGGGGGAATGAGGGAGAGAAGAAAGATTGTACAGAACGGCATCGAAAAGCTCTTGAAAATCAAGATGCAACAAACATCCGCTGTGAATAAATCAAGAGATCGGTATGAGCAGGATTGCTTAAAGATCAAGGGTTTTCTAGCCCAGGCACACATGGTCATGGGCCACGAGGAGCGCAAGAATAAGGCAAGGCTAGAGAAGACCCAGATTCAGCTTTCAACAACGAGCAACGAGTATGAGGCCGCCGTGAAGGTCCTGGAAGAGACCACTGGAAGATGGAACCGGGACTGGAAAGCTGCTTGTGACGTAGGTGTTTCGATTCCCCCACTACTCGGCTGAGCTAATAACTGTATGCAGAAATTTCAAGACCTTGAAGAAGAGCGCCTTGATTATACAAAGAGTAGTCTGTGGACATTCGCCAATATCGCATCCACGGTTTGTGTGAGCGATGATGCAGTAGGTTTCGAGTGTCCAAGTGGATCAGTATATATTCTAACTAGATACAGTCTTGCGAGAAGATACGCCTCTCGTTAGAGGATTGCGAAGTGGAAAAGGACATCATGGCCTTCATTCAGGACAATGGCACAGGGCAGGAAATTCCTGATCCACCGAAATTCATCAACTTCTGCCGAGGAGACACGGATACCGCCTCAGAGCCATCTGAAGATGGCAATTACTCCGTTGCTCAATTCCAAAGGACAATGAATCCAGCATACAGAGCCTCATCCCCGCAGCCGTCAATGTTCGAATCTCACCATGATCCCAATAACCCGCTAGCCAAGGAGATGGGTCTTGGAGGATCGCAGCCTATACCACAAGATCAGATCGACATGCAGCCTCGACGTAACCCCCAGACAGTGCCACAGGATCGTATTGAGAGCCAGCCACGACGAAATACTCAGTCTGTGCCCCAGGACCATATCGATGTCCAGCCCAGACGGCACACCCAGCCAGAGCCAGATCAGCGCGTAACGACAATGCAGAATGCTGCTCCCGCCCAGCATGCGCCTATGACACAGCAGCCACCAGCTCAATCCATGGCACCAGTACAATCACCTCAATCGACTTATCCTCTAAGGATCCAACCAGATCCAAGACTGGTACAGGCTCAACAACAGGCCCGCCAGAATTACCAGCAGAGCCAAGTGCCTCACAATGACTACCCCATGGATGGCATGACCCAGTATTGCAGGATTGGTCCTCCTTCGGAACGTAGTTCGATCCCAAGTCCCGTTCGGCCATCAAGCCGGGATTCCCAGAGTGACTATTCCAACCCAACTTCTTTGTCCAGTATAGAACCACCAAGCGGGTCAGCATCCCCAGGTAAACCCATGGCACCAATAGCCCCTATATCACCTCTGTCGCCAATATCACCTGCGCCGCAGCCACTAGAGGAGAAGCAAGAAGTTAAGAAGAAGACAAACTTCTTCCAAAATCACAGCCCTTTCCGTAGGAAGAGCAAGCACGACATCCAGCCGCCTCCTGCTTTGGCCACGCCCAACAGTAGGAACACGTGGGCACCCACTTCTAAGAGAGTATCTAATGAAGATGCAAGTCCGACTCGACAATACGGGCGAGACAATCGTGGGGCTGTCCTTGGAGGAGCCCCTTCTGCAAGTCCAGAACCCGTGGATCCTCGAGCCAATTTCCAGCTGAACATCGGGAACAACGTTTTTGATGTTGCTTCGCCTGATGCGAGAAAGAAAGAAATTGCCAAGGACGACGAGCCAGAAGATCTCGATCCGATTGCTCAAGCTCTTGCAGAACTCAAGGGTGTTACAAAAGACGCTTCGTTACGCGTTTCCGCAGACCGGTATCATGGTTTGGCCACTCCCCAGCCCCCAGGCACTCCAGCTGCTGGTGCTAAAACATCAACAAGCACACCAACTCCTCTAACAAGTGCTGCTTTGAACACTGTCGCGCGGGCGACACCTCCACCCTCTTACGAGCAACCTCCAATCTCTCGTCTCGGGGCTCCAAAACCTGCCCACACGGCGCGAGCCATGCAGCAGACCACACAGAGCTACGTTAGCCAGAAAGCAAACATGTTCAATGGTGGAACGGTAGCTTCTCGACAATCAGCTCGGACTACAACGCAGCAAGCTCCAAGCAGAGCAGTGTCTCCGGCACCTCTAAGGGCCAAGAGCCCACAACCAGGACAGTACCAGGCTCAGCCCGCGTCGCCAGCAGAATACCGGTCAACTTCTCCGAACCCATATGCAGCATCCAATGTTGGTGGCAGGCAGCGTTCCCATACGACAACTAGTCCAGTGAAGCCAAATTATGGCGCGCCCACAGGACGAGGCTCGTACTCATCTACCCGAGGCGAATCGCCAAGTTATGCCCCTTCACAGCGTGCAGTATCGCCTCAACCACAGGCCCAGCCACAACCCAAACCCCAAATTCAACCTCAAGTTCGACCTCAATCTCAAGCTCAACCTCGACCTCAGTCCCAAGCTCAACCTCGACCGCAATCCCAGGCTCAACCTCGGCCACAGCCTCAAGCTCAACCCAGAACTCAACCTCAAGCTACTCAACCCAGGCCACAGCCTCAAGCTGCTCAACCTAGGGCACAACCGCAAGCTACCCAGCCGCGACCACAATTCCAGGCTCAACCCCGAGCTCAAGCACCATCTCAATCTCAGCCGCAGCCGCAGCCGCAGACTCAACCACAGAGCCGTCCTCAACCTCAAAGTCAGCCTCAGCCACAAGCATCACAGTCCTACGCCAGCACTCGACCCGGATCTAGGATGACTACCGGTCCGCCATCTCGGGCTGTAAGTCCGAATCCGTCATTCCGCCAGTCTCATGATCGTCCAGGCAGCTCTAGGGGTAGCGATATGGCTATCCAGCTTTCGCCAGGTCCTGGAAGTGAGCGAGGGGAAGGCAGTGTTTATGGTGGCAGTCAACGCGGTCGACCGGGCACTAGTCACTCAGTCCGCCCTGGAACAAGTCAGTCGGTTCGGCCCGGTACTAGCCAGACACGCCCAATGAGTTCCTACTACGGTGGTGGCGGGAGTGACCTTGGATATGGTGGTAGTGGCGGTGGTGAAGCTCAGAATGGCTCAAGGGCCAGGAGCAAGAGCCTTGCAGAACCACGACAGTACACTAGAGATGGACGGATGATTCTACATTACTGTAAGTGACCCCCATTTATCGTAGCAGCTACAGACTAGTGCTAACATAACCGATTACAGCTCGAGCAATGTACATGTATGCAGCTCAGATTCCAGAAGAACTGAGCTTTGCCAAGGGAGACATCCTCGCCGTACTTCGCCTACAGGATGACGGATGGTGGGAAGCGGAAGTTGTGGGTAAGAACAGCCGCCCAGGACTCGTTCCCAGTAACTACCTTCAAAACTGTTAAATGATGGAGCCCAATATTCGCTTTCAAATGTTCATGTTTGGCTTAACGATTACCCTCTTTTTGTTCATCTAGTTTCGGCGTTGTGCTGTATGGCGTGTCAGGGATTTTTATGCGGGCATTTGGTGTCAGTACTCCAATTCCTTTAGTAAGGGTGTGTGAAAAGGTATATCCTGGTGACACTTGGAGATGTATAATAAGCTGATCAACGAAATTGTACATGATATAACAAGACTATCTACCAGGTGGTATCTATAAATGAATTCTTCGTGATATTTTTTTAGATGAACTAACATAAGGAAATATCGGGCAAGATTCCAGATTTTGAATCGAATTGATGTACTAATTGCTAAAAAGTGGTGCTTTTGGAGTGACTCCCGTTATGTAAGCCAATACGTTTATCAATAATATGTTCATACGTACCTTCTCCGAGACTGATGAGTAGCTATTGATGAATTTTCCCTGAGGCGTGAAATTGTACTCCGATAAGAATTGCAGCTTCAAGTCGTTATACTTGACAAGTCTTGTCGTTCCAATCATGATGAACCGTCATGTATTAATCAAAATATATTGCCCGTGAACCGCTCACAGAGATGGGGTTGTCTAATAGATTATAGCAGTACGAATGGGGACAGTATGTCAAAAATTGCCTTGCACTGCTCGCACTTCCTTGCTCCCAAAGGGATGAGGTTCTTGGGTCGTTGAAAAGAGGATGTCAACCAATCAACGAAGATGTCCGGCTCATTTTCGGCTGTACGACTACCACAGTTGCAACCAAGTGTCCAACTACAATATGCTGGTCAACAACAAGCCCTCGCACTTATCTGACCTATCTCATACCATAAACCTCATCAAACATGGAGGATTCGAGATCCAAACGATATAAGACAGAAAAGTGTAAGCGTGTGCCGCTCACCTGTCATGGCAGGATAATCACATCTCTGGAGCGCAGGTACCAATTCTTTCTTCAAGACTATAACATTGTAAGTACTCATAGTCCATGGAGAACGGCAAGAGAAAAGGGAACTGTGTCATTCATAGTACTAGAATTCTGTGGATCCCGAATGGCGCCCATCATTTAAAGTCACCGCCGCTACCGGATTCCTCGATCTCCCTAGAGAGATTCGCAACATGGTCTATGAGATTCTATATGACAGGATATCTCGCACTGGACAGAACTGGAGTACTAACATCGTGAATACGCTTCCTCCGGAGAACCTCTTTCCACCAGCCCTTGTATCAAATTCAAACATCTCTGAAAGGGAGGAATGGCCGGTTAGAGGTGCCACAGGAATAGCGACCTTGATGTCAACGTGCAGACAAGTACACTCAGAACTCGCAGAAATGCTATATTCTATCCCTCTTGAATTTCCCCTATCTTTCGCTGGAGACTTCAGTCTACCTATCTCAAAAACATACTCTCATCTTATCAAGCGCGTCATGATTCCTTTCCAGGGGATGTCCTTCGACAATCCTCGGTTTTATTGGGGTAGAGTTCTACACTTGGTGCGAGAGTTTGCTAAGCTCTTTCCTCAAACCGACATCATACGTGCAATTTGGTCCAGCTTTTCCCGACGCCACTCGAGACTTAATTTCTATTACGGACTGGCAGAAGGGACTCGCGAGGCACACGTGAAGAGATGTGTAAAGTACATTCGGAGCTTCAGCAAGCTCAACCCGGAACACATACCCCACCAACTTGAAGTGTTAATGCAAGATAATTTCGTACCGGAAGTCTTGTTTGACACGCCCTTCAGCGAAGCAGTCCGGCGCCTGCGTAGCAAGGCCCCCAAGTCGAGAAAGTGAATCAGAAGACACATATCGAATCCACACCAGCGTCATTTGGTGCCTGCGCAAGGGGATCTACGACCTCCACAATCACTCCACGCGGTCTGGCGTCCGTAGTTGCCGGACTCTGTACGTGCAATACCTCGCAAATCCATGGCCCACCGCATTCGGGGACACAGTCAACATATGACATCAACGATCGACAATTCTGATGCTGAAGCTCTGCTGACTCCGCAGCGATACAGACGATATGTATCAGGTTGCGGAAGCTTGAGTTTACGTCGTGGCGAAATGCGGAGGAGCTGGCTGATCCGCCATGCGCCGAACTGGATGACAGTCTCGAAACGGTATGCGGAACGCAGCATCGGGTTCGGACATATCCGCATTGTGAAGCGAACGGGTCAACAGATTGAATTCTTAGTGAGCGCGACGGACCCTGCGCAACGAAGAGCATGCGATGGAAACGGTGGAGACACTACAAGCTCAGTCAGCTAAGGAATAAACCTAAACGACGAAATCGTCAAAGTTACTTCTTACTATCAAAAGGCGGTCTTGAGTGGCGACAAAGTGTTTCCAACTTGAACATTGTTACTATTTTGCAATCGTCTGATGCAATAATAAAATGCTAAAGATGATTGGAGATGTCACCTGCAGGAATGAGTGAGCAAGAGCCCGGAGACGTCTACATCCGATATGAAAATAGCGTTCGGACAACCAAGCGTCCTGCAGAAGCTTCCTCCACCCGCCCAAACCATAGTTCTCGTTGTCCACCTAATGTGCAGCGACTATGGTGCATTCCATCCAAGACAATTCTAGCCGCCTGGTCTTTCATCCACGCCTGCAGAAGGAATGATGATGACCATACGGCGTGGGAAGTAGATAGTTCGAGTTTGTATGTCGCCTTCTATTTCTAGCGACAACCAAATCACCCAGCAAATTACGCTTCATCACCAACTCTGAACACCTCGCCGCACGAAAGACATATGCAAGTGGGCGGCACGCACGGCCAGCAAACGATCTAGACTTTGCAAATTTCCCGAGCCTGCATTTGATTATTTTCGAGGGGATGCAGTCAATAATGGATGCATGCTTCGTGTAGGGATCGCATTGAAATGGGCAGTACTGTTTTTACATCCAACGACAGACCAGCATGATACCGAATCCTTTGAGTTCCCAGATGAAGCCAATAACATTCAGATGTCGGATTCGCAAAGTCCCAGAAGGCCGGGAGTAAGGCGTTCTGCGTGTTGGTGGGATGCATGCAGATCTCACCAACTTCCTCCAAAGCAGATAATAATGTTTTACAATTGTCGTTGATGATGGACGAAGGTTGCTCGCTTGCCGTAAGCTGAAGTCATACGCAGGTAACGCAACGGGCCTCAACTGCGCCCGCCTGCCCGATTTCGTTTCATGTTTCGCAAACGCTACGAGCAGCAAGCGCGGGGAGATAGTCATCATCATCCTTCGATAATTCGGCCTGTATCCGACCCGACAGCCTCATTTGGCTTTCTCCATCATGTGGAGGCTGAGCTACGACGACAAGTGACGATGCTACACGGACTCTGTGAATCGCGGCCGCCAATATTTCTCCACAATCATCGTCTTGGCCCGTTGACCCACCACATTTACCATCGCACATGATCCTCAGTCAGCGCTTGACGTCCGTCGTGGGAAACATACTGTGGCGCGCATAACCTACACAGGGCGACTGTGAAGGAATGGTCATGCCGCCACGCTTCTCTGCTGTGCCATCTGCCTGCTTCGTTTTCTTACCATACCTAATTACTCCGTCGTCCACTATCGGATTATTGCGTCCTTTGACGCCCATCTCTGCTCTCTCGTACGTATGTGCCTGTATGTAGGTTAATCCGACCGTACCGCACCGTACCGCAGCCCGGCACTGCACCGTATGTATGCATACCCCAGGCATCGCAAATGCTGATGAAGACCTGAACACGGGACCGCTCCGGCATTCTACACCAACACCACGCCACACCACCCTCTCTTTCTGTTTCGTTGACCGAGTTCTCTGCGAGCGATCGCGCGAGCGCGCTCTTTTCCGCTCGGGAATTAATGAATCAAGCAATCAATCAATTACAAGGCAGACAGTTCAAGTAAAATCCGGTCCAGAACCAACGAAGAACAAGGGAAAAAAGAAAATACCAAACTGCATCACTGGTCTCCGTTTGGTAGCAACTAACTCATCGGTGACATCTTGCATCAAAACCCGTAGGAGAAGAACAAACAAATTAATTTATCTACGCCAAACAATGAAAATACGAAGGGGAAGGCAACCGGAAAGCAAGATGAGAGCCGCATCGTCTAGCTAGGTACCTTATCCACTGTTTACTTGCCTTGTTTTTCCTTCAAAAACGTGCTTCCAACATGCTTCCAAACCCGGGTTTCTAAGTCTCTAGTTCTACGCCCATTACATGCATACATACGATGGTATAGTTGTGAACTCATGCCGTTTTTTCTCGTATCTGCGATCGAGACTTGCAAAACAACGTTCGTGTTCTAAGTTCCACAACCACACACTCGCATCCATCTCGGGGTTGCCGTTCTTCGACTACTATCTCGTATCATATCGTAGCCCCCATCGTAGCTTCTGTCGTATCGTATCACGAAAGAATAACGCATACGACCACTCATGATTACGCTGCTGATGTATGAAACGAACGAACCGTGGAGCGAGCAAGCGCGCGCGCTGGTGTTGATGATGGCGCAATTCGAGAGCGAGACGCCAGGATTCCAAGGTGTTTCGTTTCGTTTCCGTGCCCCCCCCCCCCCCCCCCCCCCCCCCCCCCCCCCCCCAACGCCAAACCCCGGGTTCGACAACATTATGGCTTGTGCTGTGCTGTGCTGAGGGAGATAAGTCTTGATGGCGAGACATGCTGGCTGTGTAGTCTTCTCGCGAGTGATGTTGTGTTGTTGTAGTTGGTGTGTCGCTGGTATCTACCTGATCAATGGCGTGAAACGGTATCGTGCATTGTTGTTGCGTTGCGTTGTGTGCGTGTAGTCTACCATTCTATTCGTCGTTCATCTATCTCATTTGTTTGTTTATCTCGTTGTTAGGATGCATGTACGTAACTACGCCGTACATACAATGCCATTTCGTTTCACGAGTCAAGCCGAACATGCACGACATCTTTCCGACGCTGGATCCCACGGCGGTTATTGCAATTGGCGAGTGAGTAGGTTGGTGGATGGGTGAGTGTATGTATGTGACTGGCGGCGAGGGAGTTGAATGGAGTAGGTAAATGGATAGTGTTTTGGTTGTCGCCTGTGTATGTTGGTGGAAGGTAACATCTTTCGTGATGTGGTGATATGGACGATAATGATGGATGGATTGAGTGGCAGCGTACGTCTGCCTTATCCTGTCTTGGGGATATGAGGAAGCATCCAGATGTGCTGTCTTTTTCGTCCTTAGCAGACAATTGGATATGTTTTTGCAGTCACTACATGCCTACATTATGGTGCCGTATTGTATGTCTATTGTTGGATATTGACTCTTGAAGGTAGGGGATTTTGAGTAGACCTTCGATACCCAGGCACCTATATGAATTTTTTACACTGCTTGGTTGAGATTGGTCTTCGTTTTTATTTTTATTTTCTTGAATATATGGTACTGCACAGAGTGAGTATTTGATATTTGGTGATTTCATGGGTTGGCGGTAAATGGATATTTTGATATATAATTTACTCATGGTTAGTGAAATTGACATCTTGAGATGATCGAATATGTGTACCTAGCACGAATAAATTGATTTAAAACAATACACATCATTAAATCAGTCACTGAATGATAGCAATAGTTGAATGATTGATGTATTCATTTACATTAATGATCAATTGTTCTATCTTGCAAAATTTACAGAATTAACCATATGTTTTGCTGTATGCTCTTTCCTCAGTCGTAACAGCTAACAACTCGAACACCCAAAAACCAAATGCTTCCACTTGGCAGCCTGATAATATCACTGGCCGCAAAGACATTCCTCCATGCCCAATAACATCACCACGATGAGTACATGCCAGAAGATTCCATGTGCCGTGCTGTCTACAACCACAAGCGCACATGGACCGTAGTGACCACTAAACGATCGACGTCGTCCGCGGCTGGCAAATCACCAGACATGTCTACGCAATACATCCATCATAACGATCTACAAAAACCCTCTCAATTCCACACACCTACCCGTCCACAAATGACAATCGCACAAGGCAACCACAAGAAAAAAGTCCGTTCTTACAGGGCGGGCAGGCGGGCGGGCAGTGGATGGATGGATGTCGACGACCTACAGTACCGGACGCAAAGAAGAAAAAGAAAAAAGATCGATCTACACAACACAGTACAGTTTACCTGGACTGACGTAGATTCGGTGCCGCACACATACAACGGAGAAGGAAGATTCCTGAAACCTACCAGAAATGGCAACGATGCGACGGGATTGCGAAGGGGGAGGCAATTTAGTGAGGCTCAGTCGGCGAAATTGTAAGCCTGTCGCCGCTCTGTGTGATGTATGTGTGGATATTTCACGCGAGGAGGGGAGGGGGGAGGGTCCAAATGATCGACGTTCGTGTCTCTCCACTGCTCTGATCTGACACCCCCACAGTGCTTGAGGATCGAAGAATAGTTGATGCTGCTCCATGGGCCAGCGTATCGCATCCCAGATGCAAACGCAATGGACGGACTGATCATGCCTTCATGGATTCCCTGATTCGCTGGCCGAGGCAGTCTTGGGGGGATCGAAAGATAGTGGTCGAGAACAACCAGAGATTTTCATTTCTTCCACATCAAAGATCTGACATACTCGTAACTATACATGGAAAAGGGAGCGGGATGAAACGCAGGGTTTGAGGCTTTTCGTCGCCATGGCGCGCATCCCGTCCGTCATCCATCAATTATTCCGTGGGTATGCATGTCTTTGATCGCGCGGCGGCGAGCCAGAGGACGTTTAGGGATCGTCCGATATCAAATCACGACGATGACATCTTTTATCCCCACAGCTGTTGCTGCTGCTGTCATCAGTAATTCTCACCTGCAGCTCATTCGTCTACTTGGGGTAATCAACATGGGAGTAACGAAGCATTGTTGCGTATGTTAGGAAGAATAATAAGGCTGGGCAACAAGGTTCCCAGGCAATCCATCAGGCATCTTGCTGTGCGAGAAAGATCTTTTACATTTTCAAACCTGGATAGGCATGTTCGGTTGGGTTGTCAGGCTGGTTACTGGGAGCCGCCCCAAGACATGCCTGTTTGATCATCACGGAATCTGACCCTCTACGCAAATGCCGTGGCCTCCCTCGCGGGATATTGGTGCGATTATTTGTTATCGCCAATCCATGCCACAGAGAGGTGATGCGCACAAGGCATGACAGGCAGAGTGGTAGCGAACGATCAGAATAGAAATGTTTTGGTGGAACTTGATGGTTCCATAGTGATGCCCTATCAAGTGAAACATCAACGTCTGAAGATCGACGGGCCTTAGTAACCAGAGCGACCCTGAGAGC